GTGCTTGCTAACATCACTTGCCCCAACAGTCTATTCAAAGCTATACGGGGGATCTTTGTCTTGTGGTGCTCGCTCACACCACTTGCCCCAACAGTACGTTACAGTTATACAGGGGCATTTTTCAGGTTTCCCTCGTTTAAAGGGCGTTCCAAAAAAAATGAAGACAGCTGCCAAGTAGCGCACACATGACAGGAACAGTGTTGTCCCACGTACAACTGCATAGCCGCATATAAGTGAATTCTAACCGCAAATAGCGAATTTTCGGTAGAAATAGGTTAGCCACATATACAGGCAAAATCGCACAAACCGAACCCGCATAGAGCTAGGGGAAACCTATACAGGGCGGTCCAGATGTCTTGGACCCCCCCCCCCCCAATTCATTGACCCCTAACATTATTTTCCTTTGCATACCCATTTGTGTTTTAACCAAACCTTATTTTTTAAAATATTACGTTTTTCAGAATTAAATGGGGATTATAAGACATCTGGACGACCCTGTGTATACAACGGGCCAGCAGCGTTCGAAAGGCAGTGCTAACGAAGAGGTTAGGCTATATATAGAGAGCAGCCCAGGTTAAACTCATTCATCCACTTGCCCTTAAATGCAACGGCAATTAGTCGCGGCGCGTTAATTGTGTGCTGCTCGTTCCCTCCCCCGACTCGCATCATTCAATTAGCGCCCACCGAGGTCGATGGGTGTGGGGGGGGGGGTTGTGTTGTCAGTTTAACGACAGAGAACACAAAATCCTCCCTCCAACCAGCGTTGGCATCTAGTAGAAGTTGGCCATTCTGGTCTATTAAACTCCGCACGAGCAGTGTGCCTGCGGGCCCGACTGAGCTGCCACCCGGCTGGTGTTGATTATACCCCACGACGTTTTTCAGAGCAGGAGCTGCGGCCTCTCTCCCAGCCGTGGCGGCTCTTGCCCTCGACGCTGGATGGGGGTCGTGCCTTCTCAAACGTTGCCCCAAGGATCTGGAACGCCTTGGCGGTGGTGATCCGGCACGCTACGAGTCTCGGTGTGTTTTTTTTAGGAGGGAGTTGCAAGACTCGATATTTACCTCGTTGCTTTTACAAGAAGCATGATTTCATTGGCTTTGCATTTTATTTTATTGTGCAATGTTTTGATAGCCCCTTGAGTGGAGGTGATATTACATTTAAAATAGTTACAGTTTACCTCAATTGACCAACCACACAGAAAGTGGCCAATCTCGTCAGATCTCAAAACGTGCCTCAATAAACAACACTGTGGCTTTAAACGGAAGAGTATATAACGGGCGACGTTTCAGGCAATGGCCCTTCTTCGTGGCACATGCAGAGACCAGAGGGGTAATTGTGGGGATGCCAGAGAGGCTTCGTCAAATACACGTTTGGCCAAAATCAGTGTCACCCGAAACGCAGACGCAAACTGGTTATTTGGTTGTACTAATTGTTCATGTGTACTAGATATTGTTCGTGCATTGCCTAGAGAAGGAACGCACGAGCTACTTATTGTCAATGCAGGGATGCTGACATTTAAATTCGTAAATTCCCTGAAGGGTTGCACGCAAAAGCGAGGGCAGTTGGAAGGGGGCTTCTAAAGCTGAAATGTTTATTGTTCTTAATTTTCTAGCGTGCATTCTTAGTTAATTGGTTTTCGTTAATGCTATTAAAGTCGTAGCTATATATTATCATGAACACAGGGAAAACGGATAATAGGACCCCGCTGGGCCATGACTTGTATTCCACGTAGGCTATCGAGTCTTGGCCCAAGAATGTAACATTTGGAACTCCGGCAGAAAGCAGTGAATGTTACAACAACGCCTGCGGAAAACGGCATCGCAGAATTACTTCTGAGGTCATTTTGAATGCCTCGCATCCAAATTTAGTCCATGAGCGGAGACCAGATTTTTTTCATTTGTTGGTGCCACCTAAGGTTGCATAACTTTAGTGGTGTCAATTTCTGTGACCAATAACAGTGGATTATGCGATAGCCATGTGACGTTAGTTGGGTCATAAATGTATTCACTTCATTAGCCATGTAAATACATCGGTACTCCGAAAGTTGCGCTCCCTGAGGTGGTACAAATGTCGGCTTTTGGCCCATGGACCAACACGGTGGTGGCTGGCACATGGACCAACACGGTGGTGGCTGACAACATTCCCGCATGCCCTGCCAGATTCATCGCATGCCAATCAAACTGACAACCCAGAGCTGGAAATTCCCCCTCCACCCCCCCCCACCCCATATTAAGTGACAAACCAAATGTAATACATAACAGGGTTTGGGTTAGATCGCGTAAGTATGTGTCGTGTTATATAATTACAATAGCCTCCCCCTCCCTCTCCGCCTCTGATCTCTGCACCTGATTGGGTTCAGGTGACGTCATCCTGCTGCTGCTCTGTTTAAGATCGGAAGCAGGTGGATGACATCACTATTGTGGCAAATCGCCCGATGATGCTGGATGTAATTACCAGCGAAACGTCGCACTACTCAAATTGTATATGTTGTAGATTTACTCTCCAACACACCGGTGGGCTGAAGTAGTAACTAATTGGCGTTTTGTTTACGTGACAAACCCCTTACTAATTGGCTGTGTCGGGTGGTGGAGGGTAACGACACATTTATACTTACGCAAGCTAACCCAACAACCTGCTATAATTAATAATATTTGGTCGCGAAAGCCTACGTGACAAACCAAATGTAATACAGCAACAATGGAATGTTTGCGTACAACAACACCGGACTCGAACCCAGGCGCAATCGAGCTTCTGTCCTTTAATGAGATACTTAACAAAAAGGATAAATCGATAAGCGCGCTACACGCGCGCGGATCCCCCTGCAGCGAGGTCCAATTAAGGACTCTCCCATCGCCCGCCGGGTGAAGCACTTCACGTGGCGACAAGCAAGTCCACGCGTCATGCTGCGTAATTAATGACGCATTAACAAAACCATTCGCTAACACCTGCCCGGCTGGGTGAGTCACCTCAACCCCTAAAAACATCACGGGCATTGCTCCACGGCTCAGTGTAATTCCGCCGCGGAATGTGTGTGGTTCGGTTTAAATATTATAATTATAATAATTAATTTCACGAGCAAAAAAAAACAATCCACTAAACGTGCAGGTGTTGGTGGGGAACCTCAAGAATGTTCAACTCTAGTGAGGGATTCAAACAGGCAAGGGGATATATTGTTCGACTATTTTGTTAAATTGAGATATTGGCCTACTGTCTTGTTCAACACATTTTGTTGTCTTGTTCAACGGAGATTTTGTTCTACTGTCCGCTCAATGGGAGCTCGCTTATTCCCCATTGTTGCTCGCATTGTCTGAAACTCCCCCAGCCATCCGAGCTGTCGACTCCCAGCCCCAGCTCATAAGAAACTTCAATCTTTGTTGGCTCCATGACTCTGTGCAGTGTCTTGATCCGTGGTTGCATTTAGTGGCAACGTCAATGGTAAAGGGTACAATTGTATTGTCTATTCTATCGTGGGAGCAAATGAATGGGGAGAAGCGAGGCGACCGATATCTGAGTCGGCACCCACCCAATCGTGTCGTCCGCAATTGCATCGCATCCTCATCTCAATGACGTCTCTGATTGGACGTGACGTCAATTCATTGCTATCCTCGGTCTTACACAGAGACGTTGGTCCCAGGAGCTCCGACGTGGGCGATCATGGGCCCGTGAAGGACATGGAGGAAGCATGGCACATGGTAGATAGAGGGAAACGGTGAGCCCGTGGACCGGACGCAGCCCGCGATGTGGTTAAAGAAGGCCTTGCCACTCCCGAGACAGCTTTAAAACAAAATATATCAATTACTGCATCTACCTCTAAGATGGGCTTTAATGTGCGGCCCACCAAAGGTATTTGAAAGTTATATTTGATCCTCGGTAGGAACGAAATTCCCCAGCCCCGGCATATGTTCTGCATGCCAACTTTCCAAAGGTTGGGGCAGCTGCCATCAATGTCTCTCACGTCCCCACACCTATGGATGTGCCCTCCGATTGGGCGAAAAAAAAAAGATTCCGCGAAAAATAAAATCAACATTACGTATGGATCGATCTTGCCACTGAGTCATTATCTTAAATGTGAGTATCGATCACAAAGTGTCGCTATCTTTAATAACGGGAGCATTGATCGAGTATAGGAATCATAGCCAGCCTATTACTCTTTTTAAAATGGATTTAAAAATATACGTTTTAATGTTCTACATCGACGAGGAATATTTAAGATATGACGATAGAGCCCGAGCGTGATTAAAGTGGATAAACGTTTCGATTTTGGGCAAGGCGCTTCACGCAGACGTCTTCATATGCAGTTGCATGCACTCTACATACATCCAAATTGCATTGTGTACTGCACAAAGACGAAGCCGCATAGATTTCTGGGACACGTGCCATGAGAGAACCTGATTTAGACAAGAATTGCATATGGGGGTGGTGTCACCATTCCAGATGTCTTCCCAGTGCTCATTTATACACCGCACACAAAACCTCTTCACAACCGAGCCAACTCAGGACACTTTCAGATAACACTTGCAAATGACGTTTTCCCATGGCCAGGAATTGAACCCAGGTCACCACAGTTAATTCACCGTAAAAGAAGGGGCCTTATTAAGCCTGGTTCGCAAAGTTTCCAAATTCGAATTCCATAAGCACAATTACGGTACACAAAAAAATCAAACAAATCTTTGTTTCTCCCGAAAGGTTATTTTTTTCCATCTCGCCCAGCTGGTTTCTTTGGGGGGGGGAGAGGCAAGGGGGGAGGGTGATACCAATACTTCGCCTATTCCCAAATCACCCGGAATGCACTCGAATTTCGTGAGATCTCCGACGCAAAGCAAGATTTTTAGCCCGAAGTTTGGACCGCCAGCCAAACAAACAGGTTGTTAGAGGCTGCTGCGGGGCAAATGCTGCTGTTGAAACTCTGTGCAATGTGAAAATACCGTTACCGTGAAAATGGCCCATAATCGCAGCGCATGGAAACCATAAACAAATGCATTAAGTACTGCAGCAAAACAGCAAGTGTAAAACCCTGTCTTTATTGTTCACGGACAGAAAGTACAAAATGAGCACAAGGTACCAACTCCCACCATCGCACTGCACACATACACACGAGCGGTCCCCCCCCCCCCCCCCATTTAACTCTAGAACACACTCGGCTCTTCCAGAAACCCACGTGGCCAAGGGGGAAGTCAACGCAGAGGGTCAGGTCAGCTCGAAAGACTCCAAGCGGCCGACAGATATGGTCTAGCCAGCAGTGTTAAGTCGACGCGTTATTTTAGTCGTGGGTTTAATATAGTCGATGATAAAAGTTTGAGGCAAGTCGTAGGCCCGTATTCTTTGTCACGGCCGCGGCTTAGGCCCGACCTCGAGTGAGCCAGCTCAGAGCCGTGCTGAACTTGAGCCGGCTCGGAGCCGAACAACGGCTGAGCCACTTCAGGCGTCTTCCACAGCAAGCGAGCAGCTCAAGCCCCGAGGCGAGCATCGTGGCCGATATAGAAAACGGCTCTTAAGTCTGTGGATTTCACTTAAGTTATTGGCTTAGCCTTGGCATACTAAAGCCGTAAAACATTGAACCCACTCGTAATTATTAAATGTGGTATTCGTTGGCCAATTAGTGAATTAATTTTGCCCCGTCAAGGTCGGTCACGCTTTGGTCTCTGGGTGGGTGGTAGTGGTCCTCAAGCTTCGTGATTTTCGCCCACTAACGTCATGGGTCTTACAATGAAAAAAATTAAATAACGGATGAATACGTCCATCGCGAATGTTCATTAAAAGAAACAACACTGCCACACCCGTTGATGGTTTTACCAAATGTGGTGCCTTGGTGCTCTGAAGGCAAGAAACATAATCTATTATTGGCGACAATACACATTTGGGATAATGGAGCCCCTTTAAATGGCCGTAGGGGACAAGTGAACCCATGACATACAACATATACGAATTAATAAACAGATTCTTATGCACAAATTGTGAACCCAAGTGATTCTGGATTAACGCACAAAGCAAAATGTATGGCTTTTGGATTTAAATCCAATCTTATACATGTGACATGTCAAATAAATAAGTTTCCCTATTCGTATACGCTGTAATCGGTTCCCGAACCTTGGAGCCAATGGAGGCTGCTACAGCTCACAATGGTAAAAAAAAAACCCATCTCGAAAAATAAAATCGTGACCTTGATGTAATTTTTTTGGGATTATTTCATCGCATTGCGGAGGACAAATCGTTGCGTGCTTAGCAAACAGTGTGGCCATCAGATTAGTGTGGTTGCAGCAAAGGGCAATCTTCAAATGCAGTCCTATTGATTTCCCTCAAGGTCCACCCTTTCCACAAAGACAAGTCTTATTCCATCCGCGTGCAGACCCGTTATTAGCAAGTGATATGTGACTCGCGATACTTGTGTAGATTACACGCCACGTGTTTGGGCCGCCGACACCAGTGGGACACTCGGTACGGACAAAGGAGCACGAAGGGTGGACGAGGATGGACAAGTTGAGTGTCAAGCTCTCCTCGTGCAACGACAAACATCTCTCTAGCATTTGCACAAACGATTTCAAGATTTCTTAACATTCTCTTGAGAACACACGATCCGGATTACACACCCCATGGACATCATCACGGGACCCATGAGAAAGTATGTTTTCATCAGGTTGTACTCCTTGTTTATTACGTGCCGTTACACTTACCGTGGCTCTCAAAGACAAGCTTATCTCTGCGCACGAGCACTTCTCAAACAGCAAGTCAATTTGACAACTCCGTCAGTCATTGTTAATTATTTGGCGTAAAAAAGCAGGAAACTTTACGAGTCCCGCAATGGCCTGGATTTGGAAAAAAAAAAAACCTCGATCCTCAACCGATGTGAACCCATTCATTAAATCATCATTTCTACCCAGCAGAGCATAAGTCAGGGCTGGAGCCTTCCTGATCTTTAAACAAAAAAAACTAACGTTTGCATTGTCTGCATACAGCGAGCAACAAAACGGGGATGAACACAAACATCCATCGGAACACCGCCACGAACACAGCAGGATCAAAAGCGGAAGACACTTAATGAAGACTGCAAACGAAAAGGGACATTTCATTTCAGTGCAACACGAATTATGATCTTAAATGGTAATAATAAAAGTAATGATCAACCAGGGGAAGGACTTTGCTGGCTGTTTCAGTGCCCCTTTGGTGGAATTGTCAAAAATATAACTATTAGCCCAGACCAAACGTCCGTGTCACACTGACATGTCCAACCCACCAGCTGTAGACGCACGAACGGCAGACAACAAACGTAACGCTCCGTGTGCTGCGACTTCACAAATATCACAAGATTGATGAATCCCAACATGTACATTTTTTTTTACTTTCGTTAAGATACAAAATTAAGTGAACCCAAGATTCTTAATATGCTTCCTTCCACCCTTGTAGATTTGAATAGAAAATTATATTTGAGACTTTTGTGAAGAAAGTGCCAAAATACTGTACATTTGTGTGTTTTCTAAACCTATTTAAGGAAGCTAAATCCATTCCTGTAGTATTTCATCACCGCACACCATTTACGCCAACTGTATCGTTGTTTTAGCGTTCTTTTGTTTCCGAATGAATCTACAAGCATAACCTTCTTTAAATACTGTAAACTCAAATTAGTAAAACCGCCGACACCCAGGGGGGGGGGGGGGGGGGGGCAGAGGATGAGCGCAAAAACCGTGGCGCAAGAACGTCTTTTCATTCAAGTGAAATGAGGCCTCCATCACATAGCCACTGAATAAGCCTCTGCGCATTCCTGTATTTTAAAACGGGACTGCTGTCTTGCAACAAGCTTTGGGCCACCCCAGGCACGCGCGCGCGTGCATACACGCACGCGCGTGGTGAGAAGCATTGCACGCGCAATCGCAAGCACGCGCAAAACACGTGTGTCCGCTCCTAAAAATTATTCCCAGTCCTCCCCCGTCGTGTCCAACAGTCGCGCGCACAACTCCAGTCGCGGCTCGACGGCAAAACATTCGAATCCTCCGCCCCGAAAGCCACGCGCGGTGTGCCGCCTGCGTAGTCTTTGCCGGGCGATCGTCCCATCCCGGCCGCCGACGGGCTCGCCGCGTCGCAGCGTAAAGCGCTCGGTACATCCCTGCCCTCCGCATTTCCGCTACCCTTGGTTTACAATAAAAATGTCCGTCTTGACGCCTTGTAGATGTCAGCTGTGTAGACGCGACACACAAAGAAAACCAATGTCCCAATGTCTAGGGCAAGATCCGCTATGTTTCATGGAAACGTCTTCATGTGATGGGGGGCTTGGTTTGTGCCGGTGGGCGAGCGGGCGGTCGGGCGGTGCCCCACCGCTCGACCACGGAGGGGTTGTGCGTCGTACGAGAGCGGTGCCGCAGGCTGGTCCCGCGCAAAGTGCGGTTGTAGTGGGCGGCCCCTCACACTAGCTCCAGCACCTGAGGCCAAAGAGAGTGGGTTGGGGGGGAAAGGAGACGGCGATGATGGGTACACGCAACGGACAAGTGAAGTGCGATTGGGGAGCGCCAATTGAGACCGCTACACCGCGCAGTGGTGGCGATGTGGCCCGGGGCCACCCCTGGCCTGCTTTTGTCTTCCCCAGTGCCGATGTTTACACACTGCAGCAGGCAGTCATTTCAGTTCGAGTGAGCTAAAGGGGAGGCCCGGGAATCGGTTCAATATCACTCGTCCCTGATGTTAGCCGTGGCCGGAAATCGAACCGGGGCTCCTGTGGTATTCAGAGCACAACTACACCACCACTACCCAAGTAACCACACACAAAAAAATCCCATCCTTTAGTCATTGTAGCGGACAAGTGTTAACAGGCACCTATGAAAGCCAACAAGACAAATCAAAGGCAGATATGACTACTACAAAGATCGGCTGATTGTCTCCCCGATGCTGGTGTTTACGCACCACACTACATACTTATTTAAGGCGTAGTTTGACCTAGGGGATGCCCACTACCGTTTGATACATCACTCGTCTGTGACCTGAGCCGTGGCAGGGAAGTGAACCTATCTCAATGGGCTCACAGCACAATGCACGTATCACCGCACCACCATTCCCCCCATACACACACACACCTGGACGAGCGATCGCAATTGAGCAAAAAAAAGCAGCGGGTCACTGCACATCTCATCATCAGTAATAGGCAATGAACAAAGTTCCCCGCGGTTATACCAAGTAATGATTCTACCACTCCAACACAACCAATCTTACAAAGGTGCATGGCGTATCGCCTTCCCTTCAAAAAAGCAATTACAGTCAGTGCCACAGTGCCCTTACCTTGATGGTTCCTTGACTGTTGGCTGCTACAAGTACATTGGAGTCCTGCAAGGGCGAGATTCACTTTAAACAAAGCGATAGCAACATCACGAATTCAACTTTTCCACACTAATCCTGCCACACAACAGAGATGCAAACCAACGTATACATTTTATTTTCTGTACAAATAACATTTAAAGGTGAAGGTGCAGTTTTGCAATTGCTAGCACACGTATGCATGTTTAACTTATTTCGCTCCGTACGTAGCCAGCCGTGCCACTGCTGACAAGGGGCTGCAACTAGCAAGGTGCGGGCAGCCCCCTCTAGAGGATGCAATATTTCGGCCTACTCCTCCACACTGGCCAGATGTCTTCGAAGGTGGGAACACCCACACTTTTCCCCACCACACCCATCGTGCCGATCGTACATTAACTGCGGCGCACCCATTAACACCGTTGTGTGGACAGAGGCGGTGGGGAAATTCAAGATAGCTGCTGCCACATCATTTCAAACTGCCACGCCGGGAGATTCAATGGAACCGGTGAGCTACTCATTTACAGCGCAGAGCAGCAGCAACATAAACCATCATTAAATCTTAACTCCACGGGGACAGACGCGTGGGCACTGAAATCGTGCCAGAAGCAAGCCAACAAAACGCAGCGGGCAGCTCGGAGACACAAAACCAGCAGGTGGGTGTCAATGCCACCTTGGCACATTAAACGTTCAATTACGCGAGAATCCTTCTGTACCCCCACCCCCTGTCCTTCTCAGCAGGACCGAGATTCGCCTCGAACGCGCCCACACGTCGCTCGTCGCACCGCGTGGCCCACGCGGCTGGCACATACCCCAACGGCCGTGCTGCCTACGTGACGTTTGGTTAATTGGGCACCCCCCCTGCCACCCCCCCCCCCGTTTGCATCGATTTCCGTCGCCCGAGCAAAGCGCCCGTGACCTTTCTGATTTCGACGCCACGGGGAAACACGAGGCCGGCTTTTACACGATGAAGATTAATATTCCCAATCGTTAAGGTGTTCTCTTTCTCCGAGGTGGTGATGAAAGAACAAAAAAACATTCTTCTGTTACTCAATTAGAATGTACATGTGGAGCTTTAAAATAAACGTGGGAGGAAATTACAACATCGCATTTGTTATTCACGCCGTTGAAAGCCTTGTTGCGTAAGGCTCTACCCATCCGTTAAAAGGGGATATGATAACACTTGGGCGAAGAACATCCGATATGAAGGAACTTTTATTATAAAGCCGCGTTGCTGTGAGGCAATTACTCTATCGAAAACTGTCTCCAAATCATTAATAGGCTGGCAGAATGGCGAGCCGAGTTCCCATTGTCTCATGGCGGTTTAGGGATGTACGTACGGCTTGCTGCTGCGCGTCTGGCATGAGCGCTGCTAATTTTACCGCTAATTAGATACTCCTGAAAACAAGTGCAAGTTTAAAGCGTTACATAATCCATGCTTATACAATACATTTTGTTTGTTGTCCTTCCCCCGCACCTCCGATTAGCACGATTGGCTTTGTACAGTGCGAAATAAGTTCAACATACATAACATTTCGTCCTTAACGGGTTTATTATATAGGTTTCAAGCCGATTAATATAATATATCGATGTGGCCAGGTCATACAAATAGGCGGGGGTGGGGGGACATACGTTCAGTGGTATGAACAAATATTTTCCTGGAGGAACAAACATTCTGAGTAGGGGTGGGGCGGAACCCGATCTTCACATTTATTTGCACCGGCCAAGTGCTTGTGGGGAGAGGAACGAGCCAGACCACGTGACCTCTCGTGACGCCCGGCCAGAGATCTCCCGGCGATTGCTGTGGGGGGTGGGCATCGGGCAGCGCCGGGCACGGCAACGCCACAGTCCGCAAGCAAGAGCCACCCCCCCCACCCTCACCCCCCCCCCCAAATTATATCACCACCAAAACCCACTGCCTATATAACAAGACCCCCCCCCCCCCAACAAACCCTCTCCCCCCACTGCCACCCCAAGCATGAGTGAAAGCAACAGCGGCACGATGAAAAAATCAAAGAGGGTGATTGTCAGCGCGCAACCGCACCATCGCGATGGGCCACGTGCCAACACTCGATGGAGGCGTGCAGCGCAAGCGAGACCCGGATGACACAAAGATAATGGGGAAACAGCCCCGGGCAGTGTCCGTCCGTCCTTCCTGGAGGAGGCCGCGGGTGTCTCTCATTCGTAGAATTTTGGCATTGCGGGATCCCACGTAAGAGAGCGAACGGGTCGATGCCGTTGTGCACGCGCCCGGAACAACGCCGGGTTGCTCGAGGAACCTGAATATAGGAAGCCGTGAGGTTTCCACGCTTGCACTTAAAAAAAAATGAGTAGTGAAAGTAAAACTATTTTTATTTTACCAGGTAAGGCCCACTGAGTTATATAGCTCTTTGGTCGAGTGGATTTTGTGGGCGAGTAACCTTCGGCGAGTGGATTCCGCACCTTCAATTAGCACGGTTGGCTACGTACGGTACGAAAGAAGTTCAACATACATACGTACATACATTTTGTGGGTGAGTGACCCAGGGCGAGGGGAATTTTGTGGCTGAGTAACTCTGGGCGAGCAAGTAAATGGATGGGCGAGCAAGTGAATGGATGGGCGAGCATCTGCATGTGAGGGAGCGAGCGGGTGAGCGAGCGAGTGTGAAGGGTGGCGAGCAAACGACCGAGCCTGTGGGCCAGGCTGCACGCGTGCGCTCACCCCGTCCGGCAGCACCCGCCAGCACACGGCGCTCACAAACTCGCTCCCGTCGTCCTCTTTCTTCTCCTTCTCCAGCACGCTCTTCACCATGTCAAACTTGAACGTGAGCAACATCTTGGAGAGGCCCTTGTAGTAGACGTACAGCGAGTTGTTCTCACTTCCTGTGGCGGAGAGGGTGGAGAGAGCGGAGCGACCAGTGGCACGGTCAGAAGGGGGGTGTGGTGGAGGGCGTGAGAGACCGGTGAAGTATCACCGGCTCAAAACGAGCAATGCCATCAACTCCGCCGTCCGCCTCCACCACACGCGCAATGCGGGGGGGGGCGCTCGCCCGGCTCTAAAGGCGACAACCTCCGCGACAGAGGTAAATTGGGGATTGTCACGATTAAAAGATGATCGCGCGCGTGTGTGTCTGTGCACACAATAAGCGGGGGGTGGGGGGGCAGGCAAGGGGGGGGGGGGGCACCGTGCGGAGGCTGCGCTCACCGCAAGCAATGTAGTCTCCGTTGGTGGCCAGCCCCACAAAGTTCTTTTCGTTGATGTGGCCTTTGAAGGAGCGCAAGCAGTGGGGCTTATTCACACTCCACAGCTTCAGCTGGCTGTCTGTCGAGCTGCCCAAACAAAACAACGTGAATGAATGAAGCCCTTGATTTTGTAAGTAGATGCGAGCACCGGCGATTAAACAGAGCCAGTCTCGCAGGGGCGTACACAGAAGCAGCAAAAAGCACGGCACAAGCTCAATTCATCGGCCTTTACAGTTTCTTGACTCTGCAGGTAAATCAATTTGAAAAGAAAATTCTTAGCGAATCATTTTAGATTTTCTTTTAGAGTAATAAATAACTTTTGCTTCAAGCACAAGTTTCATAACTGGAGAGCTGCGCATGAAGGGTGTGCATTCTGAGTTAATCTGGCCCCCTGCCACTTTAAACGGCCGCGCTTTTCAATGGGCGCTACTCACGCAGAGACGATCTCCTCGCCGCTCACGAACTTGGCGTACGAGACGGCTTTCCGGTGGCCCTTGAACACCATGACGGGCAGCTTGGTGTTGCGCAGGTCGTAATAGTGGACGCAGTGGTCTGCGGAGCGCAATCGGAGGGGTCATTTCACGCTCGCGCGAGCCCCATACCCCCCCTCCCCACCTTTCAAAGACGGCAGACGAATCACCCGCTCCAATTAAGCTGGCCCAATCAACCGTGCGGTGGAAAAATCACACCCAACGAGGGCTTTGTGAAACGGTAGCCGGAAAAGAAGTGGAATAATGCCCCCAAAAGGAGGTCCATTACCGTCCCGAGGTCGTCAGCAGGGTCATTTGCTTACCATTCTCACAGTCTTAGTTCTTTATTCACAAAGTCTTGTTTTCCCCAATTAAATGTAAGGGAGGGTATAAAAGCTTACTACGCCCGTGACAATGTCACGGAAGGTAGCAAGGACAGCTCGACACTCTTCAGTGAGCACACATTAATGCTTGTCCATAGAAGAAAACAAAAAATGATGCTCCACTGATGATTTACAATTCCCACTTTGTTGTAAAACATAACTGACGCCGCCACTGCTACGTTCCCGATTTATTTGAAGCGTGTAGCCGTGTACATCGAGATCTGTCTGCATAACCTCTACGGTGATGGATTTTTAACCGCAGCGAGTACTCGGCACACAACGATTCACCGCCATTCCTCATCCCCACCGCAATAATTCAACGAATAGAGACTATTAAGGACAACAATTCGATTACATTTTTTTTATCTTCTTTCTTATTTGCATCGTCTATCTCATGTTTTCTGTCTTGTTCCACATCATTAAATCAATTTGCCCAGTGGTTCAAGAGGACCCAGCGTGCATGGATTGTAAATATATTCTTAACACACATGCATTTTTCGCAGGTGTGGGACTCGATTTCGATTGACAAATGTGGGGAGGGGAACGAGCCGGACTGCATGATCTCTCACGACATCCGGCCAGAGATCTCCCAACCATTGCTGTTGGGGGGCGGCACTGGACAACACCGGGCACGGCAACGCCACGGCCTGCAAGCGAGGGCCGCCCCCACACCGTACCCCCACACCGTAACCCCACACCGAACCCACCAATATACCCCTACCGTATCCCCACCGTACCCGCCGCTCGCCAAATCCCCTCTCCCCAAAACAAACGCGCGATTAGGCGAGCGAGCAGTCACAGGTAAAATGTGCGGTGCAGAATCGAGCGGCTACCTGCACAACCGAACGCTAGGTGGTAGCGCGACGTGGGGCTGAACTTGACGCAGCAGACGTTGGCTTTTGCTTCGATGCACGCAACGGAATTGTCCAAGTGCGTGGACCACAGCTTGACTGGGCGGGGGGGGGGGATGGGTTTAGGTTAAGGAATGGAGGTATAAGGAACAGACAGAGGGGTCACGTGCTGCTGTTAAAGCAAAAGGAATTGAGCAGAAATGGGCGGCATACGTCATGCAAAAATCAACTGCAGAGTTTGATAATGAAGGACCGCAAAAGAAGCGGAGGAAGACTGCGGAAGGAAGAGACGGCGCAGGCGAGATGGAGATAAAGAGGAGCAACTGAGAAAGACCAGCAATCGAGTCCTTTGTCGATGAGCAGGCAGAAGTTATATGCCGGCAATAACAAAGCACCCAGGGGTAGTGGGGAAGTTGGCACGGAGTGTGATTAACAGGACACAAATAGAGTTGCAAGACCCTGGGGAAAGTGGGGTCAATTTAGGAGCATGACATTTCACACCCCTATCGCCACCACCACCACGAGATAAAACGCAGTTGCCAGGAAGAAAAGAGGGGTTGAGGCAAGAGATAAGAGCTTCCAGATGCCCACAACCCTCTCTGGCTTAATTATTGTCCAGGTTTGCGGAATTTCAAAAGCTAAGCGGCTTAGCCATAGGGGTTCAGCCTCATCAGCACAACGATATCTCTACCAGAGCAAGCCTGGTTATCCAAATCAAATTACGGCGAGCAGGGGGGGGGGAAACCCCAAAACTGTGCAACCGACTTCAAAAGGAACGAGTCTGCCCGAACAGCTGGAAACCATACTGAGAAAAATAATTACTTTTAAAGAGCCCTTGGCCCCAGAAGGAACGCTGGTCATCCCTGATGACGTCATGCCAACAGAGTGTGGCCTTGCCATTTTACCTTTGGCGTCGTCAGACCCAGACGCTAGGATCTTGGGGTCCATCAGGTTGAAGTCTACGCTCCAACATCGCTTCTCGTGTTCCTAAGGGAGTGGACATTCCGAAAGAATACAATTTCACCATGCGATCATCGCATTGCTGAGCATATCAACACTGCATATGGACAAAGACAAATTTCCCCCCCCCACCCTCCAAAGGCATACAGACTGTTGGGACAAGTGCCATAAGAGAGTATCTACGAAGGCCGGAACGGTGCACGAGGGCGTGGTGTGGTTAGCACCATGCACAGCCACCTTTGTCTCTCTGGTACTCATGTTTAAACTAAATTAAAAGCTGACCCAGAACCGGTTCAGATATATCACTGATGATGGCCATAGCTGGGGAATCGAACTCAGGTCATTAATCTATTTGTCCAAACCTTCCAATTGATATCCCTGATTTATCTCTTCTGGGCATTCAAGTTTCCTTCCACATGCTCAGCACTGCTTAAAAGGAAAATATCTCAATGCAGAAGTGAGCTTTTCCTGTATAATAAATAACAGTATTACTAATACCATAAACATTACAAACTGTGAGACTTGAAACAAACTGTGTAAAGTGACCCAGTGGCAAGGGCACTGACCGATAGATTACCTTCCCGGAACTTTGAAATTAACGACAAATTAAACGTGTCTTGGGTGTCTCGCAAAAGGCATCACACGATTTTTTTTTATTTCCCCACCAATGTTTTTTTTTCGTGGAAATGTTTCTTCTTTTCATGATGGCATCGCGTCATGAGACAAGGTGTCCATTCACACCCGTCCCAGAGCAATGATGCAACCCTACGTGTTCGACAACGGCCCAGGGAAGCGGATGTTACAGAGCTACCTCTGAAATCCCTTCAGGTGACCTCTAATCCAAACAAAGTAAAGGGGCAACACTTCCCTAACCCGCTCTGCCATCGAGAGAGTAATGTTCGACACAGCAAGTCAAATCGATGTTGACTTCTCAAGAGCTGGAATTTAGCCAAATTAGTTTCAGGACCAACTTTAATGTGACTGTTTTTTTGTATGCAGTCACTGGTGACAAGGCTGAGACTATCAACTTGCTACGCTTGAATGCCCAGTTTTAATCACATGTGGTTAAAACCTGGATTTGAACCCAGGATCTCAGCGATGCCAGCCCAGCGCGCTCTGACCCAAGCCATTGTCAATGTTTAAAAGAGCGACGCTCCACACCTGGAAAACCTTTGTCCTCTGTCCTGTGAAGCCATCCCAGAGGATCACGGTTCCCTCGTAGTCACTGCTGGCCAGGATGCCCTTGTGGTAGTTGCTCCAGCTGATGCAGCTGCAGCACCGGGGCAGGGAAGCAATGTTTAATAAAAAAATAAGGAAAGAAATTACTAATAAAGTTTCTTTTTTCACAAATGTACATCAGTTGATACAGCTGCTCTTGTCAGTCCTCCCCCATGCCGTATCGATCCCGCCGGTCAATGCGGGTTGAAGGGGCGCTTTTTGCCAGGACCGTTTCAGAAGCCGTTTAATCTGGATACAAGTGTTGAGGCGTAAATGATGAATCGGAGGCAGATCTTCATGTAGGGGCTTGCCCCAGTTGTTTTATTAAAGACTTTTCTTCACACACGACTCCGTGTACTGCACACTCACTGCCTACACTCCACACCCCAGGGGAAAGGTACTGCGGATTCCCTAGCACACCCGCAGGCTACCCTAGCCTGGTGCTCATTTCCCCCGACCCTGAGTCCAAACTTCCAACTTCACACGTTCCTGGCTCCTCGCAACGGCCTCGAACACGTCACGGGTCCCAACCTAAATATCCCAGGGGGACATGATGTCATCGTTCCGCCCCCTGTGCATGACGTCACCATACGTGACATCATCGTACCGGAGGGCAAGCGTGACATGACGTCACTAACTACTACTCTACACAAGCACACCCCTTGGGGGTAAAGCTGTGTGTGCTTAGGTCCCCTGAGACATTAGCGGAAGGCACCTTACATATAAATTATTATAATATCCGAAGTAGTATGCTTGTAATAGAAGGTTGCCTCCACTTTCCCCCTCACCACGGTGGTACGTCAGCATGCTTTGCTTATACGAGAACTACCCTGGTGACGATGACGACCGTGAGCAGGGAGTCCTGCCGATCGTAGTGCCCCTGTGGATCGGTGCAAAGGCGTAGGCAGCGTGGGTGGACTGGCGGTGGATTGCCGAGTGGTGGAAGCGTACCTGATCTTGGAGTTGCAGGTCATCTCGATCACGGGGTAGTGAATGTCCACCGCATCTCGGATCACCGTGCCGTACTCAAACACCTTGATCTTCTTGGTCACTCCAGCGATGGCGAAGTAATCGCAGTCCCGATCAAACTCGATACTGTCGCATTAAAAGGCATCATCATTATTATTAATACTTAAGAGTTATGGGGGAAAAAATCGTGCATAAACACGGATTATGTAACGCCAACCGAAGAACGTTTGCCTTCGGAGGTAAATGTGCTCACCTTCGATTAGCACGGTTCTCTACGTACGGTGCAAAAGACGTTACACAAAATACATATATACAATTAGCAGTATGCAACAATGCATTTGTATATTTGCAAAAAGTAATTTTCACTGCAGAGCTTTCCAGAGACAACTTGGAAGCATAACCACAGTTGTGTCGGGCCGAGTCAACGTGCCGACTTTAACACAAACCAGATGCCACGACCGCATGACGTAGCGTGGCAAAAACGAAGCCGCGTCCCCGCTATCAGGTGCCACTTGGGACCAACCATTATGTCCCTTCACGTAACTTTCAGGCCTCTGAATTAGGTGTTCAAGCGTTTCTCAATTGTGCTTGTGTATTCCAGGTCTTGTGCATTAGGCTTCATCCCAAACTCGCACTTTGCCTCACTTTGTGAACACAGCTTTTGCGATACAACCGTGGAACAAAGCAGACGGCCCAAGTCGAGTTACAGTAACTCTTTGGAAAATAAAAAAGAGTCTCCCCCTCTGTCTGTGCGTGTCCGCGACTACAACCTCCAAACAATGGACCCGCGTAACCTCACAAGGCCCTAATAAACATATGCATAAAGCCGGCGGGTGGGCAGCATCAATTCACCAACTCAGACAAAACAACTGAATTGCTAAATCACTTACAACCGAGTCAATAATAGTTGCCCTTCAAAGGCCAGTTTGAAAGAAGCTCAATTAAGTTATTTGAACCAATGTCTTTCCAGACATCAGAGACGATTTTAAGGGCAATCAATGCAGCATTTACCAAGACATTAAACGGTGTCACTGAATGACATCAATTTACGTACTAATGCCAAATTTATGTCGTTAATATTTCTCGACAAACTTTGAATATCAGGGGTGTAATGTTTAATCCCCCCTGCCCCCATACAAATTTGATTAATAATCCCAATCATTGCCATTCAAAACCAGCTTTTTTTTTCCACGATCTGACAAATGCAATGGCCACTAGTAGCTGGGGGCGGTATTACATACAACGCGCGCACAGCTAAACCCACTGGCTCCTACGCAAGTCGTTCAATGCACGCATCACGAGCTCAAGAATCAACATTAAATCGGTGCATCGTTACACACACGTACTCATTTGCCGTAATTACAGGTTGCATTTTGTTAACACATAGTTAAGAGCTACATGTGTGTGTTACACATCAAATTGCAAAATGGCACTCTTCAGAGTCCTGAACATCCGATTGCAAGGTTAAGATATTCCTGAATACAGAGAAGAAAGAACATTCGGTCGGGGGGGGGGGGGCAGACACAGAGGGACATCATTACGAACCACATTCATGGAGACGATCCAAATATAGGACCACAACGCTTGGTTAATTGTTGCCGCCCATTCAGGCCGCCTTCCCTGCTTCTCTGTGGTTTCCCACACCTTCGAATTATCTCTCCAAGGATATGGGGAGAGACTTTATAAAATGTAGGAATTCTTCCCCTTGTTATGATTAAAAGTACGGGGGACACGAAGAGACGGGTCACCTGGACACGATGCTGGAGCCATTGTAGATGTCGCTGGCGTAGGAAAGCGTGGCGAGCGGGCGCACAGAGCTGTAGCGCGTGAACTTTGCCAGGCAGTCCTGGAACTCCTCCAGCTGTCCGCACTTGTTCTCATCTGAGCCCCGACGGCACCGCAGACGTACACACCGATAGGGTTGAACGCAAAGCAGTCGGGTTTATTAACGATTCAGTCCCCGCCAATTCACCCTCGTCACTTGCTCACTGGTGTTCACAGATGCCTCCTTGTTACTGCCATAGAACTTCACTCATTGATTAATCCGCCCACACTGAGGACTCGATCTACCAGAATGGTTTGTGTCACCCATACTGTGTTCAACCACCACAATGCAGGTCACAAAACTTCTCCATAATAGAGATTTTTGAGTGAGATTGCGATATTGGTCGCGAAAGCCTACGTGGTAAACTCACAAAACTGGTGTTTCTCTCCTCGCACTGCTCGACTTTGGAATTCCCTCCAATCGTCTCTCTCCAAAGCTCTTGCTCAACTCCAGACAAGTGTTAACTCTATTACAACTCCGATAGTGCTGTCTGTTGCTAGTTTACTGACGTGTTGGGTCTTAGACCTGTGAATCACTGCCACCGGCACGGCAAACGCGAATGCGTGGGTCTTCTCGACCACGCTGTAAGAGCTCCATGATGTATTTTTGCATTGTACCTAACCCCAATGATTACCCACCTCCGATTAGAACGTTTGGCTATGTATGGTGAAAAATAAATGTAATATACATTCATACATAGTTTGTGAAATGTACATCTGGAATTATAGAACTGCCCTGAAAAGACTGCGCAAGTCAAGGCAAATCCAGAGTCCGCCTGCTTAAACTAATGCTGCTGCTGGCAGACACTGGTCCAAAAGGCTCATGAGATTATGGGGCTAAATTTGTTTTATTTCACTCGGTCAAACGAATCCTCGTCTTTATTTTTGTATTCTCCACAAACGGCCACTTTCTCGGAATAAGCCGCGCAAGCTTAGCGAAAGGCAATGTTAAGCCTCACTGGCGTCATTTCACACCACGGTCTGCAGTTCCCCAATGGGCTTACGAACCGCGTTGATCAGCAGGCACTGGCCGTGGTAATGCAGTCATTTCAGACTGGCCCAAGAGCAGAGCCCTCTGCTGGTGACTGGATGATATCACCAGGCACGGTTAAGACCCACCGCGGCAAGCCATCGCTTAATGCGTTGTGTGTTCACACTAACGCGTTTTTGCTTTAAATGCAGTTATTCCATTAGGGAAGACTTTTTGCTAACGTGCACCGTTAAAAAGGGGAACGCGCCCGTGAAAAAGGGGAACGTGCCCTTTAAAACGCGGAATGCGCACCATTATAACGCAGTTTCTGAGAGATCTACAATGAACGACTTTCTTGAGCTGCGTGGCTGAGTGGTACAATACAGTACGCGAAATGATACAATAACGTGGTGGCGTACCCCAAGTTATTTGTCCCGCCATCTGTGTGTTCGTACATTGTATCTCGCCAAACTTCATCGTTACATTCTTTACGGCGATTTATTTTTTAAAGGAGCGCATCCCACCGCGTTAAAGGAGGACTCGCTGTTCTATAGCACAGTTTCGTTTGTCGTCCTTCCCCCGCACCTCCGATTAACACGCTACGTACGGTGCGTAAGAAGTTCAACATACATAATAGACCTCGGAACCGCATAACACCTTTTCCCACGGACAACTATGGGTGCACGGCGTTGGCCGGCTGCCACGGAGGGAATGTACCGACCCGAGGGCGACGACAGGCGGCAGGTGAAGTAGCACTGCTCCAGGTCGTCGAAATGTGCCGACAGTTTCTTCCTCCTTGCTGCCATCGAGTTGTTCCCGTGGCACGGTAACCGCTTTGCCTGCAAGCCAGCATGGAGAGAAAAGACGTGCTTGCCATCGGTGGTGGGGGGGTGGGGGGGAAGTCGTCCTTGTTGGGTTTTTACCGTTCTCTAATTGCCGATAAACAAAATCGCCGGCAATACTCCCGACCATGTCAGATCTTAGAAGCCAAGTAGAATAGTACTTGGATGGGAGACTTCCATGCATAACCGGTGTTCTAGGCGACAGCGCAGGGCCACCCACACGGGGGGGGGGGGGGGTGTGACCAGTACCATGCACGGCCGCCTTTGTCTCCCCAGTGGTGATGGTTACACACTGCAACAGGTACTAATTTGAGACTGAGTCGACCTAGGGGAGGGGACCAAGTGTTGGCCGTGAGCGGGAATCGAACTCGGGTGGCCGGGTTTGTAGCGCAGGGCGCTAACCACTACACTACACCGTACGCCTATTCTCCCACATATAATCCTTGCCTTCAACATGCACTGTGGCCAAAAAACCTCCACGACTTATGGGGGGGTGGGGCTTTACTGCTTGTAAACATGACAAAATGAGCCGACAGAGCCGTACATTACATATTACGATGTTACAATGAAGCTCGGGTGCCAGGTAAATGTCACGCGTAGGAGACGCTGGCATGCCGGCTCACCTGAGCGCTGTCCGTAAATGCAGGGAAGGGGTAATCCGAGTCCACCAAACTGCTGGAAAAAACCACGCAAGCAACGTTGCAACAACGTCAGAAGTCCGCCTGCATCAACTAATTGCACGAGAAAACGGCGTGGTTTCCCAGCGCGGGGTTTCGTACTCTCAGGTTCTCGCGACCACACGGTGGGGGCTAGTCCTCGTTCCGCCATTACCATATTATCCGGACTAAAAGGTGCACTTTCTTCCATGTAATTTAAAGGAAAGGAATGGGGGCGGGTGCGTCTTATTATCCGGAGAATGCGCTGTCTTTCAGAAGATTTTAATTTATTTGTTAAACCAGTTGTTCAGGATAACCTTCCCCACGACACATTTGCACAATCAAAAGCAGCGCGTTTATAAATCATCTTCTGGAAGACGATTCTCCGTAGGAATCTTCCAGAAGACGTGTTTTCATATCGTTGTCGAGAACCACACTGCGAAAGACATCGCTCCCCATTTTAAACCATCTTTTGGGCTTTCCAAAGAAATCGCATGCTCCCAATTCTAAAACACGCCAAGGACACGGTTCACCAAAGCCACGGTTGTTGTTCACCTGGTCGATGGGGTCTCCAGCAACTGGGGCACTTGGGGCACCAAGGCTTCGTGGTGTTTCTGCATCAGCTCCTAGGTGGCACATTATGTTGGGAAATTGAATTGAGGGGCTAAGCATCATGGAAAAAAAAACTTGCCAATATATGATTTGACATATAAGCCACACCGACATCATTGGAAGACTTTACAAGCAACGTCTCGGTTTATAACGCTTTCCAACCAAGGTTAAAATAATTTTTGCAAGCGCTCTATCCACCTGTAACAGGGAAGGCACTCGAACCACCCAATATTAACGATGCTATGACGTAAGTCAAGACATCAGACATGCACATTAATATTAATAAAGCAGCACGAGAAAAGAAAGGCAATAAAAAGCAAAACATATTATTCTAAACGAACAAAATGGTCATTACACATTTACCACGGCTGAATAGATTCTCACACATCCTCAAAAACCTACGTGTTAAATGAAAACAAATTAACTTAACACAATGCACAAATAATGCACGTATAACAAAAACTCTTAAATATCTGTCAAAAACCCTGCCTTGAAAGGAATAATATAAGCAATGATTTGGACAACGGCCCACCCTTCTTAATCGTCGAGACCAATGCAGAGAAGCCCACTGCCCAAAATGTATCCTATTATATAAAGACAAAGATCCCCCCGTACAGGCTATAACAGACTGTTGGGACAAGTGCTGTTAGCAAGCATCTACGAAGGTCGGTACGACATACGAGGGGGTGCGTGGCCAACACCACACCCAGCCGCCTTTGCCTCCCTCGTGGCGATGTTTACACATCGCACCAGGTACTCATTTGGAGGCTGAGTCGACCTAGGGGAGGCCCAGGACTGGTTCAGATAATCGTCACTGGTGTTGGCCATGAGCGAGAATCGAATCCGGGTCGCCAGGTTCGTAGTACAGCCCGCTAACCACTACACTGCCGCTCCCTACTATCCTATTAAATAAAGATCCCCCATATAGCCTGAAACATTGTTGCTAGCGAACACCTACGAAGGCTGGCACGACACATGAGGAGGTGGGTGGCTAACACATCCTATAATTTATACACACACACACACGTCTAGACACACGTCTAGGGCACCGTTATTGACGTGCTGGTGAACCACCGCAAAGAAACGCAGTGGTTGCAATTTTTCACGTTTCATTTTGAAGTACTCAAGATGCCTTTTTTGCCACCCCCCCCCCCCCCAAAAAAAACCTCACAAGGCAGCCTGCAATGTCGCCTACACAGCCATGGCAGGCCTGTTCACCATCGGCGGTTGTTGCAGATGCGGCTTCTCACATGCAATCCGTGGCGAGATGTTGACTACCTCGCCTAGTATACAAGGAAGCTGTGGGTTCAATCCCGACCCTGACGTCCGTATATTTGGAGTTTGCATGTCTCTCTCACTGGGACAATAGTGGTCGTGCGGACTTTCCTCCGGGTCCTGCGGTTTTTCCTTCCACATTTAGAAACGTGCGTTTCACCGCTGTAAATGTTCACATGATAACCCACTTCGTTGAGCTATCATTTGTGGCCAAGGTGGCTTTCGAAAAAGAGCTATATAGCTCAGTGGGCCTTACCTAGTAAAATAAAAAGTTTACTCTAGTATCGCGAGGCTGGGGCTCTCGTGCTCATTTACACACGAGCGTGGAACTGCTTGCGCGCAGGGCCTATTTGCAAAGCGTGACCGCGCGCCGACGTCCGAGGTACAGTCTCGCACCTCGACGTGCCGCATGTCGCCGTGCAGGACGCTCAGCTCCTTCGACAGCTGATCCAGTTGCTGCGGAGAGGGAGAGAAAAAAAAACAATCTGCCTTGGGCTGCATCACACAAAAACGGTTTGCTTGTCGGCACCGGTAACCACAATTGTATTTGTGGAGAAAACACAATGATAAATACTTTGCAGTTGTCGTTATATTGTAATAGATGGCAATCACGCATTTATTTAACAATCAACTTGAAAACAATACAGTGAGTGAATATATATAACAGGGAAATGCAAATACAATCAGGACTCCATTCTGTGCCTCCACAAACCAATATTATTTCATCCACAAGCCCGCCTGGCTTTCCAGGCTAATATTATTCAGCAGAATTTGTTGAAGCGCTCAAAGACAAACTGCCTCTCATCAGCAGAGTCAGGTATTGTCAAACAAATGCCTGAAAGATTACCAGAGGACAATATAAATGTGTAGTGACATACGACGTCGCTACTGTGTCGAGACTGTACGAGCGTAGGGACATGTGATGTCACTACTGTGTTGGCTCGGTATGGGTGCTGTAGGCGGGTGTCACAGAGGTCATGTCAGGCCGTGGACACTCTGCGTGAACCCAACAGGACACGTGACCGGACAAAGGGGGGGCTAAGGGCCCCAGGGGGGAGCTTGGGGGTCACGTGTTTGGGGGCCCGTACCATCCCGAAGGATCGAGAAGGGGGGGCGTGGCCTGGGGCGGAGCCGGCCACGTCACGGGAATTATAAGCGGGGTGTGAACAGAGAGCTGGGCTGTTCAACCCTGGGACGAAGACGCCATCAGCAGTCCTCGAGTCTCCGATCGTCGTTCGTGACCAGGCAATCCATCACCTGCCCTGGTCATGCTGTGTAGTACTGCCCGAGTGTTAGTGAGATTAGGAACGGTGGTCACCACCCTGTATACAATGTTCACGTTAGTTGTTATGCGTTAATAAATAGTGTTGCCTCCAAGTTGAGTGTGCACCTCAATTTAACCCACTACAAAAATAAGTGGTAGTCAATGAGAGAACACCTCTCATGACCACAAGGTGTGGGGGGACAGTCTCGAAACTATAAATGCAAAGACATTTTAAAAAGTACTGTTGGTAGTACAGCACAAATGTATATGGAGATAAAAAACGTACCTCCATTATTAACACTGCCTTTGACCAAAGCATTTTGAATGCATCAAATGTTATCAAGATCTTAGACGCTAAGCAGATTTAAGCTTGCTTAATATGCATGTCAGAATCAGAATATTTGTTTCCACTGGAGGAATCCGATGAGGTATTAAGCTCTTTTTCGCAGATGTCCAGTAGGGGCGGGTGAAAACGTTACAACAAAGAACACGATAGGAGTGTACAGTAGAGGCTTGGGCTGCAAGGCTGTCAGTACAAAAATTAATTATTGAACCCACCACGATCAGTTCCTCAGCTTTTATACCAGGATCGCAAAAAAAAAAACGCTTCAGAGGAAATACACATTCCCTTAACTGTGTTTGTGCGAGACGCCAATATGCCACGCAGTGTGCGGAGCTTGTGATGTGGAACAGTGAGTGGTGAGATGAGAAAACGCACCCCCTGCTTGTTGCGGTGAGCCTGCTGCAGGAATTCAATCAGCAGCTGGTGTTGTGCCACTGTCGACTCCTGGAAAAGTAAAAAAAGCACATGACAAGGTCAAATAACATACTTTGCATCTTCACTTAAGACGTAGATGTTGTAAAATAATGTAGGGTCCTTTGTTAATACATTGATGAATAAAGGCTTCCCCACGCTGTGCCGGTCACGGGGGTTGTTTGACCATATTTCATCATGCTGCGTAAGTGTGGGTTGCTGAAGGGATGGACCCCAGATACGGTTCAGAATTCACTCACCGCTGATGTTAGCCACGACTGGGAACGAAACAGGTTGCTGGGTTCATAGCGCATGGCACGTAAACCAATACACCGCACTACGTGTATAAATACAATGGTGCGTCTCTAGGCGAGGATTAGACCTCTTAATTGCACTCGCAGGCACAATGGCAGTACCTTTGGATGCTGCTCAACTCTATCGCAATGTGATAAAAAAAAATATTTATCCATTGCAGGACTAAACAATTAAGATTGCAACACAGGGTCCTTCTATTATGGAGATTTGCGGAATCTTCCAGCCATTCATGCCCACCACTCTTTGTAAAGCGTCTTTAGATGTGGTCACACACAGGTGCTTTATAAATCCTAATTGGATTGTACCAACTTGCCGCCGTTATGTAATCATGCATAGGCCCAGCTCCGTAAAAACAACAACATTCGATTTCAAAGGCAATTTCAGGATGAAGATTGTGCAAAGCACTTAACAATTCACTTGTAATGCACAGTTAAGACAAAACACAACATATCGAGACACTACAATCAACTAAATGTGACACAGATTGCTGCCACCAAGTTAAATGTTTTGAAAAGTCGATTCCAACAATGTCTTGAGGCACGGTTTAAATGACTGCCGATAATTGGTCAGTTCTTACCGAGGGTGGGAGAGAATTCCACACATTCCATCACCCTTCGTACACACCGGGTGCTTACCAGGGACTGGAGCCTGCTTGCACTACAACACCGCGTGCGATGACTTTTATCCGATGCGTACAATCAAGCGGCGCTATATGGGTGCGTGCAATCTCACGCTGCGTTTACACGTGCGCATGGGGGACCGTTGCTACTTGTCGCAAGCAACTTACGTCAGCGTGCAGATGCAAAACAAGCAATTGCCCTGTGAGCGGAAGCTCGTGGCAGAAGCTGTGGCCGCACTTGCGAACACCTCTGCGGAACAGAACTATACCGGCGCCCTATCGCTGCGAAATATCGCAGCAATGTCGCACCGCCTGACAACAACCGACCTCTCCGGCACCACATTCCTCCTGACACCACCATCACAAATGCCACCGTGCCGCATTCCCGTGGCCGCCGGTGGCCAAACCTGTGCAAACGCCACCGCATTCCTCCCGGGGCCAACTCACCGCTTCCAGCTGCATCTTCTTCTGTGTGAGCAGCTCCAGCATGCGGTTCACGTCGGCGAGCTCCAAGCCATCTTGGTCCAGCGCCAGCAACTCCTGGATAGTGTGCCAGTGCTGGCCGCTCTGTGAGGAAGAGGGGGGGGGGGGGGTGGCAGGGTGGAAGGGTCACACAACACGGGGATCAAGAGACGTGGCCGGTCACCTTTGTGAAGTGCGAAAAGCACTGCCGAGAGTCGTCTCCTTCTTTCAGCAAAGTTCACGCGTGTCCACGTCGAGGCAGGTTCAGCTACCGACGACACCGACAGGCCGTAGCACACAGGGCGTCTTCGGTCGGCAAACTCCAACCATGGACCACGTGGGGGAACTATTTCAAAAATGTTATATATTTGGTTTACCAGGCAAGGTCCACTGAGCTTTATACTTCTTTTTCAGTCGTGATCTGGCCACAAATGAAAGGTGAATGAAGTGGTTTATGTGGAAATTTATAAAAGCCAAATTCTCGTAAAGTATATGAACCACTGCTTGCCCCGTTGATCATTCGCTGTGAGATTCAGATATTCACCAGGCGACTTCTGAAGCCATCCACTGGCTCACCAACTAACGAGTGAGATGCAACGCAAAAAGTTTAGCTCCCAAGGAGCACCGATGGTCGATACACAGCGCAAAGATGTTAAAGGAGGGAGGAACTAATGGGTGTGTATGTCGAACTTTTTTCACACCGTACATAGCCAACCATGCTAAATCGGGAGGTGCGGAGAAAGGACAACAAACTAAACACAAAAAGCAGTTCTAAAGAAGTGAGTGTGGTGGTTAGTGGTCACTTTTCTGCGTGGCTTTTATATGTTCACCCCCTGTTCTGCATGGGTTTCCTCCAGGTTCTCCAGTTTCCTCCAACTGCTAATAAACCGTACAATGGAACTGGCATTGGCCAAACATCCAAATGTTGAAACATTTCCTGCAAATTAATATTACACACAGCAACCCTGATCCCGCGACTACAAACAAAAAGACTTGTCAGGACCCTCCTGGAAAAAAATGTGTGACTTGGTCAAGCTTTCATGGATAAGCAAGTGCAATAACAATAATAAATTAACTTTTGATTTAAAGCTTTCGTGACTGCAGGGATTCATATTCTTGGTTCTTTCGGTAAAGTCACGTAGAAGGGAAACAATAAAATAATAAAAATATAAAACAATAAAATTCTCACGACGTTTCGACTGCAACACAAGCAATCATCTTCAGGTGTGAAAACCACAGCAAGAAAATTTTAAAAAAGTGGCGGTTATTTTAACGTTAGCACCACGGAGAGCGATTTGACAGTTTGTTCAGATGGACGAGTCGTGATAATTTTATTGTTTTATATTTTTATTATTTTATTGTTTCTCTTCTACGTGACTTTACCGAAAGAACCAAGAATATAATAAAATAACTGTCTAGGACAAAGGGCTGCACTTATTCTGTGAGAGTTCCGATCAGATTAGTTGTCCAAGGACATCATCTGCCCATTGCACAGAATAAATCTTGGGGATAATTTAAAGTAAAGATAATGCAACAAAATGTGCCAGTTGTGTTTTTCCCTGCACATCTCCAACCGAGGCACGTGCACGTGGGACACTTACCGGTTGTTCCATCTTCATTCTCTTCTCCTCAAGCCGCTGACGCTGCTTCAGGATCAGCTCATTCACTGCGAACAAACGCGTATGGAAAAAAGCTGTTAAATATTCAATAATGCGAGCATCAACCGTTGAGGCATGTGTTGCATTGTGGTGAAACAAATATATGCAAAAGATGCAGGTGGAAGGAAAATAATTTAAAACAACTCACAGAGGAAGTTGGGAAATATCTGGTTTGGATTCTCAATGACGTAATTGCACTTGGGGCAACGATTATTCTCCTCCAGACTCCGACGGATGCATTTGCAACTGAAACAGACAAAATGCAACGGCGAGTAATTGGCAATCATCGTTATTAGCATTATTGGAAAATTTACCAATCACCGAATATTGTCGCGCATTCATCAGACGGTGGAAAAAAAATGGAATGCAATAACAAACTATTTCGGCATCGCATTAGCTCCAACTGGGCGAGACTCTGGCACAAAAGCCAAATTAAAGGGCTGCGTTCATTCATTTGGCTTGAACAAAATAAGTTTCCCGACAATTATCGGATGAGCGAAAACAAACCGTGCCACACCCCTCGAAGCCAGCACAACCGCAATTGTTGCCAGGCAACACGGGAAGGAGCGTGGGAAGCAGTGGTTAGGCAACTATGCAATGAACCCGGCAGCCCGAGTTCGATTCTTGGCCATAGCTAACATCAGTGGCACGTCATATCCAAACCGGTCCTGGGACTTCAGAACTAGCTTCAATAAGCACTCTGACCAGCGTGGCAATGTACAGTCAAACAACCCCCACGACCGACAACACATGGCGAGGCCTCCATCCAGCAGTGAATTGAAAAGGGCTGTGAATTCGTTAGTTTTAATAGGAGGTTTCCTGCAAACCCTATCTGCTTTCTCTGACAAAACTGGAAAAAATACGTCGGGCATTGAAGTCACCGTATACTGGGCTCTTTTAAAATGGGAGTAAAAAAAACATCTGGCTTCGATGCATATGGCTTACGTATTCAATTACCTATGATGTAGCCTGAAAAAATGCTACAGCTGTTAATTCATTAACACAAAATTACAATTTTAAAAAGTGGCCATTATTACGATCACGCGAATGCTAAGTGTTTAAAGGTGCCTGCCCGCAAACCAAGCAAAGTTCAATATTAAATAACAATGCACGAAGGAATCATGATACATCACTATACATTCCTCTTGAAATGTAGAGAACTATGCACAAATAACTACATTTTGTTTCCACACATGTATATATTCTATATGCTCACTGGCTTTCCAGACGCATGTTCAACCAACTATGGACCAGTTTACACGTTTGAGGTCTCATCAGCAGTTAGGGCTCGCAAGACAAATGTTGCCATATATTATTGGCAAATGCACTCCATCTAAATAATGGGGTCCATTCCAAATAAAATGAGTGTGTGTGTACTACTGCTCAGCAAGAAGTAAACTTAGAAGTACTTTGAAAAGAAAGCTTATCAGTAAGAGTTAATGGGGCACAATTTCAGCAAAAGCATTTTAGGACTCTGACTTTGGCTATAAAACAAACAAATAAAACACCTAGGGTAGTTCCTTATTAACAGAACGATTGGCTTCATCTTATAATGCACTGATAACAGTGAATTTTCGTAAACAACTCACAACGGTGTTTGCAAGGCTTGATGAATCATTAATCACACTGAAAATTGTGAGCGCTCTATTTTGCAGTGCACACCAAAGCACAATTGTCAGCAATATCACTTCGCACAACTTTATTACACAGCCTCTCCTTAAGATCCAATATTTGCTATCAAAAGCTTACATTTGGAAGCACGTAAATACATCTCACTGTGGGGACTATATTACTCGAGTTTATATTTTTCAAAATTATGTTGATGACAATGTAAAATACACCATCTGGTATACATATCGATGATTTTTCTCCTCCCGATTGAATTCCCCTTGCTCGATCTGCATCATGTTATGAGATGACGACAAATTAAAGTTGGACCTCCGTTTAGAGAATGGCAGTGAAAAGGGATATGACAGAACGACTTCTGAAGTCACTTCAGTCAGGCTCTTTAACCATACTAGGGGCACAACATTTATATTTTTTTAATCTTTCGGTAAAGCAAAGTAGATAGAAAAAATAATAACAATATCACGACGTTTCGATCGCAACACAAGTAATCGTCTTCAACACCTTTATGCAACGTGTCAATCAAACTTGTGCTTTTAATTATCTTCGCTGAAATAAGCTGAATTTATCCAAAATAGAGATTTTTGGGTTAGATCGCGTAAATATATGTGTCGTTAAAACCCGCCACCACCCGACAGAGCCAACTAGTAAGGGTCGTTACGTAAACAGAACGTGGCCAATTCGTCACTTCTACAGCACACCGGTGTGTTGGAGAGCCAAGCCACAACATTTACAATCTGAGTACGACGTTTCGCCAGTAATTGCAACTAGCTTCATCAGGCGTCAGCCAGATTTGTGAAGTCTTACTGTTTCGTTCCTTATATAGAGGAGGCGTAGATGTGGTGACCACGCTTCTGTGCTCTTGCACAATGTGGGGGGGGGGGGTAATACATCTTTTGTAGCAGAAATTAATTTCTGTATTTTATGTACCGTGCCAAATCTGACTCGGATATTTTGTTTTTACAAACATCTGGATAGTTTATCAGTTACTCCCGCAATGATCGGTATTTTAATCGTTTTAATTACTTGGGCAGTTTCAATAGCAAGAGCATTGAAAAAGATGTATTACCGAAGCTATCGAAAGAAGGTGTGTACAGGATTAACTGCATGTCTGGTAAATGTTATGTTGGGCAAACAGGACGAATTATCAGCACGAGACTAAAAGAACATCAGAGGAATATTAAATTCTCCCAAATACAACTGTCAGCAGTATCAGAACACACCTGCCAACAAGGACACTCAATTGATTTTGATAATATTGAAGTGTTGTGCAAAACGAGCTACTACTGGCCAAGCCTAATTAGAGAATCTATCGAAATTGAAAGAAATTAAAATAACTTTAATCGTTGGGATAGCTACCGCCTTAGTGCTGCGTGGAAGCGAATCATCAAATAATATATTATTTAAATGCATGCCTACAAAGGGCAGCGTACTTCAATAGGGATTACCGTTGGTAATAAACACAATAGACAGGAAGGACAAGTTCAGAGGGCCTGCATAATGCACATGCATAATGTACGTTGCCTCAGTAAATCCCCCCCCCACATTGTGCAAGCGTGGTCACCACATCTTCGCCTCTATATAAGGAACGCAACAGGTGGACTTCTCCACAAATCTGTCTGTCGCCTGATGAAGCTAGTTGTAATTATTGGTGAAACGTCGTACTCAGATTGTAAATGTTGTGGCTTTGCTCTCCAATACACCGGTGTGCTGTACTAGTGACGAATTGGCATGTTCTGTTTACGCGACAACCCTTACTAGTTGGCTGTCGGGTGGTGGCAGGTTTTAGCGACATATTTATTTATTTACGCGATCTACCCCAAAAACCTCTATTATGGATATTGGTCGCAAAAGCCGACGTGTTAAGCAGAATTTAGTTAAAAAGCTAATTTAATATGAAGGATTTATATAGTGCTGTCACTTGCAATCAGGATTTGACCATTAGCCAGCTAGATGGGAGACCAAGGTTAAAACATGGATGGATGCCCAGTTATAAACCCAGAATATCTCGGCAGTGCTGGCTTGGAACTCTGACCCGACCTTAGCAACCTGAGCCCTCCAGCCATTCCTATCCTCGAAACAGTCTTAAGAATACAAATACAAAGACCGCCTATTAAGCCTTAAAGGGCTGTTGGGGTAAGTGTTGTTAGCAAGGACCTTTGAAGGCCGGTACTGTTGTACGTGATGTGGTGGGTGGCCCAGGTATGGTTCAGATATTCGTCACGGGTATTAGCCATGAGCGTGAATCGAACTCTGGTCGCCAGGTTCGTAGCACAGTACACTAACTACGACACTACCGCTAACCACTACACTACCGCATCCCACACAGACCATGCATAGCGTACTAAGTATGTATGAGGCACCTAAATGTAATATAACATTGCGCGATGCCATTTCTTTTCTTACAAAAACAACTATCCAGTGCCACGGGGTACATTGCACGATATCCTTTATTTATCAACATACATGTACGAGCACTGAAGCGATCACTGCTGCCTGCCACATACGATTTAATCTCGGGCGTGCGGCCCGTGCAAGTGAACATCAGCAATTCTCCTCCAAGCAGAAGCACATACCAGAAGCTGTGGCCACACTTGGTAATGTACGCCTCTTCTATCATGTCGAAACAGATGGGGCTGAAAATGCAACAGCACAAAGGGAGACAAACAGACATTGGCAACAAAGGAAGAGTTTCCAACACAGCCCTTGCATCACAATGTCATGGGACTTTCAGCTCTCAATGCCGATCAACATTTGTTGATATAACCGACGCCACGTCTGTCAACATAAATCATTACATGTAGTTGCTGCCATTCATTTAAAGTCATTCCCTGCCTTCATCAATAATGCTTTAAGAAAATATGTTTGGATGAGTATGAAACATAATGGAACCACATCTGAATATCAATGCACTACTCTTCTTATTCAGGTGATCCAGCTACTTGAGTTTCTTCCAGCCCAACTCTTGGCTACCAATTCATAGAACTCTGACAGCCCAACCAGCCTTCATAGATGCTCCCTAACAGCACTTTCCCCAACAAACTAAAAAGGGCTATGGTGGGAGACGCGTCTTGTTTTATGTGTGCACATACACAAAAACAAATATCCCCCATATAGCCAGTACAGACTGTTGGGCAAGTGCTGTTTGCGAGCACCTATGAAGGCCGGCACGGCACACGAGGGGGTGGGTGGCCAACACCACGCCCGGCCGCCTTCGTCTCCCCAGTGGTGATGTTTACACACTGCCCCAGGTGCTCGTTTAAGGCTGAGTCGACCTAGGGGAGGCCCAGGATTGGTTCAAATAATCGTCACTGGAGTTGGCCGCAAGCGGGAATCGAACTCTGGTCGCCAGGTTCGTAGCGCAGCGTGCTAACAGCTACGCTACCACTCCCCACCCACATACACAAATACATGTGCACATACAAATTGTGTGCCGAAATGTATATTTGTGTATGGGTGTGCGTGTCTAATTTAGTCTGCGAGTACGTGTTTTGTATCTTGTTTTGACGCGTCAGTGTAATCTCTGTGTGTCTGCATGTAATCTGCATGTGTGTGTGGTCTTTGGGTCTTTGTGTGGCTGCATTTAGTCTGCATGTGTGCGTTTCTAGTCTGTGTCCGGACGCATTAGTATGTAATATACGTGAGTCACCTCTAGCAATCACTGCTCACTGCAGTGTGCGCGTGTGGGCCAACAGGGATTTTATGGAGAGGGGAAGGAGGTTAGGGCCAATTTCACAGGCTCTTTCATGTTTTTGGTTATTTTGGTAAAGTCAAACAATAAAATATAAAACAATGTTTTATATTTTTTAAAACAATGTTTTATATTTTTATTATTTTATTGTTTCTCTTCTACGTGACTTTACCAAAAGAACCAAGAATATGAATCCCTACAGTCACGAAAGCTTTAAGTCAAAACACATTTACATTTTCTTTGGTTCTTTCGGTAAAGTCACGTAGAATGAGAATAAAATAATAAATTAATAAAATAACAATAAAATTATCACGACGTTTCGGCCACAACACAAGTGGCCTTCATCAGGTGAAGGGACGAGACTGTCTCGAGGACAGCGCTGGAGCGAACACAGCCAAGCTCAGACCGCGACCTTTAAGGTTAGAGTCGCGGCACCTCTTCAGAAAGGTGAGAGACTCGATTAGTTGAGCCTTCTTATCCCGGAGTCTGAGCTTGGCTGTGTTCGCTCCAGCGCTGTCCTCGAGACAGTCTCGTCCCTTCACCTGATGAAGGCCACTTGTGTTGTGGCCGAAACGTCGTGAGAATTTTATTGTGTTATTTTATTTTATTAATTTACTAATTTATTCTCATTCCACGTGTCTTTACCGAAAGAACCAAAGAAGATGAATCCTTGCAGTCATGAAAGCTTTAAATCGAAACATTTACATTTACGCGATCTAACCCAAAAAAAAACCTATATTATGGATTTGGTCAAACATCCTCATGCAAGATCCTTCTTTTATACAACAAAAATATTTGATGTTTATACAGCATCATATATACTATGTAGTCTTGTCGCTCACTTAGGCTTTAACAGATGAAGAGCATTATGAACAAACTAAACAGCTGACACAGTCGGACAATTAAGATTCTATAGCTATGATTTGCCAATAAAGTACTCCACACAGAAAATGCTCTAGGACAGTGGTTCTTAACCTGGGCACCTCCTGGGGGTGCGAGAAGACCTTTCTGGGGGTGCGAGACATGGCCAGATTTTTTTTTAAAGGTAAATCGTTGAAACACATACTTAAGGACGGGCACGTAAGTACAACTACTTTGTTTCATCAAACCGATGTATTTATTAACGTTATAAAAATACAATAGAGAACCAATTTGGTGCAAGGTTGCAGTAAAGGTTAAGAACCACTGCTCGAGGACAGATAGCTGTGGAAACTTCAGCACACTGAGACATCAAAGAGCTTTAGCTTTTAGGACTAATAGAGCATCCACTAAAGCAATTACACAGCTATAGCAATTATAGTAATGATGTATTAGAACGCTACCGAGCTCCAATGTCCCCGATAAAATGTTCCTTGGAAACACGAATACTTTGTTGTCGTTATTATAGGATAAAAAAACCTGTTAAAAATAATACATTTTAGTACAAGTCCAGTCTGCCCTGTAAAGCGCCAACAATTATTGTAAAAACAATGCAAACGCGGGACAATCGCAAACATAACTTTTTGCAAAATTTGTCGAATAATTTCACTGTAAAAGTAGACTGGAGTGACGGAACGAGTCCAACTGCGATGTTAGTACCATTGCCACACTTTTAAAATATCCTTGAAACTCAATTAAGCGTCCCTGGATAAACATAAGCAATTCACGTCGTTATTGTCATTTACCCACCGAACATAAACAAACTAAGCACAATCAATACTGCATTAAAACAATAACGTAAATACTTTTTTTAAGTAAAGCGTCTCACCGATTTCGTACAAGGGTCTTTAAATGACCAAAAGCCATGCCAATGATCAACTGGTGGCTGAGTGCCTCCCCACACCCACACCCTGCCGCCTGCCCGGCCACGATGATGTTTGTTTGATCATCCTACAGCACTCGCTGCTGCTTCATTTGCGGCTTTGTACAGAAGCCAAGTTCCAGAACCGGTTCGAGGCATCTTTCTCTCTCTTTCTCTCTCTCGGCACTGAGCCGTTGCCTGGAATCAAAAAAAAACCGGGGCTCACGGAGCACCGTAACCACTCAATCCACGGCAGTGCAGCACTTAAACGATAAAAAACCCTACAATTGTTGCTAGGACTCCCTGTACACCGGTGGGCAAGCGACACCTGAACCAGTCCTGCCCAGCCCCCCCCTAAGTACTTCCCAAACACGCACTGACCAGCGTGGTGCAGTATGGACAAACAATTCGCATGGAGCGACACTGCGTAGTTTTAGAGGCCTTCATCCAGGAGTAGATTGGCCAAGGGGTTCTGTCGCATATACAAATTAACAGTTAACAACCGCCACGCCGCCCGCGCGCATTAAACCCACCACACGAAGTCGTTATTCTTGTCTTCGTACGAGTTCACGAGGCCGTTGTAGATGGGCGCTTGCGGCCGCTTGCGCTGGCCGCCTCGAGGCGTGCCTCTCCCGGCCGCCCCGCTAGACGAGCCCGAGGCTCCGGCCGAAGAGCTGGCCGAGGCTTGGCGACTTGAGCCGGGGCCCGACGAAGAGCCGGACCCCGTCACCGACGCCGTCGACATCGCCGAGGTCTGTCAGAGATGCATGCGAGGCGTTAACAATGACAGTAATACATTACTTGTTATTGTAATTAAAACGTCGTTAAGGAGAAACGAGGCAAACGTCTACACCCCCGCTACGACCACGCTACAGGCGACTCGGTCGAGGCCCTGGCGTGGATCCCAACCGCCCCCCCCCCCGCGCCGAGAACAAAGTGGACTAATCCGAGCGGGGGGACCACGTGACTGGCGCGTGAAGCCGCCGCGACTTCTGAGCGATCCGATTGGCTTAGGGGCGAGCCGATGACGTCACAATCTCAAGCGCAGCACTTTAAAAAAATAAGGTTCAAATTATAAATTAATGTTTCGATTTAAAGCTTTCGTGACTGCAGGGATTCATCTTCTTGGTTCTTTCGGTAAAGTCACGTAGAAGGGAAATAATAAAAATAAAACAACTAATTTGTCTATAACAGAGTGTTTGCTTTCGTTGTGGTGCCAACAACAACAAAGCACAAATAATACAACAACTTAAAAAACCAAAGTCACAATCGTCGACGGCACTGGCGGCGCGTGCTTCTACGAGGAAGGCAAAGTTTTAAGTTTACCCTCATGGTCAAATTGCCTTGAATGAAACGCAACAAAGATCTTCTGAGCTCAATGATGGGGAGGGATTCGCGTGTAGGTAGAGAACTTTGTCGGATTGCGGTGTCGCACGGGCCAGGTAAGAGCGCTCGAGCGGATAAGAGTTGGAGAACACGCTGTACGCCATGGGGCCGGATAAATAGGTTTTTTTTCTTGTTTGTTTTTAATCCTCCCCCGATGAAACAGTTTTAAATTTATCGTTAATACCATTGGTCCCCTGGTGGCTTTTGAGCGACAGACAAATCCGTAATGAATAAGAAAGAAAAATACAAAATCGAATTTGTATCAAAGTTAACTCCTGCCTAAGATGGCGACCGCCGACTCTAATTGGGTCTCGCGCGGTGACGTCAACGATGCCCCCCCCCGCCGGCAAGCTTACGAGGGGTAATCGATTAATTATCGATTCATGCCGCGTTCGATTCAACGAGTTTGGTTATCGATTTAGTGTCGATTCTACAGGGGTGGTCTAAATGTCCGTGTGACCGTCAAGTCAAATTGTACCTACCAAACTTGTCTTCTCTTTTCATATTTACTTATTTTAAATAAACCTGACTTTTAAAAAATATAACGTTTTAGAGACTTAAATGGGGGAGGGGTGGGGGGGCATCACAAGACATCTGGACCACGTGTCACAGTACTGGTTTATGTATTGTACAATAACAGGGCACAAACCATCACTTGTGATTTATCCGCTGGTAGATAAAGCGCTCCCCACTTCTATATCCATCCCTCTCCCATTGTCTCTCCCCCCCACCCCCAAGCTCTTTCAACCTTTGTCAATTCAATAAACGCGTGGACGCCTTGATATTACAAATCTGAGACTGCTGTTTGTTGCTGACCGCTTGACAATTTGGGCCATTTTATTTATGGCGAGAGACGTTCAATGTACTACAGGAAAAACGACGAATGTCCTGAGCCCTGGATTTGAATAGATAGGGGCAAGAGAGTCGAGAGCAGGGAGGAATGAGTGACCTCCCACTGTGTAGCGAGAGGTAGGAGAGTGGAGGGGAGTAGGGTGAGAGGAGAGGTAGGAGAGTGAGAGGAGGGGTAGGAGAGTGGAGGGGAGTAGGGTGACAGGAGAGGTAGGAGAGTGGAGGGGAGTAGAGTGACAGGAGAGGTAGGAGAGTGGAGGGGAGTAGAGTGAGAGGAGGGGTAGGAGAGTAGAGGGGAGTAGGGTGAGAGGAGAGGTAGGAGAGTGGTGGGGAGTAGGGTGAGAGGAGAGGTAGGAGAGTGGAGGGGAGTAGAGTGAGAGGAGAGGTAGGAGAGTGAGAGGAGGGGTAGGAGAGTGGAGGGGAGTAGGGTGAGAGGAGAGGTAGGAGAGTGGAGGGGAGTAGGGTGACAGGAGAGGTAGGAGAGTAGAGGGGAGTAGGGTGACAGGAGAGGTAGGAGAGTGGAGGGGAGTAGAGTGAGAGGAGAGGTAGGAGAGTGAGAGGAGAGGTAGGAGAGTGGTGGGGAGTAGGGTGACAGGAGAGGTAGGAGAGTGGAGGGGAGTAGAGTGAGAGGAGAGGTAGGAGAGTGAGAGGAGGGGTAGGAGAGTGGAGGGGAGTAGGGTGAGAGGAGAGGTAGGAGAGTGGAGGGGAGTAGAGTGATAGGAGAGGTAGGAGAGTGGAGGGGAGTAGGGTGAGAGGAGGGGTTGGAGAGTGGAGGGGAGTAGGGTGACAGGAGAGGTAGGAGAGTGGAGGGGAGTAGGGTGAGAGGAGAGGTAGGAGAGTGGTGGGGAGTAGAGAGGAGAGGTAGGAGAGTGGAGGGGAGTAGGGTGAGAGGAGAGGTAGGAGAGTGGTGGGGAGTAGAGAGGAGAGGTAGGAGAGTGGAGGGGAGTAGGGTGAGAGGAGGGGTAGGAGAGTGGAGGGGAGTAGGGTGAGAGGAGAGGTAGGAGAGTGCGTGGAGGGCTGTCGTGATAAAACAAAACTTCACGATAATTAAATCCAATACACTGGTATTTGAAACATTTAGACGGACTGCGTGACAAGTGTAACTGAGATTGCCTAACATGAACACATTCAACTTCTTGGTGGCTTTTAACAAAACATTTTAATTTTGTTTGTACAAAGTACAGTTCATTCCATCTCGATGTGCATCAGTATAAACATGGGCTTCGGTCGAACGCCTATGAGTTACACACGAAGGCAGATAAAGCGATTTAAGAAGCTGTTAGCGATTAATGAAGTAGACAAATTTAAAAAAAATCATATTCGCATAATACCCAGAGCTGGTTGAATGCAGTTGCTTTAGGTACTGCTGCCCAGGGTCTGAGACTCGGGGCCTCCATGCATGAAGTTAGATTCATAACGGGTGAAATGCAATACCGTCACAATAACATGGCTATGTTGCCACCAGTTACGTGGCCAAAAGCAAAGGGGTTTTGTTCACTTTAACATTGAACTATACCTTACAATTCGTAATAACGGAGATAAATAGCAAATGTTTGTGTGCGGCCCTCATGCGTTGTTGGCAGTGAAGCTGTCGAGGGTATGAACCGAGTAATATAAACAGGGCCCCCCCACCTCTCCAAGCGGTACCAGCCCAGGGCCCCCATCAAACGTAATTGGGCCCTGATTATACCATGCACGATGTGGTCAGCCAGCAGAAGGCACCTATGGGGGGAGTTTTTATTGTACATCCGTGAACAACTGCGAGGTGGCAGAGGGCAATGTAAAACGGCGTCATTTAAACAAAACAAAAAAACAACAACACATTTTAAAGAAATCCCTTTAAAACAGGACACTGGCATGTCATCATACCTTTATACACGTTACTTTAAACGATTACGGAACAAAATGGTAGAATTTATAAATTAAAAAAACGCTTGTGTTAACATTTATTTCTCTGTAATGCACTTCTCATATTATTCAGGAAAACAAAAAGCGTCGCTTTGTAAGACGCGAAACTATGTACACTTTAAGCAAACGGGACAACATTCGTAAACTCGCACGTAAACAAAACGTTCGTGTTATAATTTAATACTTAAATTTCATGGTAGCGATTAAAAAAAAGGAACAGTTAAAATTAATATATTCGGCTTCATGCATTAGTAACACAAAAACCATTAGTGGATATTTTTTTCTTTTTTTTACAACCAGGGACGTTAACAACATCAAATGTTTTGCTGCAGTGTTGCACAATGTCATGGGATTGCAGTTGGCTCTAAACCGGATGGGGTGTTCTGATGAGGGGGAAACTGATTGAGAAAATTGCCAAGGGAGACATTTCCATTGGCACTTACGTGCAGTTTGTAAAGACCAAGAGTCTGGACCCTCGAAACAGGTGACGGTCGAAGGCAGTGTGTCACAGAAATAGTGAACTTGAATGAAAGCCAACAGGTCTTATGGCTGTCGAAATCCCTTAAGAGATTAAACCAGGTGTAGACACAGCCAATGTTTTTTTCTAAAACTACAGGGCACTAACCGCAGTAAAGTGCCATCAGATCTTCATATCCGTGATCGTTCTGTAAATTAATGTTTTTTTTCCCCGCACCTCACTTGTGAATTTTGCAATTACCATGCCAAAATAGTCACCATCATGATGGCTTAATGTCACTTACAAGCCACTAGTGACATTATTAAATTGCCCCCCTCCTTGAGATGCAAGGAACCGAGTCGCAATTCAATTGTCGAATCAAATTTGTGTCTGAGACTGCGTCGAAAGTCACGGCCACGAGAGGTTGCAGGGATCACGCGAACCGATTATGGCAAAAATGTCTCCAATTGGCAGATTTCCCAGACCACAATGTCCACCCTTGCATCGCCACCTTTCCCTCGCGCCCTCGTACTATTTACAAAACGGGCATATACATATTTACGCACGCAGAAAAAAAAGGTCTTCATGTAGAGTTCTCGTCATTTCCTTTCCGCCGCTCATATATAGATCATGTTTAACGCGTACGCGTCTGTGTGATTTGTCGAACGGATCGACTCCGATCCCGTGCCGCGCGTCCAATCCCCGCGAGCGTCTCGGCGTCCGGTACTCGCCGAGTAACAGGGCCGTACGTTGCCGGGGGGGGGGGGGGGGCGCGCCGCTCCGACGCCGGTGACCATCTTCGCCACCGACTCCCTGGACGGCGATGCTCATTGGCCAATGAGCACCTCTGCACCCATGCAGGGCCGCGGCGCAATGTGCACAACCAATGTACATTAAAAACAGCATCTCGGAGTGCGTTTAGCTTGAGACCGGCACGTCGGCCACACACCTGGGCCGGAAGTGCCCGTTGAATGCTGGTCTTGAAACGTAACGAGGGGACGACATGAACGGGGAAAAAAAGTAAAAAAAAATGGAGGGGAGCAGCCTCATGGGACACCGCACGATAGCTAAATTTACTCGTAATAAAGGTTTTTGGGTTAGATCGCGTTATTTATAAATGTGTCGTAACCCTCCACCACCCGACACGGCCATTCAGCAAAAAAGTGTCACGTTGACAAAAGACAATTAGTCCACTACTTTAGCCCACCGGTGTGTTGAAGAGTGAATCCACAACATTTACAGTTTGAGTACGACGTTTCGCTGGTAATTAAACAATACATATTACAATTCCTTATAGGGGAAACACATACTAATTAACGGATTACTAACGTAGCATATAATCACAATAACACACATTACAACTAATTACAATACCCCCCCCTCCGCCTCAAATCACTGCACCTGAATGAGTTAAATGATGACGTCACCCTGCTGCTGCTCTATTTAAGACCGGGAGCAAGTGAGGGCTTGACCATTCTGGCGAATTGCCCGATGATGCTGGATGTAATTACCAGCAAAACGTCGTACTCAAACTGTAAATGTTGTGGATTCACTCTTCAACACACCGGTGGGCTAAAGTAGTGAACTAATTGTCTTTTGTCAACGTGACACCTTTTTTGCTGATTGGCCGTGTCGGGTGGTGGAGGGTTACGACACATTTATAAATAACGCGATCTAACCCAAAAACCTTTATTATGAATAATATTGGACGCGAAAGCCTTCTACGTGTTAAGCTAAATTTACATTCCCAGAATCGGCCGCCGCACATCATCAGAGCATTTCTTCTTCCACGTAGGAGAAGGGAAAAAGTCCAAACTGAAAGAAAAGAGGGGGCAGTGTTTAATGTTAGTACACTTGGGGGGGGGGGGGGGGGGGGGGGGGGGGGTGGGTCGCTGCCTCTTGAAAATGAACACAAGGTTAAAATAATTACGGCAGAGATATACACATACAGCCCCATTGCTTGGCGAGGGACATCCCAGCGCTGGGCAGATCTTGGGGCTATTTGGCCATAATTCACCGTGCTGGTCAGTACGGGATGGTGAAGGTGGGGAGCATAGACGTTGGAGCATAGTGCAGTGCAGCAATGGATTTTGCTGCTTTGCTCTCTACTGCTGACCACGTAACCCCATAGCCACCTATGACAACCTGTTCGTGCATGGTGCTAACCCATCCAAGCAATATGCAGGCTCAACCCTGCTTAGCATTAGAAGTCTGACAAGATCGGGCACGTTACAGGTGATTTGGTCATAGGCTTACTTGAGATCCACCTCTGAAAAAAATACATTCGGCATTGCAACTAATTAATGGATAATTATATGCGACAATGGATCTATATATTCCCACCAGACATTACCTGGTGTCGGTCTTGATGTGCTTGCAAGTGACAGGTGTGAAATAAATTTGACAACACTGATTATGATGACGTTATTACACGGAGGAATCAACGTCCTTGTGCGTAGCGACCATTTCGTCTGAATTTGTGTGTAGAGGCCCCCCAGGGGGGGCTGGGAAGTGGCGGGGGGGAGGAGTATCTCATAACATTTTTGAGATGTCATATATGTAAAATTGTACATACGATGCACATTAAATTTTAGATACATGAAACAAAAGCCAATTTGATTCCCTGCTCAAGTGAGCGTTGGGGGGCAGCGTTCATCTTATGTTCATAGCCCTGAGCCAGTGGTGCAAATTCCTCGTTCCTATGGTAGTGGCGAGTCTTCCCACGTGACAACCACTGTTGCCTGCCCACAAAGTCATTTTGTCATTCCCGGAAAAAATGATGAACCGAGTCAACCCCCAACTAGAATTTGAACTCGCAACCGTACAATTGCGAGCCTCTCGCTCCACCTCCGAGCCAACTGGCTATATTCTGCAAAACTTATTTACAAGCAGTCAACTTTTAAAAATGAAAATTAGTGACTTTCACGGTGGAAACTATTTGCGCCGGAAAGATAGGGCAGCGAGCCCGGACGCCGTCGTTCGTTCCCTAATGTCAAGGGCGCGTTACGTAGAGCTTGTCACGCACGTTATCTGTCGTTGGATGTTTTTTCTCTCTCTTTTTGAAATCCACTTTGCATTCTGTGTTCCTTAATGGCAACAATAAATATTTTTTTTAGCGTCAACGCGTGCGTTGCGCGCGTTGCGAGTGCGCACTCGTGTCCCTCCTACCCGTCCGCAGCTCTCCCCCTTCCACCAGCCATTGACGCCTTTGCTGTAGATCTTGACGACGTCTCCCTCGCGGAAGGAGAGCTCGGCGCGGTCCCGCGCCACGTAGTCGTAGCGCGCGATGCCGACGCCGATCGGCTGAGGCTCTGAGCGCCCAAGACGGAGGGGGAGAAACAGAGTGTGGTTACCTGCGTCGAGGGGGTCGGTCTGTTAAAACCAGGGGTGATGGGACACTTGGAACTTTTGTGTGCGCGTGCGTGTGTATATATATATATGCGTGTGCGTGTTGTTCTAACGGAGTGATTTGTGTTGAATAAAGAAGCTGTTACGATACAAAGGAAAAATATTTCCACGTAAATAAAATGGTTAAAAATCAGTTCTAAATTATAATTTTTTTGTACAGTCTTTGGTGACTGGACTGAGACCATGAACTCAGCATACGCAGTTTAAGCACAGGCGGCTACCATATTTATAACCCTCACTTGCCCCGCTATCACAATGCTATCGTTACTGCCATGGTTACAGTTCTTGCGAACTTCTCTCATGGATTCCTCCACCCTTGTGGAAGACTCGGTGCACACTGTTTAATCTCATCCACACTTGGTTTATGACGCTTTGGGTCTGCATTCAGCAACTGTATAACTAAAATAGAAGTAAAAAAAAGGCAACCGGGCTGGCTCGGCACGGCCTCGGTTGCGCGGTGGAAAAGGGGCGTCACTCACTGTCTGCCGGCCCTCGCATCCGGCGAAGCGGCAAGACAGACTGCATGGAGCCCTTGTACGGGTACTTGAGGTTCGTGTCCAGCGCGCTGAAGCCCTCCTTGAGCGAGTGCACCTGGTAGTACTCGACCAGTTGCTGGAGACAAACAGGCGAAACGCAGGCGGGGCAGGTCACGCGCGCACGTGAGGTAGGATACGCACGCACACGTACAGGTAAAGGAGCAGCCCTTGCATTTGTCTCCTCGCGCCACTGCTGGCGGAAGGGCCTCCACTAGATGGCCTATCTAGGCCCTAGGAAGAGGTGGGGGGGGGTACCCACACTTGGGGCACCATGGTGACGAGATGGTAACTACCTCGCCTGGTATACAGAGGTCGTGGGTTCAATCCCGACCCTGATGCCAGTATATTTGGTGTTTGCATGTTCTCCCCGTGGCCCCGTGGATTTGTCTCCACGTCCTCCGGTTTTTCCCTCCACGTTAAGAAACGTGCGTTTAGAGTATTTGGCTGCTATAAATTTGCACGTGATAAGCCACTTCATTGAGCTATCATTTGTGGCCAGGTCGCTTCTGAAAAAGAGCTATACAGCTCAGTGGGCCTTACCTGGTAAAATAAAATAAAACAAATTTCAATATTTTTTTGTTAAAGCATAATAGTTTTAGCACACCATATGCGACCTGCCGATCGACTTAACTGTGTTGTCCCCATCTATATATCACTCGCTTCTGGTGTTGGCCGTGAGCTGGAGTCGAACTTAGATCACCGAGTACATGGCGTAGCGCAATAACCACTGTGCCACCGCTCAACACTTGCCCCATTAGTCTATGAAAGCTATATGGGTCTTTGTGTAAAAATGGAGAGCGGTGGCACAGTGGTTAGCACACTATGCTACGAATCCCGTGACATTAGAGATGGAGGGATATTGTCCTATTGTTGAATTAATAGCAATAATAAAAAAAGGAAAATAAACCGTTGCATCATTCCCATTATTATTGCGCTTGCTTGCCCAGGAAAGCCTCGCCGAGTCTCATGACACTTTTTTCAGGACGGTCCTGCCACAACCCAAGTGAGTAATTTGCGGAACATTTCGCTAATTTTGGACGGTGACGGCGCAAGCTACACACACACCGGGTCGGTCGCTGGAATTCGAACCGCGAAACCTCTGCAACGAGCGTCACCGTCCCAGGGTTGGGGTGAGAGGGGGTTCAGCGCCGCGACCCGTCCAAGTCAAACGTCGTGGTTGGCAGCTCCCAGCAGGGGCTGAGACTCACCACGAGGCTCTTGAAGCGCTTGGTCTCGGTGATATGGAACTTTCCTTCCTTGGCCACGATCTTGATGTGCTTCACCTCGTCGTTGTGCCTGGGAAAGCACAGACGCAGGCGAAGCGTGAATTTCACTCGCGGGAGAACCCTCCACAGGGGGTAATTCCCATTTGGCGAGAGGACACCCAGGGCGGCTGAACGCTTTTGTCAGCAGCAGAAGTTACCAAAGCACCTCGATGTGTTTTTGGGCTCTACCGCACGTTATTTCAGTTAGGGCACGTACTGATCCGGACAAAATATATCTTGGCAGCAACCTCAGATGACCTGAGAGAATGCTTGATGCAGTTTCAAGCGAACATTTTGCATCTAAAAATCGCTTGTTTGCATTTTGGGAATTGTCCTTCAACTCATCGTCGCTGAGTAGTCTCAAACGATAATAAATAACGCGTTGTTAAATGCTTGTGCACACCGCGCGACAATTGAATTTGTTTGGCTGTGTTGGGCGGTTGCATGACAATAATTTGGCCTGATCGCTACACAATCACACCCGAAAATCATGGATGATGGTGACGATGATGACAATGACGACGGTGATGACAATGACGACGATGACAATGATGAAGACAATGATGATGATGACGACAATGATGATGACGATGATGACGACGACGATGATGACGACGATACTGACGTCGAGTGCTGAGAACACAAGTGTCTGGCGTGGCTGCGTTTTTGCCGGCACCGGGGTGGAGGGCAGGCCGGGCGGGGGGGGGGGGGGGAAGCGTACCGGATGCTGATGGCGTACTCGCGCTGGTCCCGGACGCGACCACGCACCAGGTAGGTCCCATGCGGACAACTCATGAGGATGTCCCCAGCCGCGCTCCTCTCCAGCACCTCCGCGAACCTGCCCCCCGGAGCCGAACGTTATCATTGTCGAGTCTGAGCGAGTTCCGGCGCAAGTGCACGTGTGCACCTGTGTAAGTTGAACTTCTTTCGCAACGTACATACGAATGAGCGTCGAGGAGGCGGTGTTCGACTCCCGTTCACGGGCCCCCGAGTTAAAGCTGGAAATTGCACTTCCCTATGGCGGGGGAGAGCGTATCCACGGGGCAACAACCACTGTTGACTTCCCCCACACTGTGGTACATATTGTATCGACCCTCGAGTGATAATGGGCTGAGTCAACCACCAACCAGGATTTTAAGTCGCGGCCATCCGACTGCCCGCCACCCGCTCATGCCGCCTGGCCGGTGTTACCGTAATAATAATTATCATCGTATCTGTGATCATGATCATCATCATCATCGCTACATTGGTAACATATATTAGACAGTCAACACCACCATCCTTTTCAAATAAGTAACGAAAACACAATCATCTGCTCACCATGGGTATCCGCCATAGTCGTGGTTTTCTACTTTCTTTGGCTTCAAAGGAAATAAAAGGACGGAAGACAACATTAAAAATATTACGGATCAGTTATGTGTCATACACCAGGCATACAAGTATCTATTCCTCAGCTGCTCAGCCTGAAGTAATATATGACGTCAATTGAAGGTAGTCTTCACATTTTCAGTGGTGCTTCTCTGCCAAGCCTTTGCCCAAATAACCCAGGATGCACTTGTCCTCATTAGATCTCGGAAACTAAAAACTAAACTATTTTGTATTTGTACCAGGTAAGGCCCACTGAGCTTTAAAGCTATTTTTCAGAAGCGACCTGGCCACAAATGATAGGGCAGTGAAGTGGCTTATCATGTGGAAATGTACAGCAGCCAAATACTTAGTTTAACTCCCAGGCTGTCGCGACCAATATCATCCATAATAGAGTTGTTTTGGGTTCGATCGCGTAAATAAATGTGTCGTTAAAACCCGCCACCACCCGACACAGCCAACTAGTAAGGGTTGTCACGTAAACAGAACGTGCCAATTCGTTACTAGTACAGCACACCGGTGTGTTGCAGAGCCAAGCCACAACATTTACAATCTGAGTACGACGTTTCGCCAGTAATTACAACTAGCTTCATCAGCTTCATCAAATCTGGCTGGCAAATGTTGGCGTGCGTGTGCACGTATTATTCGGGTGATTTTGAAATGCTTACTGGGGTGGAGGGGTTGCCCAATTTATGGAATTGCCTTGCTACCGTTGTTTTGACAAAAGTTCTGAAAACGGCGCTTGCTTTTTTTTCCCCTTGCGCTACGTTTTATCGAACGAATCGCGCTACAGACCACGACCACAGCGGCGTTTCTGCCACGGGGTGAGGACGAACCAACATTCGGCATCCGGACCGGAAAACGTCGGCCACCACCGCCGTAGCCACCATCGCCGGCAGCGAGCAAAGGTCACCGGCCATAGCCACAACCTCACATCCGCGGTGATTTTGCATTTGTAAAGCTCACCGAGCAGGCGATAGCATGGCCACGTGCTTTATTTAAAAAGATATATATTATTCATGTCGGTGCAAGGAATCGTCGTGGCCCACGTGGTGGAAAGTTGGACTTTGTCCCAGTCATCGGAATGTGGAATGTTAAGTACCAACTCAGGGCCACCAATGGAGATGGACGCCGCACCACACCCGTTTGGAGTGGATTATTGACAAAATGGCCATTAAAACATCGCCTTCGTGATCCCCTCCCCCCGCGCCCAATTATTAGTATGAAAACGTCGGCCCGTTTTCACCAAAAACCTGACGACAAGTGGCGTTTACAACGTGCCATTTGGCTATAAACTCGATGGTTCTCATCTTATCTCTTCTGGACTGAGCTGGCCTGTTTCGAACTAATTGCTTCGAAATGAGTGCAAGCGTGTGGGGGTGTGTATATATATGTACGTGTGTGTGTGTATTTTTGTTCGTTTTGATGATGGAAAGATCTACGTATATTCAATCGGTAAGTTGCTAAGGTGCATGAGAAAAATATGTGAATATAATAAAAGTGTTCACATTTCAAATCAATACTGTTCATGTCAACTTTTTTGAAAGTTTAAAATTAATGTAGTTGAACCAAGTAAGAACTCAAGAGACCTGTGGAATGCATCTTCTTTGGTTCTTTCGGTAAAGTCACGTAGAATGAGAATAAAATAATAAATTGATAAAATAAAATAACACAATCATATTCTCACGACGTTTCGGCCACAACACAGCGGCCTTCATCAGGTGAAGGGGACGAGACTGTCTGGAGGACAGAAGGGGACAGCGCTGTCCTCCAGACAGTCTCGTCCCCTTCACCTGATGAAGGCCGCGTGTGTTGTGGCCGAAACGTCGTGAGAATATGATTGTGTTATTTTATTTTATCAATTTATTATTTTATTCTCATTCTACGTGACTTTACCGAAAGAACCAAAGAAGATGAATCCTTGCAGTCACGAAAGCTTTAAATCGAAATTTAACCTGTGGAATTATTCTGCCGGGGGGGGGGGTGATTTTTGCAACGTGTAATCCCAGCTGAGAAGTTTTAATTTGGCAAATTTGCACCCTGACCCTGGCACACGACGGCCTCCTCCTCTTCCGAACGCCAACAAGGGATTTTTAATGTCCACTCTGAAGAAGCAGACAGCGCATTGTAGTATTATTATTGCTACTACTATGAAGGTTCATACACACCACCGCAGTAATAACCGGGGAGACAGTTGGATTCGAACCGTGAACTTTTGAAACAAGTGGCAAACGCGCTACCACTGGGGTGTGGTCAACGCCCAGTGACTTTCTGAGGCACCGCAGTGTTGAGTTTGATAATGCGTTTCGATATGTCTGATTTCTGAAGGGGAATTGCTGCTTCAACAGCGTATAAAAAATGTGTCTGTTATTAAGGCGGCGTTTTTTTTCGGGTAAAAATATGTTTGTCCCCATTGTGTTAAGTCATCATTATACAAAGTATGCATTCGGATCCCTTCATGTTTAGAGAATGGCCCACGGAAGCAGATATTACAGAGCTGCCTCTGAAATCCCTTTCTCTTGCAGCAGGTGGCAGCACTATCCCATTCCTCCGCAACTTACCACAATGTTCCTCGCATGACGGTGAAAAGGAAGGGGTTTTTTTTTACTCCGAAATCTGGAACGTATCTAAATGAAGTGCAGAGCCAATTTGAATGCGATGGCTGTCTCTGTGTAGCCATCGATGACCAGGATGAGATCATCGACTTGCTACAATTGAGATCACCCCACCCAGTGCAACGCTTTTTGCCTGTCACGTTCTCGTCCAGACGTGAGCATTGCCATAATGATGTTACAAATAGTACGACAGCGTCATTGGCCTTAGGTTGGCGCGAGAGATGTTTTGTAAGTATGTTGAACTTCTTTCGCGCCGCGCGTAGCCAACCGTAGCTCATCGGAGGCACGATAGCGGGTGGCACAAAGAAGTGAAAAAAATACGAAAAGATTGCAAAAAAAAGTAATAAGGAAACCCGTGGCGCACTTACCCGCACTGGCTCCACAAAGGTGCAAGGGAAATACCCAACCTTCCCAGAAACCACACTGCGACCCTGCAGCAATCCAAGAGAAAACACACACACAGACATTAGGAAACACACCCACGTACACCACAACCCCCACACACACACCCCCACACACACACCCCCACACACACACCCCACACACACACCCCCACACACACCCCCACACACACACCCCCACACACACTCACACAGACATGAGCACACCCACACACGCACACACATACACACACATACACACACGTACACCAAAGACAAAGATCCCCCATATAACCTTAACAGACTGTTGGGACAAGTGATGTTAGCGAGCACCTATGAAGGCCGGCACGGCACATGAGGGGGTGGGTGGCCAGCACCACGCCCGGCCGCCTTTGTCTCCCCAGTGGCAATGTTTTTATGCTCTGCATCAGGTACTTATTTGAGGCTGAGTCGACCTAGGGGAGGCCCAGGACCGGTTCAAATAATCATCACTGATGTTGGCCGTGAGCGGGAATCGAACTTGGGTTGCTGGGTTCGTAGTGCAGCGCGCCAGCTGCTACACCATCGCTCCCCAATATTCGCCACAGCACTTGCTCCAACAGTATGTTAAGGCTACACGGGGAGCCTTTGTCTTATGTAAACACACAAAGACAAAGATGTCCCGTATAGCCTCAACATAACTTTTGGGGCAAGTGCCACACGCAATAAAATTCACACAAACTACACGAGACACATCAACTTGGGTCTGCTAAGCACTGCATTTAGGCTCAATCGTGATCGACGTGGACGTGGCGAGCACTGCGGTGGAGCGAAAGCGCTTGGGTTGGCAGGAGGACGCTCGGGTTGGCGGAAACCACGGCGTGAAGGGATGGGAGGAAGCGCGCCGGGTCGGGAGGGTGAGCAGTGCGGTGAGGGAGTGGTGAGGAAAGGGTGAGGAGGGAGAGTTTAGGGTGTATGGAAGGGCGAGGAGGGAGAGTTTAAAGGTGGGACCAAATTCATAGACACTTGAGTGCAATCTAAGAAACTATAAACTAAACTATTTTAAATTTAGCCAGGTAAGGCCCACTGAACTATATAACTATTTTTTTCCGAAGCGACCTGGCCACGAATAATAGCTCAAGGAAGTGGCTTATCACGTGTGGAAATTTACAGCAGCCAAATAATCTAAATGCATGTTTCTAAATGTGGAAGGAAAAAAAACACACAATATTTAACCAATTAGGACGACGTTTTGCCCGCATGACATGCACACCGGGTGGCCCAAACGTAATCTTATGGAGATAAGAGTGTAAACCTATTGTTTGATTTGTTATTCCGGTACACTGATTCCACCGCGGAGGAGATGGAGCGGCGAGGCTGGGGACAGAGCGCTCTCTACGTCACCTGCCACCAGTTGCACTTGGGGTCTCCTCTCATGAGCTCGATGATTTCCTTCTTCTCAAACGTGAGTGCGGGAAGATAGGCGGCCGGGGGAGACGGGATCCCAAAGTAGCCGCTGATCGCCGACATCTTGGGCAGACCTGGCAGGCGCACACGGCATCGTCGCGGGCCACACGCGCGGATCACTCGCCGCTCATTCACCACTCGGATCGGAGGCCTGGGCATAACTGCCCCCAAACCCCTCTGCCACCACCCCTCTATGCCAACACCTTCCCCAGCTCCCTCCCCCCTCTCTTTCTCTAAGTGAAGTTGATGCTCACCCAAGTCCGGGGTGGGGCTGGCAGCGGCGCTCCTGGGTCCGTTGAAATTCTGAAAATGGGAGAGCAAGACGTGACGATGATCACTTCCTTCTCGGCGACACTCAGCGGCGAGCGTCGTTCTAACAGGAAAAGGGCATTTGTTTGGGCAGACTTTCGGTGAATCCTTGTGATTTATGATCATCGTCGAACTGCCAAGCAATTCCGGCATCCGCCTGATGACACTGGTTCTTAACTACCAGCAAAACGTCATACCCAGTAGGTTAAATATTGCGTGGATTGCTCTCCAACAACACACTGGTGATGCGGAAGTCGTAGTCAATTGGAACATTTGTCCAACTGACAACTTTGTTATTTGGCTGTCGGTTGGAGGTGGGTTTACGACACACATTATACCTACACGAACCGAATTAAAAAAAATGTATTATGAATCGTAACATTGGTCTCGAAAGCCTTCGTGTGAAATTGTCTCATTCTTGTGCTACATTTGATTCTTGCGTTATAATCAGAACGAGTACCAAACAAGCGTAAAAAATATACAATTCAATTGCAGTACGACGATGATCGTGTGCGTAAACCATATCAGTCACCCCTGGAACAGAATCTAACTCATACATACCTTGTCCATTGTGTTGAGAGGTGAATCTGGAAGGAAAAATCACAGAGATTATTCACCTACAGCTGAACGTATACAGGTTTCGTGACCTCTGGCATCATATACAGTCCACGAGGTACGTAACGACGCATCGATTCGTCCAAAAAGATCGAGTGCGTGGGTTCGTGAGAAGTTATTAATCACGGTTTCATGTGTCATGCATGTTGTACATTAATGTTCCACTTCGGCTAAGGGAGCGAACAGAACCGTACACACGGTGAGACAAAACGCACGAGAAACAGCACGAATGAGGACGGACAGGCGGACGGAGGGACACGGCTAAGGCATTGACGCTCGCAACCGCGGCTGGAAGGTGTTAAGAGTGTTGGGGGTCTCACCTGTGAGCCGCGGTTGGCGGCAGGCATCCATGTTCCCCAGGCACTCCTTGTGGGCGCTCGCCCCGCAGCGCATGCAATGGTAGCCCTGGAAGAACACCCCCCTGCACGTCGCACCACACACGGCGTACATCATCATCATCATCACAACCAATCATCACGAGCATCTTCATTGCAACGAATGCCATCATCAACAGAATGAATGGTTGAGCAAACTCAAAAATGTACAACGGCCAAAAGCTACAATTGAATATATTTAGGATGCAGCGCATCGTGGCGAAAAACCCACAATACTTTGCATGCCCCACGTGTCCCTTAACCCCCATTGCCCCCTACCCCCCAGTGTCCCCCGTGTCCCCCTACCCCCAGTGGCCCCACGTGCCCCCCCCCCCACCTCAGCAGCATGTGGCAGGAGCGGCACTCGGTGCAGCGGTCAAACGTGTGCATCTCAAACTCGTGGTTCTGCCCGTTCCATTTCTCCGGCTTGATGTTTGATCTGCCGAACAAAATGAATGTAGAAGGTGAAGCATGCTTTTTGAGCACGCGTTTGCAAACGGCAACAGTTTAACAGCATCATCACCATCATCACCACCACCATCATCATCATCATCATCCCCCATGGTCAACCCATTCTTGGTATCCAACCGAGGCCTCGCCAAGGCCATCCTCAAGGCTTCTTCAAGAATCTTGAATTAAATGTATTTTTAGATGCTGAGCTATCACGAATTAGTGGCACCTCTAATGGATTATTCGAATCGTCTCAATTTGTGCGTCACCACGTTTGTGCAGCGTCTCGAGACGCGGGTAGACGCGGGTAAACGTAAACACTTTTATGAACACCAAAAGGGTATTTGTACTTAAAAAAAATACTTGTATTATTTACCAGGTAACGCCCACTGAGCTATGTAAGTCTTATTCAGAAGTGACCTCGCCTGGCCGCAAATGACAGCTCAACGGAGTGGCTCATCATCACGTGGAAATGTATGGCAGACAAACCCTCTCAATGCGCGTCTCAAAATGTGGAGGGAAAAACCGGTGGACCTGGAGCAAAATCCACACGACCACGAGGAGACAAACTCCAAATATACAACAGCGGGCGTCAGGGTCGGGATCGAGCCCACGAGCCCACGACCTCCTGTGTACTAGGCGAGTTCGTGAACTGTATTACGTCTCAGCTCTGACTCGCAGGACAAGTACACCGAGGCCGCAGGGCAACGTGACGGCACCGTGAAACCACGGGACCCCCCCCCACCCCATCCGCCCCCGTGCGAGCCACTCACTGCGCCATCTCGAACTGCTCCATCCACTTCTTCTTCTGCTCCACGGTCTTGCAGTGGAACTGGAACCCGTTCTGGCCGTGCAGGTGAGCCAAGAAGAAGCCGAACGACCACTGAGGGGTGTGGCAGGGGGTAACCGAGCGCTGGTGAGGTTCCCGATAGTAGCAGCGAGTCACCAAGCAGCCAATAATAATAATAGGTTCTGCACATTCTCTGCAAACTCTTAGAACAACGTAGTGTACATACATTGTGCATGTTAATTAACTGTGAACAACCCAACCAATAATAGGTTCTGCATATTCTCTGCAAACTCTTAGAACAACGTAGTGTACATACATTGTGCATGTTAATTAACTGTGAATAACCCAACCAATAATAGGTTCTGCACATTCTCTGCATACTCTTAGAACAACGTAGTGTACATACATTGTGCATGCTAATTAACTGTGAATAACCCAACCAATAATAGGTTCGGCACATTCTCTGCAAACTCTTAGAACTACGTAGTGTACATACATTGTGCATGTTGATTAACTGTGAATAACCCAACCAATAATAGGTTCTGCACATTCTCTGCAAACTCTTAGAACAACGCAGTGTACATACATTGTGCATTTTAATTAACTGTGAATATCCCAACCAATAATAGGTTCTGCATATTATCTGCATACTCTTAGAACGATGCAGTGTACATACATTGTGCATGTTAATTAACTGTGAATAACCCAACCAATAATAAGTTCTGCACATTCTCTGCATAATCTTAGAACAATGCAGTGTACATACATTGTGCATGTTAATTAACTGTGAATAACCCAACCAATAATAATAATAGGTTCTGCATATTCTCTGCACACTCTTAGAACAACGTAGTGTACATACATTGTGCATGTTAATTAACTGTGAATAACCCAACCAATAATAATAGGTTCTGCACATTCTCTGCATACTCTTAGAACAACGTAGTGTACATACATTGTGCATGTTGATTAACTGCGAATAACCCAACCAATAATAATAAGTTCTGCATATTCTCAGGTTAACATGATCCATTCTAACTTATATGACTACTCTTTGTTTTTATCGGTAAAGTCACGTAGAAAGAAATTAAATTAAATAATAATAGAATACGACGTTTCGATTGCAACACAAGCAACCATCATCAGGTACAAATGAATGAGAAAACAAACATGGTCAACTTGGAAATATAATGCAATACAACACAGAGACAAACAGAGATAGTCTCTCTCTCTCTGCTTGTGTGTCTGTCTGTGTGTCTTTGGAGTAACGTATTCAACCAGGTGGGGTGTTGACTCTTGTGTTGGCCGACTCTCTGTGTTGTATTGCATTATATTTCCAAGTTTACTGTTTGTTTTCTCATTCATTTGTGTTGCAATCGAAACGTCGTATTCTATTATTATTTAATTAATTTCTACGTGACTTTACCGAAAGAACCAAAGAGTCATTCCTGCAGTCACGAAAGCTTCGAATCTAGTTTGATATGACCACATTAATCCTCCTCTGGTCTTCCCACAGTTATGACATCACCTTTATTGGCCTATTTAAAACGGAAACAGGAACATTTCTTAACAACTATGGCTATCGCCTGATGAAGCTGGTTGTAATCACCAGCGAAGCATCATACTTGAATTGTAAATGTTGCGGTTTTACCCTGAAACACACCGGTTTTCTGAAGTAGTAACTAATTGGTACGTTTTTTTTACGTGACAAACTTTACTAATTGGCTGTGTCGGGTGGTGGCGGGTTTAACGACACATTTATGTCCAAATATACAGCAGGCGTCAGGGTTCGGATCGAACCCACGACCTCCTGTATACCAGGCGAGGTAGTTAACATCTCGCCAGCATGGTTCACCAATTAAATTGCGTTCCAATTCAATTGCGTTCCTGCAGAAGCTCCCCCGGCACATGGGAGAGACCAGGGCGGCTCATACAGTGAGGGAAAAAAGTATTTGATCACCTGCTGATTTTGTACGTTTGCCCACTGACAAAGAAATGATCAGTCTATCATTTTAATGGTCGGTTTATTTGAACAGTGAGAGACAGAATAACAACAACAAAATCCAGAAAAACGCATGTCAAAAATGTTATGAATTGATTTGCATTTTAATGAGGGAAATAAGTATTTGACCCCCTCTCAATCAGAAAGATTTCTGGCTCCCAGATGTCTTTTATACAGGTAACGAGCTGAGATTAGGAGCACACTTAAAGGGAGTGCTCCTAATCTCAGATTGTGTCTGTATAAAAGACAAGCAATCAATCAGATTCCAAACTCTCCACCATGGCCAAGACCAAAGAGCTCTCCAAGGATGTCAGGGACAAGATTGTAGACCTACACAAGGCTGGAATGGGCTACAAGACCATTGCCAAGCAGCTTGGTGAGAAGGTGACAACAGTTGGTGCGATTATTCGCAAATGGAAGAAACACAAAAGAACTGTCAATCTCCTTCGGCCTGAGGCTCCATGCAAGATCTTACCTCGTGGAGTTGCAATGATCATAAGAACGGTGAATAATCAGCCCGGAACTACACGGGAGAATCTTGTCAATGATCTCAAGGCAGCTGGGACCATTGTCACCAAGAAAACAATTGGTAACACACTACGCCGTGAAGGACTGAAATCCTGCAGCGCCTGCAATGTCCCCCTGCTCAAGAAAGTATATACATGCCCGTCTGAAGTTTGCCAATGAACATCTGAATGATTCAGAGGACAACTGGGTGAAAGTGTTGTGGTCAGATGAGACCAAAATGGAGCTCTTTGGCATCAACTCAACTCGCAGTGTTTGGAGGAGAAGGAATGCTGCCTATGACCCCAAGAACACCATCCCCACCGTCAAACATGGAGGTGGAAACATTATGCTTTGGGGGTGTTTTTCTGCTAAGGGGACAGGACAACTTCACCGCATCAAAGGGACGATGGACGGGGCCATGTACCGTCAAATCTTGGGTGAGAGCCTCCTTTCCTCAGCCAGGGCATTGAAAATGTGTCGTGGATAGGTATTCCAGCATGAGAATGACCCAAAACACACGGCCAAGGCAACAAATGAGTGGCTCAAGAAGAAGCACATTAAGTTCCTGGAGTGGCTTAGCCAGTCTCCAGACCTTAATCCCATAGAAAATCTGTGGAGGGAGCTGAAGGTTCGAGTTTCCAAACGTCAGCCTCGAAACCTTCGTGACTTGGAGAAGATCTGCAAAGAGGAGTGGGACAAAATCCCTCCTGAGATGTGTGCAAACCTGGTGGCCAACTACAAGAAACGTCTGACCTCTGTGATGGCCAACAAGGGTTTTGCCACCAAGTACTAAGTCATGTTTTGCAGAGGGGTCAAATACTTATTTCCCTCATTAAAATGCAAATCAATTTATAACATTTTCGACATGCGTTTTTCTGGATTTTGTTGTTGTTATTGTCTCTCGCTGTTCAAATAAACCTACCATTAACATTATAGACTGATCATTTCTTTCTCAGTGGGCAAACGTACAAAATCAGCAGGGGGATCAAATACTTTTTTCCCTCAATGTATACTGGACATCGGTGAAAAAAGAGCTTCATAGCTCATCGGATTCCTGCCGTATGAATAAACATTCTCAATCTGATTCTGGCTCGACGGCGCTCAGCCCACGCGGTAGTCGAGAGGGCGGGCACGCCGCCCGTGGCGTCGCACGCGCACACTCACACGCGCACACTCACACTCACACACTCACACGCGCACACTCACACACTCACACGCGCACACTCACACGCGCACACTCGCACGCGCACACTCACGCTCGCACACTCACACACTCACACTCACACACTCACACTCACACGCGCACACTCACACGCGGGCGGGCGGGCGGGTGCGACTGGGCGCGTCTCACCTTCTTGTTGTCCTTGTTGGGAGTGGGGTCGTCCGTCACCTTGTACTCCTTCAGGTCCAGGATCTCCTTCATCTCGAACGTGTCCCCTCGCCGCTTGCAGATGATGACGGCGAGATCGAACAGGAAGATGTTGCTGCGCGGGGGGGCGAGCGGGGGGATGGCGACAACGTCGATGACGCCATTCACGAGTCGGATATTGACGTGGCGTATACAGGGATCGGAGCGGCGACGCGGCAGGTTAGCGGCACCGAGATGTGAACCCTACCCTCCCCCCCCCCCCCCCCCGGCGAGCTGAGTTTGATTCCCCAGTCGTGGCCAACACGAGTTGCAAGCGGTATCCTTAACCGGTCTCGTACTCTCCCTTTATCAATCCACATGCGTTGGTGAAGGATGGTCAAGATGTGGGAGGCCTTCAGCCAGCAGGGGAATGACAGAGGGTTGTACATTATGCATCGTAGTGTTAGAACCGTGACAACGAGCTGGTCTTTGGCCAACCCGGACTGACCAGTGCAGTGGGATGTAATAATCGTGAGTTTGTGTTTGTCGTCGAAATAAACCTTCGTCTACAAAGTACCTCCAGCTGGAGGTGGGAGGCGATTCTTTACCTTTCCATAGCCCTGAGCCATCGGGTGCGAATTCCCAACATTACCAGGGCAGAAGTGACAACAACTGCTGCTGACCTCTCATGAAGCCGGACTCTTCTTTTTTATCGATCTCAAGAGGAGCGAAGGTCTGAGTTGACGCACCGTTACAAGTGCGAGAATCGCGTCGCTCGAAGATTGCCGTCGTTGCATAGACTCACCGGTCTTGCTTGCTCCGACGCTCCGTGACCGACAACACCTTCAGTTCGTCGTCGATTTTGGGTCGCCCGTACATGGACAGTGCCTGGTTCTGCCATCGAGACACAAACGCACACGCACGGCGATGAGCACGGGTGGGGAGACGCCTGGCTCACGGAGGGACCGAACGTGGATTTCAAATGGCTTTAGCAGAGCACGTGCAATACCAACACCCCACCACCACAACCAACTAGTATCACCCACCGCCACCACAACCCATCCAAACAGCACCATCCACCGCTAAAACCACACCCCATCCAACCACAACCACCCACCGCCACCACCAACACAACCCATCCAATCACCACCACCCACCGCCACCACAACACCCCACCCAACCACCACCAATAGCAATTCCACGCGCCAGTGTCCGCCAAGGGTCTCTTTCACCAACAGAGAACGAACTTGTAAAGCCCAAGAGCCGACTGCTCTTTTTTCGACCAACGTGTTCCGGCAGAATTTGTTTACGCGGCAAAAAAACCCGGACTAATTTCCACTTCTCTGGATCTCATCAGCAGGGCTATAGCCCGTTAGACAAATGCTGCCGGGTTGCCCTCGGGTCAGGAGGCAAAAGCCCACCATAAACACAGACGGTGGAGGGCCACTCGGGGCAGTACAGCAACACGGTTGCCATAACACGGCCACGTTGCGCGCCAACCGGTGACAAAAAAAATCGCCCGTGCCGCTGCGGACATGCAACGCTCGGCCCAAATGCAGACGACGGACCAAAAATAAAATATATAAATACAAATCCAATCGCCAATTCACAGAATTCTCCACGGTGCTAGAAGTCGCACGCAAGCTCGGTGGCCACTGCACGCGGCGAAGGCAACGATCGGCGCCCGCTCGTGCCTCTGGACCTTTGTCACCACCGGGGCAGCAAATGGACGTCACAAACAGCACGCTGACCTGATAAATTTTATCTTTTTTTTATAGAGAGGCCTTTGCTTCAAGGTCCTTAGCGCAGTTAAAAATTAAAGAAATCAGAACGATAAAAGAATGATTTAGATGGCAGGGGTGTTGCAAGGGATGAGGAATGAGTGATCGCGATAGAAGGTGCGTAGGGGTTACGAAAGGGCAGCAGGGGAGGGACGGGAAGGAGTGGAGGGGCGAGGGAAGAGGAGGGGAATTGGCGATGGAGAAGAAGTGTGGCTTTGAGAGAGGAACGGAAGTAGGTTAATGTACAGGGGCAGTGTTGAGTCTCTCGGCAGTGTCGAGTCTATGAGCAGTGTTGAGTCTATGGGCAGTGTCGAGTCTATGAGCAGTGTTGAGTCTATGGGCAGTGTTGAGTCTATGAGCAGTGTTGAGTCTATGGGCAGTGTTGAGTCTATGGGCAGTGTTGAGTCTATGAGCAGTGTTGAGTCTATGAGCAGTGTTGAGCCTATGAGCAGTGTTGAGTCTATGAGCAGTGTTGAGTCTATGAGCAGTGTTGAGTCTATGAGCAGTGTTGATTCTACGAGCAGTGTTGAGTCTATGAGCAGTGTTGCTCAACGTCCAGGGGAAGTTTATTCCAGTGGAGGGGTGCAAGGAGGGAGAAGGACCTCGAATGGGATTGTGCAGAGGGAGAAGGAGGAGCAGAGAGAGAGAGAAGAATGGGAACGAAGAGAACAAGAGGAGGGGGCATGGAAGGAGATGAGACAGCCGAGGTAAGGTGGAGGCAAGGCCATAGAGAGATTACAAATGTTTAATGATTTCTTGAGTCAAGGTGAGGCTGAGACGGGTTGTGGTTATTCACGGACGGTTTTTAAAAAATGCGGGAATCACAACGGTGAACGCCGACGCCTCCTACCAGATTTTCGATGGAGTTCTGCATCTTGGTTATGGTCTTAAGGGTCTCCATGTCGCGTTTCACCTCGTTCACATACTGCCCCACGTCCTGCACAGGAACACGGTGGTGGTGGCGGTAGCAGTGGTGGTGGTGGCAGTGGTAGTGGTGGTAGTGGTGGTGGTGGTGGCGGTGGTGGTGGTGGAAGAGTCGTAAGGGCAACAGTTATGTCGATTAGACGTTAGCAGAAAAAGCCCCAACATCCTGACCACAGATTGCACGGTCAGCGAGCTGGCCATGTCAACTCAAGGGCAGCAGGAAAGGTCAGAGATCCATCCAAGCGGTGTTTTACCACCGCTCTTTATGTATAACAAGAATGATATTAATAATAATTCCAATTATTTAACAAGAGTGTGACTTCTTGAGTCTTTGACCCAGGTTGAGGGCCACCAGGCTGACTGTTTTGTCTCATCCACGCCGTGTTAAAGCACCACCACAACAACTCACTCGCTCACTCGAGCAAGACGAAGAGAAAGATCCCCTGTATAGCCTGTAACAGAATCTTTGGGCAAGCGCTCTTAGCGAGTAGCACCTATGAAGGCCGGCACGGCACTCGAAGGGGTGGGTGGCCAGCACCACGCCCAGTCACTTTTGTTTCCCGAGTGGCGATATTTTAACACATCGCAGCGAGTTTCTCATTTGAGGCTGAATAAATCTTCCGCGAGTGACCCCACACTGAGGTCATGGTCTTTTGTTGCTGTTTGTCGTTGTTGATGCGCTGTGTGCGCTTCTGACCTTCATGGCATCGAGGGCTCTCTTGAGGTTCTCCCGTTCCGTTGCGTTTGTCGTGAAGGTGAGCAGCTCCTGCAGGGAGCAAAGCGACCGTGAGATGTGCAGAGCCACGCTAACACACGTGTAAGGCCCACTGAGCCAGCGACCTGGCCAACACAAATGATAGCTCAACCGAGTTGCTTATGTGTGTTAAACGTGGAAATGATATTCTGGCCAAATACTCTAAACGCATGTTATTGAGTCTAAATGTGGTGGGGACAAACCGTAGGACCCGGAGAATAATCCATGCAACTACGGGGAGATTGTGCAAATATACAGCAGGCGTCAGAGTCGGGATCGAACCCACGACCTTCTGTATACCAAGACGGGGTAGTTAACATCTCGCCACCGTGACGCCCCCGGTCTCACAAGGGGACACAGCCTCCATGTGAGACTGGCGACTAAATCTACACGACAAAGATCCCCTGTGTAGAGCCAGAGGAACTGATACTCATTGACGCATCGCTACATCCCCAGTATTAATGCTAAATGTGTTAACATTTAGCATATTGTAAGAGGCCGTCCACTGGGGAGACGCTGATTGGATGGTCGCATCGAATGTATCGTGAGATTAGGAATCGATATTACATCAAGCGATGCTCCGTTACGCCGCTAATTAACCACAGCAAACAATTTGCATAAATATGAGCGATCTTGAGAATGCATTTGAATCGACCAATCTATTTGCGTTTCCGCTCCACCCCTAATACCGGGTGTTAGTGGCGCACGCCTGCAGCCCAGCACTGTGGAGATCGCGAGCGTTGGTGGATCACACACACACACATTTTGTGAAACTCCTTCCTGACTCGTGCACGTTGCGGTCGCCATTTCCTCGCCTGCCAGGGTACGGCAGCACAGCAAGTGGGTTAATTACCATCTGTATTCCATCCGTACGGGGGTTAAGCATCACCCGTCGTAGCGTGCGTGGGGGGTTTCTCCAGGCACTCCTGTTTCCATCCCGCGTGCATGCCACACTCGTTCACGGAGTTGGCCAAGAGGTCCAAATATAAAACCACAGAGCTTGGGCAATAGTTGGTACCGATTTCTTTCTTTCTTCCCCCTTGCTTTGATAGTTCTCTCTCTCTCTCTGACAGTGAACTAAAACTGTGCGCATTCCGTATGGAGCATTATCATTATTAATGTGAATACGCGTACTTGTCACGCGCGTGTGCGTTTCGATCGACCAGAGGGGCTTCCGTGGGGCCCCGGCACGGTCCCTACCTTGAGCAGCAGCGGGTACTTGAGCACACGCTGCATGGGGAACACGAGCAGGTCCCGGAGCGAGTGGCGGCCCTGGTTCGCGCGGTGGGTGCACTCCTGACACGCGTGGCGAGGGAGGGGAAAACAGTTCAAGACAGAATGGAGCGCACGCGGGCCACGCGCGGGGCGAGCGGTCGCTCGTGCGACCCTGTGGTCGGTACGCCTAAAACTCCCGCGACAGGAAACTAGGCCGTGGTGACGCCCCCGATCCGGCGTTCGGTCGCTTGCTCCGCGGTTAATAAAATACGAGGGAGGTTGGGCTTGGGTGGCTGTTTGGAGAGCCGGGAGACGTTTGGTCGAGAAGAGGTCACCGTCCAAACGACGTCCGGACGTCTCCGTTGACTTGCATGACCGCGGCACGAGAAGGACCCTGATCTGAGCCCAGCCGCTCGATCCGACGCCAGGAAAGCTCTTAAGTCACGGAACTGTGGTCGGCGTCGGTTTAGAATCGCGGCCCAGGCGAGGCCTTCCCTCGAGGGTGACCCTCGGCCTCGCGTAGTTTTTCCTACTGGGTTTGGACAATGCACGTCGTCAGTGGGGACGATGGCCGGCGGTCGAGACGAACAACGGAGTGGCAGCTAAAGGAGGGTTATGCGGTGGAGAAGTCGTCCACCCCAGGCGACTTGCTGCCCAGGGTGACACCGGGTGACACCGGGTGACATCCTCGGTTCCCCTTCCCCCACCTCCCATGAGCACAGTTGGCTACGTGCAATGCAACAGAAGTTCAACAAAGACACATTCAACATGCGTACTTGGAAACATTTAGCGATCACCTCTCCGTGCGCACGTGTTACATACGATCACGCACAATATGCGCCAAAGAAGAAACTTTTGGGCTCGCCCCGGCTCTCACCTCTATCTTTTGACGGTATTCCTCCCGGGCAGTCAGCGTGTCGATGTACGCCGATGCGTCTGTCATCTTGCTGCAGTAGAGGCCGTAGAGGACAAACCTGGGACCGGAGCGGGGGGGAACAGGAGGAGGGAACGGAGCATGGAGCGAGCGGCACGCGACACGCACGCCGTGAGCCACACACAACAGGGGTTACGAGGCGGTTAGCTGGCTCCATCGTCATCATCGTCATCATCGTCATCATCGTTCATTATTCCTACTCTTCTGATAGCCGCAAAGGATGTCAGAGATCGGTGATGCGTAAGCTGAGTGGCCTATAGAACGAGCAACTAATTTGAAGACCCGACTCAGGAATGAGCTGGCGACAGCCTGCGTAGACCGACCGGCATGAAGACTGTATAGCATATCGCCTCTGTGGCAAGTGGGCTGAGTGGCGTGTGGGTTGAGTGGCGTGTAGGCTGAGTGGCGTGTGGGTTGAGTGGCGTGTAGGCTGAGTGGTGTGTGGGTTGAGTGGCGTGTAGACCGAGTGGCGTGTAGGCCACGTAGATCAGACTCTGATCTACGTGGTCAGGTGCCAAGTTTCAGGCCACGCATCGGACTATGAGACACACGCCCAGCTTCAGCCTTCGATGTAATTGAAAAAATAAATTCCTGTTATCTGGAAAGTACGGGAACAGGATGTAGGTGGGTGGGGGTTGAGAGTCCCGTGTCCCGATGCCTCCCCGCCCACGTACTTCTCCTTGTAGTTGATGAAGATCTGGTGCAGGTTCTGTCCTCCGCGCTGCAAGATGTTGTGCTGAATTTCGGTGCAGAACGACCGGTGCAGCCTCAGCAGCTCCTGCCGAAAGCCGGGCAATCGGTTTCCCGTCGTCGGGACGGGTTTTGCGCACGACGCGTTCCCACGGCCGCCCGCCGGCACGTCTGGGCCACGCGGGGCTGCGCGACCGTTGAGGAGAAGGAACGAAACGGCGCCCGGGCCGTCCTAGGAACAGGCCGGCGCGACTCGCATCTCATCTCCTACGTGTCGTGGGAACGCCGCGTTCGTGCGGACGGAACGCCGCATCTGCCGGCGAATGAATGAATGATGACCGAATGAATGAACGCAAAAGAGACCACGCCTTCCTACCTCCATGTTGCTGAAGATGGCATCGATATCCTTGCTCGTGAGCAATCTCTTCAGCGGCTGCATGAAGTGCTGCATCGGGGGAGAGAGTGCATGGTAACGTATGTACGTGTGTTCAACTTCTTTCCCACCGCACGTGGCCGACCGTGCTCATCGGAGGTGCGGTAAAGACTCGATGGCTGATTGAGCCGTGGGACAAGTCACCTGTTGAGCGTGGGTACCAGAACGCGAACGAGTATTCACCGGTTTAACTAAATAATGCATAAGACGAAGACTAAGATCTCCCTATAGCCTTAACAGACTGTAGGGGCAAGTGCTGTTAGCGAGTAGCACCTATGAAGGCCGACATGGCACACGACAGGGTGGATGGCTTCGGGGAGGAAAGACTCAGATAACCATCACTGATATTGGCCGTGAACGGAAATCGAACTCCTGGACACCTGTGAAAAAGCGCTTCATAGGCTCATCGGATTCCTCCAGGATAAATGAAGATTCTGATTCTGAACTCGGGTTCGTAGCACTGTGTGCTTACCGTTGCACTCTACGTGACATTACGCACAGGCACGGGATGAAGTACCGCTTGTAGAGTGAGAAGTACGGAAACCGGCCCCCTCCCCCCCGGCATGGAGCGCGGAGCATGCACGATGCGGCGAGCGTGCGGTGCGGTGCGGCGAGCGAGCTGTACGGTGTCGGTGGGCGAGCGCCGTCGCTCACCTTCTCGATGGTCTCCAGCGTGTCCGTGTAGCGCCGCTCCGTCTCGCTGATTTCGTTCAAGCAGCAGTTCCTCCTGTCCTCGTCCCTCATCTGGCCTGGCTACACAGGCGAGCGGGGAAGGTCAACGCGAGAGATTCCCACACCCCCCCCCCCCCCCCCCCCCCCCACTGCTCCATCCCCTCTCCATTGACAGATATTTATATGAATCCCGTAATGTCATCTATGCATGCAATTATCCAATGATTTGTTTATTCTTTGGGATAGCCTCATTGAGTCTCAAGACGTTTCCTTTTAATGAGTTTTCTGGACTGGGATTAACGCCTTACGGAAACGTTCTCCGTTGTCAGTGGCGTAAGCGTTTAGAGTTGGGCTCGTAAACATTGAATCAATACGTCACAAAAGGACTCGTAGACAAACATAGGACCCATTGAATAAAATTGGACCCGTAGACTTACACAGTATGAACAGTATGTATGCATGTTGAAATTATTTTGCACCGTACGTAGCTAGCTGTGCTAATCGGTGGTGCCGGGGAAGGACAACAAACTAAACACAAAAACCAGTTCTAAAGAAATTAGTTTTCAATTTAGAATGGTCTCAATCTGGACCCACATATCTACACCGGACCCATAGAAAAACACTGGACCCATAGACTTACATAAGACCCCATAGTCTTACAATGGACCCATAAACTAACACTGAACCCACACGCTTATTAGGAAAAGGGAAACTTTTCCAAGTACTGTATGTTCGTTGAACTTCGTTAGCACCGTAAAAAGCCAAGAGTGCGAAGCCATGGCACAGGGGGCGATGACGATGATGATGTCAGGAGATGTCACCACTCTGCTGCCCTTACCGGAAGGATCGGCCTCATCACCTCCGACTTCATGATGTCCTCATACAGCTCGTCGCACTCCTCGTCGCCCGGCAAGTCGTAAATGTCATCCTCTTCATCCAAGTCGTACTCACTGCAGGCAGAGAGTCGTCCATACACTTACACAGGGTCCATATGCCTACATAGGAACTATAGACTCACAGAAGACCCGTAGACTCACACAGAGACCCATAGACTCACACAGAGACCCATAGACTGACACATGACCCATAGACTCCCACAAGACCCATAGACTCACACAGAGACCCATAGGCTCATGCACTGACTTATACAGGGACCCATAGACTCCCACAGGACCCATAGACTCACACAGAGACCCATATAATCACACAGGACCCATTGACTTATACAGGACCCATAGACTCACACAGAGACCCATAGACTCACACGGAGACATATAGAATCACACAGGACCCATTGACTCATACAGAGAAACATAGACTCACGCAGGACCCATAGACTCACACAGAGACCCATAGACTCACACAGAGATCCATAGACTCCCACATGACCCATTGACTTACGCAGAGACACATAGACTCATACAGGACCCATTGACTCACACAGAACCCATAGACTCACACAGGACCCATTGAGTTACACAGAGACACATAGACTCACACATAACCCATAGACTTACACAGAGATCCATAGACTCACACAGGACTCAAAGACTCACACAGAGACCCATAAACTCACACAGGACCCATAGACTCACACAGAGATCCATAGACTCACACAGAGATCCTTAGACTCACACGGAGATCCATAAACTCACACAGGACCCATAGACTCACACAGAGATCCATAGACTCACACAGAGATCCGTAGACTAACACAGAGATCCATAGACTCACACAGAGATCCATAAACTCACACAGGACCCATAGATTTACACACAGACACATCGACTCACACAGAGATCCATAGACTCACACAGAGATCCATAGACTCACACAGGACCCATAGACTCACACAGAGATCCATAGACTCACACAGAGATCCATAGACTCACACGGAGATCCATAAACTCACACAGGACCCATAGACTCACACAGAGATCCATAGACTCACACAGAGATCCGTAGACTCACACAGAGATCCATAGACAGACACAGGACCCATGGACTCACACAGAGATCCATAGACTCACACAGAGATCCATAGACTCACACAGAGATCCATAGACTCACACAGAGACACATAGACTCACACAGGACCCATAAACTCACACAGAGATCCATAGACTCACACAGAGATCCATAGACTCACACAGAGATCCATAGACTCACACAGAGATCCTTAGACTCACACGGAGATCCATAAACTCACACAGGACCCATAGACTCACACAGAGATCCATAGACTCACACAGAGATCCGTAGACTAACACAGAGATCCATAGACTCACACAGAGGTCCATAAACTCACACAGGACCCATAGATTTACACACAGACACATCGACTCACACAGAGATCCATAGACTCACACAGGACTCAAAGACTCACACAGAGACCCATAAACTCACACAGGACCCATAGACTCACACAGAGATCCATAGACTCACACAGAGATCCATAGACTCACACAGAGTCATTAGACTCAAACGGAGATCCATAAACTTACACAGGACCCATAGACTCACACAGAGATCCATAGACTCACACAGAGATCCGTAGACTAACACAGAGATCCATAGACTCACACAGAGATCCATAAACTCACACAGGACCCATAGATTTACACACAGACACATCGACTCACACAGAGATCCATAGACTCACACAGAGATCCATAGACTCACACAGAACCCATAGACTCACACAGGACCCATTGAGTTACACAGAGACACATAGACTCACACATAACCCATAGACTCACACAGAGATCCATAGACTCACACAGGACTCAAAGACTCACACAGAGACCCATAAACTCACACAGGACCCATAGACTCACACAGAGATCCATAGACTCACACAGAGATCCATAGACTCACACAGAGATCCTTAGACTCACACGGAGATCCATAAACTCACACAGGACCCATAGACTCACACAGAGATCCATAGACTCACTCAGAGATCCGTAGACTAACACAGAGATCCATAGACTCACACAGAGATCCATAAACTCACACAGGACCCATAGATTTACACACAGACACATCGACTCACACAGAGATCCATAGACTCACACAGAGATCCATAGACTCACACAGGACCCATAGACTCACACAGAGATCCATAGACTCACACAGAGATCCATAGACTCACACAGGACCCATAGACTCACACAGAGATCCATAGACTCACACAGAGATCCATAGACTCATACAGAGATCCATAGACTCACACAGAGATCCATAGACAGACACAGGACCCATGGACTCACACAGAGATCCATAGACTCACACAGAGATCCATAGACTCACACAGAGATCCATAGACTCACACAGAGACACATAGACTCACACAGGACCCATAGACTCACACAGAGATCCATAGACTCACACAGAGATCCATAGACTCACACAGAGATCCATAGACTCACACAGAGATCCATAGACTCACACAGAGATCCATAGACTCACACAGAGATCCATAGACTCACACAGGACCTATAAACTTATATCGGACTCAAGGGATGACCATCCGAGATACGGGTTACAAAGACACGTTGAGGCACAATGCGCTCACCAACACAACGACATCGCTCAACAATGTAACGCAACAATCCAGCAGTGGACTGATCGTGGCTTACGAAGATGATCTGTAGTAATTGAGCTTAAGTGTGCAACAATGCATCGATTGCTGTAACATTGACTAACAAGTGCACTATACACGTGCTGAATTTCACTTGTAAAAATCAATGTCATCAGACCCCATGGTCTGCTTGCTATTCGGGTGCCGCGGTGCCGAGATGTTAACTCCCTTGCCTGGTATGCAGGAGGTCGTGGGTTCGATCCCAACTTTTGACGCCTGCTGTATATTTGGAGTTTGCATGTTCTCCCCGTGGCCGCGTGGATTTTTCTCCGGGTCTTCCAGGTTTTTCCCTCCACGTTTGGAAACGTGCGTTTAAGAATATTTGGTTGCTTCTATAAATGTACAAATGGTAAGCCACGTTGCTGGGCCATCTTCTGTGGTCAGGTCACTTCTGAAAAAAGAGCTGTATAGCTCAGTGGGCCTTACCTGGTAATTTTTTTTAAGTTTATATTTTCTTGTTTTTTTAGAGCATATTTTATGTTTTTTTTCCTTTAAAGCTGTGAGGGTTATTGACGAATGTGTTGATGTTTATTTGGTTGTAATTTAGTTGGTGCTTGTACATACCTGTCAACCCCTTAACAGTGCCTAACTTATTACAGACCAATTCCGACTTAAAAAGTCCCGTCACAACGGAGAAACAACAAACAGACGAACAAATATTGTTTTCATAATAACGGTTTTTGGGTTAGATCGCGTTTATTTATAAATGTGTCGTAACCCTCCACCACCCGACACGACCAATCAGCAAAAAAAGTGTCACGTTGACAAAAGACAAATAATTCACTACTTTAGCCCACCGGTGTGTTGAAGAGTGAATACACATTTACAGTTTGAGTACGACGTTTCGCTGGTAAATACATCCAGCATCATCGGGCAATTCGCCAGAATGGTAAAGCCCTCGCTTGCTCCCGGTTTTATAAAGAGCAGCAGGGTGACGTCATCACTTAACTCATATCAGGTGCAGTGATTAGAGGCGGAGGGGGGGGGTATTGTAATTATATCATCGATTAGTAATCAGTCATTGGTTATGATTAGTAATGAGTTGTAGATTAGTAATTCTTTAAATCAAAATGTAATGTGTATTATTTAATAATACGCTTCCAGGCCGCACTAAGCCGGTAGCTGTCAGAGCGATTAAAGTTATTATTGTTCCTCTCAATTTCAATGGATTCTCTAATTAGTCTTTGCCAGTAATAATTAGTTTTACACACCACTGCAACATTGTCAAAATCAATTGAGTGTCCTTGTTGACAAGCATGTTCTGCCACTGCCGACAGTTGTGTTTGAGATAATTTAATATTTCTCTGATGTTCTTTTAGTCTTACACTGATGTTACGTCCCGTCTGCCCAATGTAGCAGCTGCCACATGAACAATTAATCCGATATACACCTTCTGTTGATAGTTTAGGTAATGCGTCTTTAGTGCAAGATACTAGTTTTTGAATTTTGTACAGTACACGTGACACTTTTTTTGCTGATTGGTCGTGTCGGGTGGTGGAGGGTTACGACACATTTATAAATAAACGCGATCTAACCCAAAAACCGTTATTATGAATAATATTGGTCGCGAAAGCCTACGTGTTAAATATTGTTTTGCCCGTACAAGAACACGGGTAAACAGTATGGGTTGACAGGCATCCTTGTACAAGCACTGCCAACACGCGTTAGCAGCGTCGCCAATTCATTGTTTCAAGCGGCTATAAATGTAGTGGTATTCGTTGCAATGCCATCGGTTGCCGTAACATCCACAGCCTCAGCATGGGGGCGCCACAATTCTCCAAGATGAAAGGACAGATTCTTGAAGCGTCAACCACTACGATCTTGAGAGTCTCTCCAAATCCACAGTTAAAAACACGCGTTGAGGTTTTTTACACTTTTATGGGGCTATAAGTGTCCACGTGATGGGCCACTTTGTTGAGCGGCTATCACTTGTGGGCAGGTCGCTTCTGGAAAAATAAGTTAATCCCTCAGTGGGCTTTTCCTGGTAGGATGGGGGATGGTTTAGTTTTATTAAAATGTGTTTGAGTGATCTTTGCCTTTCTTATACTTTGCACTCCCAACATGTTTGTGTACTGTTTGTTGCTGTAACATTCTTACGCCGTGCCCCTACTGCACATCTGTGACACAGAGCTCTGGAGCTCATCGGATTCCTCCAGAATGAATAAATGTCCTGATTCTGAATGTGGTCAGAGAGGTTTTGCTGGGTGTGGAGGCAAACGGACTTGACGAACCAACGTTTCCTTACGATTATCGTATGGGAACAGAAACGTTCCTTCGGAAACGAACGGGGGATGTCGCCACGAGCTATTCGTGTAATTGTTTTTAATTTGCCACGCTGCCTCGGGAGTTCTTTGCACCTTTGGACTTAGCTTCGTAGTCTCGTGACCAACACTGACCCCCTGAGTAATAATTACAAGCTGGAGTAGGTGGAGAAAAAAAACCACACGTACACACACCACGACTTTGATCCTCCCCGCTAGCCTCCAATAATCTGTTGGGGCAAGTGCTGCTTAGCGAGCACCTATGAAGGACACCATGTCACGAGGCAGTGGTTTGACTTGACGAGCACTACGCCCGGCTGCCTTTCTCTTCCCAGCGCTGATGTGTTACACACTGTAACAAGCACTCATCTAAGGCTGAGTCGGTCTAGGGGAGGCCCAGGACCAGTTCAGATATTCGCCGGGAATGGCACTCAAGACCATCGGGATTGTAACGCGGTGCGCTAACCACTACGGCCACCGCTCCACCCACATACGCACACATGTACAGCACAAAGACAAAAATCCCCCATATAGCCTTAACAGACCGTTGGGGCAAGTGCTGTTAGCGTGTGCCGACACGGCGTGACCAGCACCACACCCGGCCGCCTCTGTCTCCCCAGTGGTGATGTTTTCACACCACACCAGGTACTCATTTGAGGCTGAGTCGAACTAGGGGAGGCCCATGGCCGGTTTAGATAATTGTCACCGGTCTTGGCCGCGATGAGCGGGAATCGAACTCGCGCAGCGCGCTAACCGCTACGCTACCGCTCCCACGTCTACACACGTGCACACGCATACGCACACACGTGGGGTAAACTGGCCAGAATTGAAAGAGCAAACCGCAAGAACGCTTGACACGTGCGTTAACCCTTCTGGGAGAAGCCACAGTGACCATTTTACACACACAGCTGATGGCTTTACATATGCAATGCACCGATAAATGTCAGCTCAGTGTGATCATAAAGGATTTCGTATATCAACAAGCTAGGTGAGAGAGACCACATCTCTATTTTTTTAGGGAGAACTGGGATGGAATATCAGATAAACAAAAATAGATACCACAACGAAAATGATAAAATATCAACCATCAAAAATTAACTCTTTAAATTATCTTAGAGATATAAACGTTCCAAACGAATGACAACTAAATCTGATAATCGAGCTTTAACAATAATGCCGTGTACCATATGCAACAAAAAACCCCTAAAAAACATTAACAATTTTACAGACCTCGACTATAAGTTTAACGATCATTTAGTGCCCTTACGAATAAGGTGGATTGCACTTTTGACACCTTAAAGATACAAGAAACATCGCCGAACCTCTGGGAAGGGAAGTGACCACATGAGGCAAGTAGAGGCCATGCAGACGACTGCACGAAATGTAACCAAGTTGGTGTAAGGCAAAGGGACGACACTGAAACAACTGGTTTCATCATAAACATTCACAAAGGTTCTTGTCAAGTCTATTCATCATTCTCTTTTTGAACTCAGCTTCGGTTGGCACTCCCACTACCACTTACATTTATGCAAATTCTTTGCGGACGTGCCAAATACAGCAAAATGGTGCAAAAAAATTCCACAAACAACGGGCGGAAATTTGAACGAGGAGAACATTTTAAAAAACCCAGAGACTTTAGAAACTAGACAAAAGAGCAAAAAAAAGGGCAATTGTTGAATCTTGAATCGCGAGCCAAAATCTTGGTGATCCCAATCACCGCTGTGAGGTCAAACGTGAGACGAGCCTGCCTGACCGTGGACTCGTTCACTCGTAGATTGTGGAGATTAACGTTTAGTGATCATGAACCCAATTTAGTTGTGCTGCATAGAGACAGTGGGGATTTGAAGTTTTCGTGTCTCCAGGGATCCATACTCTTTGGGTCTTTCAGTAAAGTCACGTAGGTATGCAAACCTTCGGGCTACTATCAAAGGTTTGTTCATGAAGCCATCCAGATATATAAACACAGACGTAACTTCAACCGAGAAGATGGATACTAATTGAGCAATCATTGGAAGGATGTTATTAACCAGGTAAAATATTAACCGCTTTATAGTTTGCCTTCATATCTGCATCTCCAGTTTTCTTCAGCCTCCTACTCCCAGCCTCGCTTACTTCCCAGCCCCTGCATTGTCAGCACCACATTCCCCCTACCCCCCCCCTCTCTATCTCTCCTCCCTGGCTCCGCCCCCCCCCCCCCACTCTCTTACCTATAAAGCCTCTTGATACAAGCAGCCCTTCTGCCCACTTCAGCAATTGTTTCTTGCTGTGGTTGTCCCACCTGATGACGGACGCTTGCGTTGCGCCCGAAACGTCGTGATTTAATTTATTTTATTTCATACCTACGTGACTTTACCGAAAGAACCAAAGAGTATGGACAGTGGGGAAAAATGATCTCAAGGAGCATAAACCACCATCACACAAACTCTGGTCACGCTCGCAGCGGCGGCTTTTGGCTGGTATAGAAAAAATACGGTCAGTGCATCGAGCTCTTTCAGATGCGCTTCCACGGCTATCTGGAAAGCTCTTCCTTCCGATATTAGGAAATCACTTGGGCTGTGGACCTTTAAATCTAGGTTGAAAACAAATTTCTTAACAACTGTTTGTTTTTTTTCCTTTCTCCCACACCTCCGATAAGCACGGTTGTCTACGTGCGGTGTGAAAGAAGTTCAACGTACATACAAACGTCAGGCAAACTCATGGTGAACCCACATGACACATTTGGCAGCCCTGATAGAGCGTTGCACTCCGAAATAACATTGATTCATTATTTAATTTATTTCGGAACTTTGTTATTTTCACTTTTACACAAAGTCCCTCCAGGATCCGTGTGATTCACGACGCTGCGTTGTATTTCAACTCACTTTTTTGTTTCCACAAATAAGCGCTGGCTGTGATGTTGTTACCGCTGCCATCAATCGTAACGACCGGGGGGGTCATTGGGTCACACTACACCGGTGGTCAGCGTAGACGTGGGTGCATGGTCCAGTACAACGACGTATTTTGTTGCACTGACCTCTGCTTGGCGACGCAAAGGAATCCGCCACCTACAACAACCTGTTTGTGCATGGTGGTCGCCCATCCAAGCACAATCCAGAGTCAAACCTGCCAAGAGGTCATTAGGTCATAGGTGATTTTTTTAAAATCTATTACGGATGAAAGAGGAATCAAAAATGCCCTCGCGTTTTGCTCACGCAAAAAAAAAAAAACCACAACTGACAGTTGGGGGAAATGGCTCGGAGTCCACGTCTCGCGGCATCCACGTTAAACGTCTCCGCGATGACGAGGCTACTGGCGCAGTTTTAGAAGTGAGAAGGACCAGAAGGAGGAGGACGGGTTCTGAGAAGCCGCGAGCAGGGGGCAAATTACTCACTCGGCCATCTCCTCCAGGCTGTGATAGATGTCTTCGTCATCTTCCAGGTCCTGGCTGGGAAATCCACTGCGGAAGGGAGCGTGGGCGACGAGACGGAGACAATTTCAAAATCGCGGCGGCGTCTTTTTTTCCCGCACGTTTTTTTTTTTGCGCAACGGACCCCGTTCCCTGTGCCGCCGGAATAACGACGAGAGACCCGAGGCCGGCGGGTTGCCGTGCGAGCGCACGCGTTCGCGACGACGCAGGGGAAAGCTGGGGGTGCCACGGGCATCACGGTCACCGCCAACCGTGACGCTTCTCAGAGCTGTGCAATCGCCCCCGTGACAATTTTTGCCCCATTTGGCAGGGGGGTGGGGGAGGGAGAGAGGTTGCGTGTGTCGCGGACCGCAAATCCGAGATGGTGAAATATTTCCTCCGTTTGTTGTTTATCGTTTGAATACCATAATTACCATTTTTTATATTTTTTTGGGGGGGGGTGGGAGGGGGGGGGGACATCTCCAAACGTCACTTCGAATAACTTTCGCGAGTGCGCATCTCCCATCCGGCTGACCTTCCAATTATAACGTTATTACGTTCTTAACGCCCGTCTCCGTTTGGCTGTTACGTGCTCGTAAATGTTTGTATTCACGGCCTGTAACAGCTGTGCCACACGGGTATTCAGTATACAAGTCGCCTTTGTCCTCCAGAATCTTTTTGATGAAATATAATTCGCCACTGATGTCAGCTGTAGCTGAGAACATTATTCAGGCCGCTGGGTTCTTAGCCCAGTCTGCTAAACGCTGCATCAGCATTCGGCCTACTTAATAAATGAGAAATCGATGATAATGATGCTGATCTTCTTTGCTTCTTTCGGTAAGGTCACGTCGAATGAGAATAAAATAATAAAATAACACAATAAAATTGTCACGACGTTTCGGCCACATTGAAGCTCTGTCGTCCCGACAGGTCTGTACCTTTCACCTGAAGACAGCCGCTTGCGTTGTGGCCGAAACGTCGTGAGAATTTTATTGTGTTATTTTATTATTTTATTCTTATTCTACGTGACCTTACTGAAAGAACCAAAGAAGATGGATCCTTGCAGTCGTGAAAGCTTTAAATCGAAATGATGCTGATGATTCAAGTCAGGGTTCGTGGTACTGTTCGGGTTCGAGGTTGCGATAGCCATTCCTACCCGATGCCTTTTTTCTGCACCACAGTGGAGTACGAGAGCTTGGAGAGTGCGTTGATCACCTGTCAACACACGGGCACACACGTGGAACACACAGTGTGCACACAGGGTAAATACGGGGTAGACACGGGGTACACAGAGTTAGCAATTCCCACTTAGTCAATTGAATCATAAAGTCCACATTCATTTCTGCTCAGTGAGAAATAATTTGAGGGGTATGGGAAGGGGCAGCCTCATAGCATGGGGGGGGGGCTGGGAGGGCGAGCACCCCTCCTGACAGGTCAGCCCCCCTTCCCCCCCACGTGCTAAATTCTTACTGGTACAGTATCTACATAGCGGAAGAGAGCCGGAGCAGAACGCACCATGGACAAAAGCAGACGGCATCCGTTTAAAGTTTGACGTTGTGCCGTGCCCCCCTCTGTATTTTTTAATGCCCCCCCCCCACCCCCATCGCCCGCCATCTCTCCCATTCCACCTTGAAACAATTCTGTTGTGGTGGCGGCGCTTGGAAGGGAAAGGGAATTTGAGGACCTCCGGTCAGAGCTATCGGTTCATTCTAAAATGACCCACATTTGTCCATCCACCGCCAAGTTGACGCCTCCTCCCGTTCGGCATCGGCCGCAAGGATCGTGCCACGGCCGGTGCTGAAGGGGCGTCAATGCACCGGTTCGGATATCAATCGCCACCGATGCGAGCCGAGGTGGGAAATGAACCGTCGCGTTCGTTGCGAAGGGCGCGCTAACTGGCTGCGCCACCGCCTCGTCCCACGCAATAAATGGGCCGCCCGTTGTTCCGTCTGGAACAATCACCACACTCGCAGCGGTTCTATGGATTGTTGTGGTTTGGGAGCTGCAATTAGATGTGTATCGACCAGATTGCATTTTTTCCCACTTATTTAGCTTTTCCCATCGCTCCGTTCAACTGGATGTAAAATCAGCATCTCGTTTGCATATAATTTGCGTGCGCGGTAAGTGGTCAATTCGCCAATGCGCGATTGGAAGCGCGCGCCGTGCAAGCGCAAAGAATCGGGCAAAAAAACTGCGAGAGGTATCTGAACCGGGCATGGGCACCACATCCCATCACCAAGGCACACTGGCCAGCGGGGTGAAGTATGGTCAAACAAATCCGCATGACCAACATGGGGCGGAGAACACTTCATTGGAAAGTGGATTGACGAATGGCTGAAAATAATAATATTCTTTGAATCGGTTTTAATAAATAAAAATAATAATGAGTTCCAGCTTGGTTCCTCTCTGTATACATCTGTGGGGAAAAAAATGCGGCTGGACACGAGCGGTGACACACACACACACGCCTGCAGTAAATGTGAGAATGGGTCACGGGTTTCATGCAGATCTATGATTAGTGCAGCGGCGGGCTGGAGGAACCAGGCTCTTCCGAGAAACCAGCTTCCCTTCCTTGCCCCCAGCAGGGCCAGTTAGGAGCAGACGTCGAGTTGCCCAATGACATTTCCTCTCAACGCCTCCCTCAAGGCTGCAACTCCTGATGGAGCCGAGTCAGCGGGCTCCCCGCTCCTCCATGCGCAGGTTGGGCAGTGGAGGTTCGGTGGTGTGCCGGCGACCTGACCGTGCATCGGCGGTGGAAATTTAACATCCCATCCGGTGGGGACCAGTGTCTCATTTTCAATGCCGTAGTTGATTTCCCTAAAGTGGTACCAATTTTATCAAGCAGCAGGGATGATAATGATGATGGGCTGGGTGACCTCTCTCCTCACCCCCTCTCGCCCCCCGCCACCTCCCCTGATGAGAACCAGAAGGTCAAAATCGGTCCACATTGTGCTTCGTAAAACAAGTCTGCTGAATAAAGCCAGTAGGCTGATGGACTAAGAAAGTATACTGCATATATATGAATGTTATCTATATGTGGACATAGAGCGGAGTTGTGCTTATATTTTCTTTTTAGAATATCACAGGAGTGGTTTCGATTGCAACGCACATCATCAGCAAAATTATTGTCTTCAACTTGCACTATTATTTATTTTATGTCCACGTAGGGGTGTCCCGAATGCAATCTCCCCATGCAGGATGCGACCGTTTAATAGGCTACCCTTCCACGCTCCCCCGATATATATAAATCATTTTTTGCTCTTGCCTTTTGAGCAGCAGGCGGCAAGAGCCGATGACTAAGTACGAAGCAAATAAAGGATCTGTGACTCGATTAAACAAAAAACCAACCGTGAGGACGGTGCGTACGCTGCCACTTTAAAAACCGCAGTGGGCCCGCGGAGGCAAGGCGGCAGCGGAAGTTGCTCCTGGGTTTTTTTTTGTGTTGCTCTCTTATCAGTCTCTCGCCAAGGCCCGGCCGGCTTCCTGATTCGTGAAAGTCATTTAAAATAAGGGAAACTTTAAATACGGCGAAGTTTGTGGGCCGCGAAATGTATGGGGCCAACGCAAACGCTACCGCTGGAATTCTGGCAGATGGGCATTTTTCATTCCTTTCATCACACTTTCCAAATAGGGATGAAAGCATCAATGTAATTACTCCTTCTGTCTGTGTCTGCAAAGGGATGGGGGGAGGCATGGTAATGCTCGTAAAGCTGACCCAATATGAGCTGAACTTTAGAATATGGTTGTGTTGCTATTAGGGACATACTCGATAGAAAACCGGCCAAACTGATCAAAGGCACCGCCCAAAACTTGAACTCACAAACCAGAGCGAAGGGGACTATGGAATTAGCAAACAACAAAATGGGTTTTGTCCTGGCATTTACCCGTCAGCTTCCATACCTCTAATTGAATACACCTGCAAAGACAAAACGCATGCATTTTTCTGACGTGTTTAAACAATCTTGCATGGTTCAGCTGCCTCAACGTTGGTAAAAATGCCTAGTATTTTCCCAGCAAAGAATAAGGTTTGACTATGACAACGGTTTCAGTGGGACACACCTTGCCGATATGATGTAAATAAATCAAAACCAGTCTAATATTGCATGATTTTTTTTTAAACCCAATATGCTACTCAGAAGTTTTCATCTTGAACACCTTGGCCAGTGCGATCGCTTACAAGAGGGAGAAAACCGGATGACACAGAGAACAGCCCAGCACTATGGCGTACGGCGCTGCCACCTCCTGACGCACAACTTGCGGCCCCATGCCCTATAACACCTGGCAATTGCTGCTGGGTGCCCTTCCAACTCGCTAATCGGGCTCAATTCTGCTTAGCTTCCAAGATCCCACGAGATTGGGTGCATTCAGGGATATTTAATGCAGGCCAATATTTTTTTTATTTTCTAAGTAATTGTTGCCGATTTAACTCAGAGATAACACGAGTCGCACAAATTGTGTGATACGAGCGCGTGTTAGTGGTGAAGCGTTTCGCGCACGGCACTACAAAACCAGAATGACATGAGTGGCAATTGGTATCTGAACTTTTTCCGGGGCCTTCCTCTCGGTTGATTTTGCCATAAAAGAGAACTTGGTGCTGCGTGTAAACAGCAGCAACGGGGAGACTGATGATGATGGCTGTGCACAACGCAGGCCAGATCACCCCTCTGTGTGGCTGTTCAGCCCTAATAGGTACTCGCCACAACAGTCGGCATGGCTAAACAGGGGACATTTGTCTTTGTGTGTGCATGTGCAAGCACGTGGGGAGTGGTGGTGCAGCGGTTAGCACACTGCGCTACGAACCCAGCCACCCGAGTTCGATTCCCACTCATGGCCAACACCAGTGACGATTATCAGAACCGGTCCTGGGCCTCCTCCCCTAGGTCAACTCAGCCTCAAATGAGTACCTGGTGCGGTATGTCAACAGCACGTGCCCCAACAGTCTGTTAAGGCTATATGGGGAATTGTTGTCTTTGTGTGCAAGCACACGTGTGTCTCATTTCTTCCTCCTACATTTAGGGTGTTACAGTCTCAGCGGGTGGAGGGGTGAAGTGGTAGTGGAGTGGTTAGCGCGTTGCCCTATGGTCCCGGAGACCTTAGTTCAATTCCCAGCCAGGGTTAGCTTCAGCGACGAGTAACATTCCAACCGGCCTTGGACCCTCGCCCATTTCTCCAACCCAGCATGGTGAAGTATGGTCATACAACTCAATTTAGCTTCCTAAATGTCAGTGCATTTATAATTACAAACATGTCTCAGCTTCCGAATGGCAAGAGACAACGTAACTGTTTTAGAACCCCCAGTGTCGGTGCCTTATCGGTGATGGAGCAAGAAGAAAAGATTGCCTGAGCAATCACAACTTCACATGTCAGGGATTTTCCAGGTGTTTTTGTGCCAGCAAAAAGGCCATGCATGAATGACAAGTTTGCACAGCCAATGCAAGTGGGCTGGCTCAGCTGGACCAATGACACCGTGTCCCCATGGGAGATCGCAAGCAAGATCAGCATTTGGCCAGAATGCATAAATAAATCGCGCAGCATGCTTTGAGCAGCGTTACCAGTCGTGGCTTCCCTCACTTGGCTCAGCTTTCCAGCTGTGTTAAGAAGAAGCACACTGTGAAATACGATACATATACTCTTTGTTTTTTTTTTAAGCTTTCGTGACTGCAGGGATTACTCTTTGTTTTTTTCGGTAAAGTCACGTATAAATAAGAAATAATAAAATAACATAATCGCGTACGACGTTTCGGTTGCAACACAAGAAGCCATCATCAGGTACAGAAGAGCTAAATTATGACAGAGGGGAGACACATAACCTCAGATGTATATACAGACACCCAAGTAGGGGGAACTAACACAGATACAACAGGGGACACAGATAGAGAGAAGCATACCATTGTATCTGTGTCAGTTCCCCCTACTTGGGTGTCTGTATATACATCTGAGGTTATGTGTTTCCCCTCTCTCGTAAATTTAGCTCTTCTGTACCTGATGATGGCTGCTTGTGTTGCAACCGAAACGTCGTACGCTATTATGTTATTTTATTATTTCTTATTTATACGTGACTTTACCGAAAAAAACAAAGAGTAATCCCTGCAGTCACGAAAGCTTCAAATCAAGTACGATACATATAACAGACGTTTTATTTAAATGGTCCACGTTGAGCCATGCCTGTATTAAAATTAATTCTAAAATGTCTTAAGTGGGTAGGAAGGGGGGAATGGATTGGGGGGGGGGAGGGGGGCACAGAATGGAACTTGAGGCCAATCCTGGAGACTATTGTGATTCATGGAATGTGGACACCCGTACCCGGGTGCTGAACTTGAGTCATTACTGGCATCGCTATCGAAGCCATGTCAAAGGGTGTCACTAATCCATCCAGCTCCCGACAGCTGGGACCAGGATTAAACCTGGGACCAGTTGAAGGGGTCCCCCGTTTTTCCCCCTTCAAATTTAGAATCAAAACGCGTTCAGAGTATTTGGCTGCTATAAATGTCCACATGAAGATAGGCCACTTCACTGACCTATCACTTTAGGCGGCCAGGTCACTTCTGAAAAAGAGCTATATAGCTCAGTAGGCCTTACCTGGCAGAAATAAAAAAAAATTGTTACATTTTTGAGATATGTGAGGTCTTTGTTTAAAGAATGCACGCAAGTTCGAGACACCATCATCAATCACATTGACTGTTAAAGAGAAGCTCGGCTTCGGCAGGACACATCCATGGCTAGAATGACGGTGGCCGGTGGTCGAGCCTAACGGCGGAATGGCAGCCAAACGAGAGGAATCGCACATGACAGGTGGGTTAAATCAACTCGCGTCCATGTGTCCAGGTGGTCTGCTACATCGTAATATTTTTTTATCCAGTGGTGAATTGATCATGATCAGGTGTCGGCAACCAAAGGTCTTACCTTTGCAAAATCCCGCACTTCGAAAAGGTCGAACGGGTCAAAGAGCTCGGCGTGGCGCATCCCAAATCTGTTGACGCAGGTGTTGATGAACATGCGGATGTTCCTCAAGCACAGGAACTGTGGGAGGAGCGGTTGGGAGAATGGTGGGGAAGAACAGCCGCGCGCTCGGACGTCAAGTTCATAACAACGCAATGCGTGAATATTGCTACGTACATTATGCACACACACATATATAAATGCACATACACGAATAATATTTAACTTAAATGGTCGCGTGCATAATCATAATTTGCAGCCCTTGTATGTTCCCCGTATACACCAACCTGCACTGACCGGTACGGTAGAGTATGGTGAAATAACCTCCACGACCTGCCCATGCATAAACGAAGACAAAGATTCCCCGTATAGCCTTAACGGACTATTGGGGCAACGTGCGGCCCCACACCTCGTGTGCCGACACGGCATGACCAACACCACACCCGGCCACCTTTGTCTCCAAAGTGGCGATGTTTACACACGGCACGAGGTTCTCATTTGAGGCTGAGTCTACCTAGGGGAGGCCCAGGTCCAGTTCAGATAATCGTCACCGGTGGCTGTGAGTGGGAATCGATCCCCGGTTGCAGGGTTCGGAGCGCAGCCTGCTAACCACTACACGACCGCTCCCCACACACACACACACACAGTGACACACACACACAGTGACATACACAGTGACACATACACAGTGACACACACAGTGACAAACACACACACAGTGACACACACACACAGTGACACACACACACACACAGTGACACACACACAGACTCTTTCAAACATCTACACAGAGATAATATCTCACGGTGGCAAGGAGATGTTTATCTCCCTCGCGCAATCCATACCCTGACGATGCCTGTATATTCGGAGTATTCAACATGAATGGAAGAATCCATGAGTGACGTTAATGGGAACAATAGCCGTGGTGGTATCGATGGCACAGTGATATATTTGCCTCATGCCTTTGTCGATTATCGGATGGCAGCAGTTCGGTCAAGAGGATTCCAAAGCAGCTCATCAAGGAGGCATCAAATTCATGTTATTTATTAGAAAATAAGAATTCATATTTATTATAACTAAAATAAGGAAGTCAAAACTTACAGGACATTCAGATCCCTTGTTTACCATTGACTTTTTGTTACAGTAGAATATTAGATATACATACATATGCATTCTTAAATTGTTAAGAGATGCATTGTGTAGAGAGTAATGAGGTGGGGGCATGTTTCCCACTGTTGCAGATCGTGTCAACTGCAGACATCAATACCTTATCCCTCTCCGCATGCGACCTGGACCGCCGGCAGAATTTTCATCGCTAATTTGATCACCTCACCGCCTTATCTCTCTTATCGTCCACTTGGCACGTTATTTCATAACAACCAAACACATCTGTGCCCGTGAACAGAAAAATACACGCACGCCCTCGCACAAGATGCAAAACCCCCGTATAGCCTGAACAGGCTTGCTGTCAGCTAGCACCTATGAAGACCGGCACGGCGCACGAGGGGGTGGGTGGCCGGCACTATACACATCGCACCAGGTTACTCATTTGAGGCTGAGTCGACCTAGGGCAGACCCAGAACCGGTTCAGATGATCGCCAGCACGCTAACCACCGTGCCACCGCTCCCAAACACACATACACACACCCAGCCACACGCTCGTGCGTGCAATTCTGACTCATTTAATTCAGATTACGGGCCGAGAAAGCCTCTTCGTTTCTTTTCACTGTGAGTGGCAGCCGTCACACGAGCACACTGGTGACCCTTTAGTGTTGCACGACACTTACAGATCCTGCTTTTTGTGTTTCATTTGTTTGTCCTTCCATATGCACCTCCGGTTGGCACGGTTGGCTACATTCGGTGCGAAAGATGTTCAACGTAAACACGTACGAAAGATCCTGGACGGCACGTGCGACCCCTTCTGCCGAGGCCCACTCGTGCCGTCAGTGAATTGATGTCAATGTCTTATGACCTCTACGAAATTAGACACAGGAACGCAGGGCAGAGAGGAGGCCCTCATACAGCAATGGAATCGACAAAGGGTGCACGTAAGAAAATGTATAATCATAATGTATGTATGGTGAACTTCTTTTGCACCGTACGTAGCCAACCGTGGTAATCGGAGGTGCGGGGGAAGGACAACAAACAACACACAAAGCAGTTCTAGAGAAATTCGTTTTCAATCTAAATGTAAATGTGCATTATCTCCCAGTGGCTTCCCAATATCTGAAGGAAGAGAGTTCCAGAAACCGCGCGATGCAGCGACTGTCTTTGTTTGATGGTTAGCCAAAAAACAAATGACAATAATAATTTGCAGCCCGTGTATTAATCCACTGTTGCACACAGCATCAGTCACGGGGGTTGTTTGACCTTACTTCACCACGCTTTGTCAGTGCGGGGTTGGTGAAGGCGGGCGGTGTGCCCAGAACCGGCACGGATATCACTCGCCACTGATGTGAGCCGTGGCTGGGATTCAAACTCAGGTCTCCCTGGGTATCACACGTACAGTACGGTGTGAGGATCACTGTGCCACCGCTCCCCCTCCACCGCCAGGATGCAATTTACCCGCGCGATTGGAGCGACAAGATCAACTCGTGCGGCGTGTTGCATTCGTGCGGCCGTGAGAGATGGCGACGGCTTGGAGAGGCCCTCGTCCAGCAGTGGACAGAGCACGGCTGACGATGTCCATGTGCGTAGATCAATACCGGCGTGCATTGATCCACACGGCAGCCATCGCAGTGAATTAGCCGAAAGCAAGCTTCCATATAGCCTGCCAGATGCACATTTGTGGAGATAAACGTCCTCCGTTATTTTCCGCTATTGCCGACCCCCAGCTGGGGCTGGAGACCTGGGTATGATAGCTTCACAGCACTTCGGGTTCTCCCAGCTCGAATCAAAACATCCATCTCCCTGAGAAGATGCCAGCGACGTAATTCGCGCGAGTGAAACGAGAGAGGCCATTTCGTACATAATCGGTTTTAACGGGTCGTGCTCACGAGTTATTTCCCTAAAATGTAATGACCGTTGCCGAAACGTAAATTACACGCACACTTAGCCACGGGTCTACCTAGCAAATGAGCCAATTTCTGCAATGAAATCTGTGCGTATGAAGTTAATGGGTCTTTAATTTCGTGCTAAGCATGGATTAGCAAGAATGTATCGCAATGCCTGAGTGTTGTGTTCATTGCTGTTCAATGCGGCGACAAAGGATTCACGAGTCACACAACGCACTCCTCGTGACTGTCTCGAGAAATGGCGATGTAAAAAAAAGAACACATTGGTTGATACATTTTGACTCTGACCTGCTATAAGTAAACATTTCGTATTTATATGAACCGTCCGTGTAAGTAAAATGATCTATGTAAGTGTGTGTCAATGCCCAGCACAGTATAAACATTCAGTGCATTTGATGATACTGTGTTGGCCGTGGTGTATGAGCACAACAAAACAATAACACAACGGGTATTTTAGCCTGCGTGGTGTGGGCCATGCAATACTTCGCAGTGCCGGATTAAGCTAGTGCGGGGCCTGTAGCATATGTTATAAAGGGGCCCTAAATTTAAAAAAACACGTAAATATTAAAACACACGTTTTTTACTTGCATAGTAAAGTAATTGTATTTTTTCATTTCGTATACAGCCAGATAATACGAAAAATAGCTAACCTTAAACAGCCAGTCGTTCATAAAAGTTGAAGGCAGTATAGTACTATAATAATAGAGCAAATGCAGAATCACTGAACCGGAATTGATAGCTTGAAATCATTTAGCGCGGGGCCCTTGAAAGTGCGGGTCCCGCAGCATGGGTAGCTACTTTTGCTACTCGGAGAATCCAGCACTGATACTTCGGCAAAACCCGGTAGGTTTTAGCTCCACACTCCCATGAGGGGCAAATTACTTGGTTCACTGACGATGGGGATGGCGTTATGTGTAAGCATTCAACGTTAAAAAGTAGAACAATGTGAAACTTGGGGCTAACCATGGCCTATGAATGAACCCAATGAACGGCCACAACATAATGTTTGAGGGTCCAAAATTGCTTAGAAACATTTTTTCGGACTTTTCGAGTTGTGAGCGTAAAAAAGGCTACTGCTGTTTCTTGGCGCAACGTTTTAGCCCTTCTAGAATCATCACGAGAATTAAACAACAAGCACTGAAACCACAATCATCCATACAATGTACTGGATGCGCACAGTGATACGCAAAGCATACGGAATGCGAATGACATGCTTAATTGCTCAATGTGAGCCAAGCATTGAAGTACTGTACTCTTACGCATTACAAGTTGTGTGCATTTCACCACTTTTGAAACCCCGTGCCGAATATGGAGTGGCGCATCGGCGTGTTGGTTCGTAGTTAGCGCACGATGCTATGAACCCGGCGTTCCGAGTTTAATTCCCTGCCATGGCGAACATAAGTGGTGAGAAATATCTAAATCGGCCCCCTTCAGCCCCCTTCACTTAACGCACACCCACCAGGATCGCGAAGTATTGTCTAAAAATCCCTGTGACTGATACGGTGTGGAGAAGGCTTCATCCACCAATGGATTGACAGAGCACTTGAAGTCATTCTTATTTAATATTAAGCATTTAACAATTCCCCTACCCGAGCATACAAACTCAACGAATTGTCATGGTTAAGGATAGGCATTAAATTTGAGAATCAATTATATTATTGTTACACTTAGACTCTACACTGTGTCCGTCAATCCTGAAGAAGCACTAGGATTCATAATTTGGGTAAAATTAATGTAAGTGATTTTTAAATCCTTTATGATGTGAAGGCCCATATGTTCTAATTACAAAAAAATGGTCTTATTACTTCCATAATCAAATTTAATGCAAAGCTTTGTTTTTAATCCACACTGAATTTGCCTTGTACCCATGATGCCCATGTACTGCACTGTTTATCGATATTTTTCTACCATCGTTGTTGTTTGTATCCCGAGGTCTCCCTTGAAAAAATATAAATATTCAGTCTCGCTTGGTCAAAAGAATGAGGATGTGCGTGCACTTATTTGTTGTTAAAATGCCGCGACATCTCAAATTGACTTGAGAATATGCAGGAAATTCAAACATAGGTATGTATTTTTTTTATTTAAAGCTTTCGTGACTGCAGTAATTCATATTCTTAGCTCTTTCGGTAAAGTCACGTTGAAGGGAAACAATAAAATAATAAAATATATATTAAACAATAAAAATTCTCACGACGTTTCGACCATAACACAAACGGTCGTCATCAGGTGTGTCGGTTTGCATAAATGTATTTATTTTTCAAATAAATACATTTCAAATAAATACACCGTTTAAAAATAAATAAATTTATGCAAACCGACACACCTGATGACAACCGTTTGTGTTATTTGTGTTATGGTCGAAACGTCGTGGGAATTTTTATTGTTTTATATATATTTTATTATTTTATTGTTTCCCTTCAACGTGACTTTACCAAAAGAGCTAAGATTATAGGTATGTATGTTAAACTTCTTTTACACCGTACGAAGCCAACCGTGCTAATCGGAGGTGCGGGGGAAGGTTCAACAAACTAAAGACATCCATAATCGAAAGTTTTTTTAATAACGCGATTTCACCCAACAAAAACCTCTATTACGGATAACATTCGTTGCGAAAGCCTACGTGTTAAACAAACTAAACACACACGTGTTTGTAATAGTCTCTCAGAAGAGATCAAGGGGGAAGACTAAAGGGACCAATGGCATCAACGTGGGATGTAGACTACCAACGCGGGAACACAGCGGCGCGCTCAGGCAACAGTCAGCAGAGAGTCCCAGCACCAGCAGGGCCCTAGGGAAATCCAGAAAACGCAACAGAACCAAAAAAGCCCGCGGCCCCCCCCCCCCCCCCCCCCCCCCCCCCCCCCCCCCACCGGGCCACGAAGCCAAAAGCCCACACGACCACCACCACTCGCCGCCATCAAGCACAACCCACCGCTGCCTTCAACCACAACCCTCCCCAACCACCACTGCAACAACGCGATCATTATTTTGTACACTTGTGCATTCGCGCCATATTTCATAGCGCGAGGCTATCGCGAAGGCACCGCGTTTCACGGACGCGGTCTGCAGGAGTTTCACGGCGGGGGAGGAGGGGGGGGTCGAAGTTGCTGAGGGTAATTTGCGGGGTCACTCTTCAAACTTGTCAAATTTGGGCCGCGATTCCGGCACACAACGCCGCATGCCGAATGATGCCAGGGGATCTTCAACATTCCCCGTGAAGCGGGCGGCGCACAGTATTCCACGGTCAACGCACCCGCCGTAGTAACCGGGGTGGCCTGTCGGGTTTGAACCGCGAACCTCTCCAGCAAGTGGCGAACGCTCTACCGCTGTGCCATGTTGCTGCCCCGATACAACTACCACCGCCCACTCCCAACCGACACCCAGCGCTACTATTAAACTACGTGAATTTGTTTATTTAATTTTACCAGGCAATGCCCACTGGGCTATGTAGCTCTTTTTTTCAGAAACGACCTGGCCACAAATGATCGCTCAAATAAGTTGCGTATCACGTAGAAGTTTATAGTAACCAAACACTCTAAACGCATGTTTCTAAATGTGGAGGGAAAACCCGGAGGACACGGGGAGAGAGACACGCAAACTCCAAATATACAGGGGTCAGGGTCGGGATTGAGCCCACGACCCCCTGCATAGCAGGCGAGGGAGTTGACATCTTGCCACCACGGTACCCCAATGCACCACCACCACTACCCACCAACACCATCCACCGCCACCACACAGCATCCACCCAATCACCATCAACCACCACCGCCACCAACCACCCACAGCCCCACGCTGCTTCACCAAATTAGGATGCAAAAGGTGTGGAGCCATTTCCTTCCTGAGGGTCGGATAGGACTTTCAACCAATTACCTTTGGCAGGCAACCACACAGCAACACACACTGCAGTCACTTCCGTAACTGCAGTGACTCAGCACGTGAACATTTGAAACTCAGTCTTGTTGTCAGGTTGACAATATTCACCTCCAGTACCAGATTATAATGTTTGCAGTGACGATTAAATATTGTGTGCGGGCCATTTCCAAGCGGTTAGGCCTCATGTAGCCACAAGAGTTGCCACCTATCCTGCTTTTTTCCCAGCATCCATCCTCTTTGTCGTGGGAAATCTGAAAACCTTCCCAGGACATTAAAAGTCCCCCGTTTTTTTTCACAGTTGCTGTAATGATACACCACTCGAGCCGACGCACTACCACGTAGCCCTCTCCTCTTCTGCTACCGCGAGGCACTCTCCTCCTCGCTATCTGTCCCGGTTTATGCACCACCTCAAAGGTGGCAACCCAAAGTGGTTGAGATAAACCGCACTCCCCGTACGGAGAGTCTACGAACGGATTCCCATCTGTTTAACACGTCGGCTTTCACGACCATTACCATCACATTATTTTTGTTGTTGGTTAGACCGCGTAAATATAAACGTGTCGTTGCTCTCCAACACACAACTGGTGTGCTGTACTAGTAACGAATTGGCACGTTCTGTTCACGTGACAAACCTTACTAAATTTTGATTCATGAACATGAAACCTTACTAATTAGCTTTGTCGGGTGGTGGCAGGTTTAACGACACATTTACATATTTACGCGCCCTAACCCCCCCCAACCCCCCCCCCCTCTCTATTATGGATTCTCTTCTCCGCGGGACCTGGTCGCGCGCTTCACCTGGGACATCTGCGGACGGAGGTTGATCTCCTTGAGGGGCAGGCTGCCCGGCTCGACATTGTTGAGCAGCTGGCAGAGGAGGACCCCGTCCCGCAGCACCTGGGCGAGCTCGAACACCTGCGAGTCATCCTGCACGGCGCGGTGGCTGGGGGGCAGAACCCTGCAGGCCACCAGCCACGCAGCACACTGCCGCCACAGCCTGCTCTCTTCCTCCATGGCTTCTGCACGGCCGGTGGGGAGAGAGGATAAGACAGGAGGGGGTCGTCCCCCCCCCCCCCCCCCCCGAAAGGTTTCGTTAACTCCGAGGAACGATCATCGACTTCTAGACAGAGTTGATCATTCGGACGACTCCGAGACAGTGTACATTCGGACAAAGTTATCATATTTGGGACGGAGCACCCCAGTCCGTGCCATCTTGGTAAGATTTCAACATTTGACCGATGTTCTAGCGCTCACTGATTCGCTCCTGTCACTCGCTCACAGGCGGTCAGTCACCTCCGTTTCACTCTTTAAGCGCTGCTACCACCATTACCCATACCATGGACGCCGTTCCAAATCAGGTGTCCCATATTCAAGTAAATATCCAGGAACAAAATATACATTTTATTTACTGTTCCCATGAAATCCACTTTATTGATTCCTCCATCCATGTTGATCACTCGGTCTTCCAGGCCACACTGTACTCGACCACCACACTACAAGTCACAACACTTAACTCTCTGCTTCTTTACATGCTCTGCCTGATATCGTCTTGTTTCCCGTATTCGTATAACCTTGCTCAATTGTTGTTACTTTTGAAATGACACCTTCAATTGGGCTGTTTGTTTCTGGGAATTTGGCTCTTTTGGACTTTGAGTCTGTGCTCAGCAACTGTGATTTGTAAAAACGTGGTCTAATGAGCCTCATAAGTAAGAAATTAAGGCTAATATACACATAAACACTGTACACATTAAACGTACGTTACAACAAAAAACACCACAGCGTAATAAAATAGATTAAATTAAGTAGAGAATGTGTTGTGAATGAATTAAAACACTATTCATTAACTCCGCATGATAGCAATGTGTACTTGACTGACGTTTTCCGACAAAAAGCCTTCATTATAACATCGCTAGAGAGGGCTAACCATCTCCTAGCTAAACTCTATGGCACAGTCCTTCTCCACGTGGTACCCTCTCAAGAGAGTACTGAGTGCCAGTGAGGTTTAATGTTTCGAGATTACAGTAATTACGTTATCATTTTATAGTGCTACATTATTAGGTACTTTATATATTAGTAGCTGCAATATACAGTAGTGTACGGTGTCTAATGCATATAAGCTGTTGTTATTGAGCGAACAATGTATTTTCTAATGATGCCGAAGCCCGAGAAAGCTAACATTTGGAAAATACTATATTTAATCCCACGCTTATCACGACAACGTCTTAGATCATGTATTGTCACATTCGAACGCCAAAAATAGCAGTTCCAGTAGTTCAATTAATAAAAAAAGCAGGTTGGAGACACATCAAGACCAACTAATTGAGCCATCCATTTGGTTTATTAAATACACGTGGGTAACAGCATGCCACACGGACACCACGGTGATACACCCAACTCATTAACAATATCAACCCACGGCCCTTTCTATATTAATATTAAAGGCCTCCCTCCTCCACCACGCGGTGTGGGTCATAATTAAGAGGTCGTTCGACGGGGACTGGTCAGTGGATTCAAGAGACGGGAGCAGAACCGGTTCACGATAGCACTCGCCACTGATACTGGCCGTGACCGGGAATAAAGAGAACTGAAGTTCGTCGAGTTCGAATCGCAGTGCAGTGCCACCCGCTTACGAGAGCACGTTAAATAGCATAGCACGCAATAAAAATTATCTCCGTCAAATTACTTACCCCCCCCCCCCCCCGCCGTATCTCTGATGAGCACGGTTGGCCACGTACGGTGCGGAAGAAGTTCAACATGCATACATACATGCAAGAATCTTGCAAGCAGTTACATACGCTTTACAAAATGTTGGTGTTGATGGTCTGTGATAGGGGCCACCACATAATCGGGGCTATCACAGACTACGAAGGCCTTTTGACAATCCACTGCTGGATGACAAAAAGGGCCTGCCCTGCACCGTGCGAACCATGGTGGGTCATGTGACCATACTTCACCACGCAGGTCAATGCGGGAAGTAGTATACAGGATAAACACACGCACTGTATACTGTAGTCAAAAGAACAACAATTATGCACGTAACAGTAACATCGAGTAGCAATTGTTAACAAGACAATTGAGTCACATAGATCTGACAATTGTGATCATGTTCGGGGCTACATTTTTTTTCTTCGGATAATAAAATGAACAGAAGAGAGCCGGGCCAGCTTTACCATCCGACCAGCAATGGGAATACACGAAATAACTTACGCCCCTCGATGCGCGAACGTCAAATAAGTGCGGTAACGTCGTACAATTGAATACAACACAACGTACCGTTTACGCAATCGCGTGTGAAACATTTGCGACAATAGCAATGAAACAGAAAAAAAATTGTTACCAGGCCGGCAAAAGTTGAGTCGGAGAGGGCGCGTCTCGCTGAACAATCCGGGCGCTCTTGCGTTAGGTTCTGAACAAAGTGAAAAAGCTTTCTGCACGTCGGTGCCGTGCGGTCGAAGGTCAACGTGAAAGAAGGCGCAGAGGGAGAGAGGCGAGAGAAGGGTGATGTATACGGAGAGAGATAAAGTAGTTTATATGGGTTAATCTCTCTCTAACGATGGCTCGTGTTAACGTGGGACCCCCCCCCTCCCTCCTCCTCCTTCTGTTATAGGTAAAGAGGAAGACGCGCGTTGGCGAATTGCAACTTCCTCAAAATAAGGCAATTAAATAAATAACAAGGTTTGACCACCACTACTACCACCCACCAGCTACCCACAAACTCCCCCCCCCCCCCCCATTGCCAGCCCAAAGACGTGCCCAAGGTTGAGCTGAGCAATCCGTATATTTCCAAGATTATAAAACGCACGGTTTTATCATCCCCAACCTCTGTATTTCGAAGCTAAAATATGGGGGGGGGGGAGGGTGGGTGGGCTGGTGCTTCTAATAATCCGGTTCGTATTCTTGGTTCTTGAATCACTGCAGTCACGAAAGCTTTAAATCAAAATCCGGTTCGTGTTTGTGTCTTTGTGTATATGGGAAGATTCGTATGAACTTTGAGAGACACCGGGCCACACGCTTGCGAGACGCCTCTTACTCTCCGCAACTTCTTAAAACCCAAAACAAGCGTTGAGTCGGCCTGCGTGTGTATGGGGGAAATGTCTAAAAAACCTTTTTGACACCCTTGGTGGGGGGGAGGGTGGTATGGTGTGGTGTAGCTGGAAACGCATTTTGATGTGAGTATTATTTTCCAAGAACGTTTTATTATCCTAAAAAACCGGTAACACTGTGGTGTCTGCTTTGGGTGGTGTCGGGGATAGAGCGGGCGAATTGTGGAAGTGATCGTGGGGGGCCGGGGTGAGTGGCTGGGGTTCTATCTGGCGTTTGTTACAGCTAGGAAGTCACCACTCACTATTTCCCCTTTGCGCATTCATTGCACATGTACAGCACTCGTGCTAATCCAATCTGCTGGATGAGGGCATCTCCCTCGCCCCCCATGGGGTTATAATCTACTTTGACCATACTTCACCACACTGGTCAGTGAGTGCGCACGGGTTGGACGAAGCGGGGGGAGCAACACAGACGCATACAAATACCGTACAACAATGTTGCTGCACTGCCTCTCTTTGCTGTTTATCACGTAGCAGCCTGTAGCAACCTGTGTGTGCATGACGGTCACCCGTCTACTAAAAGCACTGTCTAGGCTCAAACCCTGCTTAGTTTATGAATCTACAGTACAGTACTCATGTGGGCACCGCCACATCGGCCACCTTTGCAGCCCTTTCACTGATATTTACCTGCAAAACGCTCGTTTGAGACGGGGTTAGACCTAGGGGAGGTTCTGAGCACGCCTAGTACGCGACACTGATCTTATTATCTGCATGGCCGGGAAATCGAATTGGCCGGAATTGGCGTGGCAGTGTCCTGATCAATGCTGCCACCCTAACGCACAGAATCATGTGGACAGACTGTTGGCACGGGATGGGGTCGTGTGGATGAGACCCACACACGGCCGCCGCCTTTGTCAACCTGGCACACTTGTTTCATCCCACCTTAGAGTCTTGGCCCAGAGGCTAACAGAGAATACAAAAAAATCGTACGCCGCTGGATGTAGGCCTCGCCGTGTCGGTCACGTCGTTGTTTGACCATACTTCACCACGCTATGGTCAGTGCAGATTAGTGAAAGAGCAGTGTAGAGGGGGCGGGCGGGCGGTGGGGGTCAGGACCGGGTCAGATATCACTCGCCACTGATGTTGACCGTGACACGAGAATCGAAGTCATCGCTCCGGTTCCCAGCGCAATGCGCTGACCACTGGGGTATCACCCCTTGCACCCCGCTAGCTGCTGGGTTACCATTGGCTATTGGTAATTGCCTCCTCTCTGCCACCATGGGGGTCCTCGTAAACATTGTGTAGGGCACAACGTCGCATATACGACCATCACGTATCCGCCGCGACCAAATAACCACCTACACGCACCCCGTTGCAATCTTTTGTGCGCGGCATTCCACTGTCCGTGCGTACGATCACCGATCTCGCTGACACAATCCGCCCCTGCCGCAGGCCCCACGCGCCAGCGAATAGGACACGCGACGTTTTGTGCTCCGTGCGACGTTTGTCCGACTCGCAAGTGCTCGTTGGACACTTGTCGGCAAAGCGAGGGCATTTTTGTTTTGATTTTGAGGAACCCAAAACGCCACATTTATACAGTGTGAAACATACACTTGGCTGAGCAACGTTTCCTGTTAAATATTTTTTTTCGTTGTGGCTGTTATGGTCATGCGAGGGTGTTTTTGATGGACTGGGACTTTCATGTCAGCACAAATACCCCGTACTATATCCAGAATCTCTTCAAATGCACATCCTTGTTTCAGCGTGTTTACTGGGATCACCACAGGATACGCATTGTGTTAACATCGCCTCTAAATGTGACCGCATCTCAAGCTGCCGCACAGATAAAGTGGATGCATTTCATCTTATAGCGAGACGCAGTCGGTAATACGAGGTGGGGATTAAAAGGGACCATCTTGGGAGTCGACATCACGGATGGCTGTGGAAAGCGAGTCCCAGGGTGAGGGACAGCAGAGGAAAATGGGGTTAGTTCCCTCTGGGAGCTTTGACGGATACGGTACAAAGGTAGAAATGTAAAAGTGTCGCCCTGCAATTCTCTTGCAGAGTGTAAATAGAAGGGCAGCCTTAGAGAGCCACTCTCGAGAGCCCGCCGCGTGTTATAATTTTGTACAACTTAGTTATATTTGTTACTTTTTTTTAAGTTTCTACCTAAATGCAACCTTAATTTAAACCGAGCATTGAAACGGAGGCGGGGATTTGGCACGCCCTGCCGCGGAAAAATAAACTTTCTTTTCCCGCGCTTTCCGATTTTCAATCGGTAAATTAATACCGAATTGTGCTTTTCGTTTTCATAGGACTAAATGTGTGGCCCGCGGGAGGTGAGTTTGAATCTAAACCGGCCCGCTGTCAGATTGAGTTTGACAACCCCGATCTAGAGGGTACAGAACATTGGCCGGCACAATTTGCGGACGTCTGTCAAAAAAGTGGGAGTGCCCACACTTGACCCGGGTCAAAGCGCCAGATGACCTTTCTGAGATGAGGGGCCCTCGGACCTCGGATGCGAGGCGCCCAGGTCAAAATGAAGTCAACGATAAAAGGGAGCAATAGTTAGCAAAATTATAGCCTTTTCAATTTTGTTTATTCTCAATGTGTCGTGTGTATTGTCTTCACAGTACTATATTGTTTTTGAACGTCTTGCTTATTGGGTCTGCAATGGCTTCCTTACTCGGGAAGTATCTCAAACAATACTCCTTTTGCACAGCCAACTCGAGACGGACTCTCTGGGAGGAGGAGGTGCAGCGTCAATAATAAATTATGAAAATGCGTGGCATGCCCATGTGGCCGCATGCAGCAGTGACATCCCCCATTTGGTCTTCTTATCTTTCACGGCATGGGGTTCCTCACCCCCCCCCCCCACCCCCCTCGCATTCTCACACTTCTGATGTGTAAAATTTTCGTGGTTTTCAGTTTTGTGTAGCAACATTTTAACCACACAACTCATGCAAATCCCAGTTCTCATTTAACCCAGGAATTACCCGCCGAGTCTCCAGGACCTTTTTTTCTCTCATGGAGGGCCCCACATACATTGTGATGTTTGGCCAATGGTCATTTTGAAAAAATAAAAAAAGTGTTTGACTTTATGTGGGAGGAAACTGGAGAAGCTGGAGAAACCCCATTGCGCACACAATAAGGGGTGGCACGCAACAGCTGACAAGCCCTGGTGGTTGCCCAGCAAAGTACTCGCCAGGCTCAATGTTGCTTAGCCTCCGAGATCCGAGGACAATGGGCACGTTGATGGTGACTTGGCCATTACATGTACACAGTACGTGTATTACTTCTACTCACAATTCATAAGTTACGCTAATTTAGTGAGCAATCTGCATTTGGGGGCACAGGGACATGTGTTACTCAGATGCTATAAAGTTCCATATGGGCGTCTTGTGTTACCTGGGGAGTAGAATGATATGCACATAGACGCGTCATGCAGTACATCTGCAGAGTAAATCATTTATCCCGGCGAGCCGTGGAAATTGACGCATGCTGCCTTGATTTCGGGGTTAGTTCTGGTCTAGTGGCCAGACCACTCAGCCACTTTGGGCTCGAACAAGACCTCGTCACCCATACTAAAGCAAACCTCCAGATCAATATCAACACTACCGACTGCTCCTGTCATTTACCAACTGTCCTCGTTTATGAGCCGATGACGGGAATGTAATTCTTGTATGATTCCTCTTTGATATGAACCTTGTTCCATTGGCTGGTTCAGTGATGCAGCAGATGATAGACCATTCATATTGCACCTGGATTGCATCAGCTATCATTAGATGTGTGAAGCAGGGTAGGGTTGAGCCTGAATAGTGCTCAGATGGGTGACCATCATGTAAAATAGGTGTTATAGGCTGCCGGGCTATGTTGTCAGCAGAGGACAGTGCGGCAACATCCGTTGTTCCATATGTAGTATGTTCCGTCTATGTTCACCGCATTCACCAACCTGCCCTGACAAGCGTGGTGAAGTATGGTCAAATAACCCCCTTGACTTGCGTGGCATGGGGAGGCCTTCATCCAGCAGCAGATTGACAAAGGGCTATGTGTCATCGTGTATCATGATATCGTGTATATAGTGTATCATATATCATTATACAGTGTATCATCATATAGTGTATCGTTATCTGAAGGAAATCAATAAAGACTAAATCGGGTCAACGGTATGTAAGATATGTACACAATTGTCTATTACCAGGGTTACAATGAAAAACAGGAAGGATAAATCGGCTTACATGGATAAAAATGTATTCCATAAAATAAGCGGAGTATCTTACCGCTTTCCCAAGTAGAATGATTTTTATCTTTTAACTCCCACTTAGTGGCACCGTGTGCTGCGATTTACGCAATGTTTTTTACAGTAGCGTGCCGATTCTAACTGTGCTTGGATGAAATGTGTCACATGTAGCTTATTTACACACAATACTCATTCTCCGTGTCCTAAATGAAATAACTTTGACGCAACATAAACGATGAAGAACATTTCCATCCTGTTCCAAAGCAGGATCGTTTTTCGGGGAGTACGATGTACATGTGTGTCCGATCTATTACACAAAGTACTCGAGTTTGAATAAATGGCACTCGTGGGAATTGGAAACAGGTAAAGCACATACATACAGCAACTCCTGTACTTACGAACGAGTTATCTTCCAGAGGTCTGTTCGTAAGTCGATTTGTTCGTAAATCCAACTTCACTCCTGTCGATCCCAAACATGTTGTATGGCATGTACAATAAACACAAGGAATGGCTTTAAAAGTTGTATAAACTCCTGCAGATGTAGATACCACTGGTTCTTCACGTTCTTCAGATGTAGGTGCCACTGGTTCTTCACGTTCTGCAGATGTAGGTGCCACCAACGCCATCTATTGCGCGGTCCAAATAGGCAACTGGACATACGGACAGGTTTGTTCGTATCTCTTAAAGTGCGTAAGTCTAATGTTCATAAGTCGATGAGTCCTTGAATATAATCTTGAATTTCAGGTCACGCACTTTGCGTGGGAGCAGTGGGGCAGACTAAATCTGCATTATCTGTGCCAAAAAAAGCAAACACCTTTATCTTATGCACCGGGGCTAATGGACAATCAGCTTCCCTGCCACATGTTTGACGAAAGGGGGACTTCATCAATACCAAGCTCAACAGAAGATTCACTATTGCAGGACGTGTATTTTCTTCCAAAGTCCGACTCTGAGACCCAGCAGTGTTAAAACCGATCCAGAGGCGGCCTGCTTATACAGACGCTGCTGTGACTAGTATTGGTAAAATGTTGATAGTATGAAAAAAACCCAACAGGCTGCTAGCAGTGGATTGACAAAGGGTCTGAATTGAAATTAAACCAAGCAGTACAAAGTGAATAACGGAACTTCACATTTCAGCACGTTGCGATTAACAGGGCATCCGATTATATTCACATTTTTCAAACAGTTCATTAAACACTAATCCACATAGATGTGAAATTGAAAGACTGATATATTTTTTTTTACATTGACTAAAATTACATATTTTCTCATGAGTTATTTTATGCTTTGAGTACTGTGCAGGGTTAAAATGTTGCTGTATAACCGTTTGTCAGCCCACTGCTGGATGAAGGCCTTGCCACGCCGTGTTGAACATGGACCATGGGGGCTGTTTGACCAGACTTAGACCGCGCTGGGCATTGCTGGTTGGTCAAGTGGATTCTCAGGACCGGTTCAGATATCACTCGCCCACTGGTGTTCTACCGTGACCAGCAATGGAACTCACTTGAGGCCAGGTTAATAGTGCAATGCCCCTGATCGCTGTGCCACCAGCGCTCACTCTGTAAACAGTATTAGCAGCAAACAATGATGCCCTTGTGTTTCGATGACTTTATTTGAAAGTAAAATTAAGTGGCGTTCTCGTTGACTTCAATAAGGGGTTATGGGATGTCGTTATTATTTTGTTTGGCGTTTCGAACAAAGAAAGCAAAGCGGCTACGATGGTACGTTTAATGTTGTACGCCATTCCACGGCCTGGTAGCAGAGTGGAGTTGTCCACTTGTTCCACCAGGGTACGCATGCAGTGCTCGAATAAGAATTTACTTCTGTAAAGTGGCGGATTTGGTCTGTAGATCACAATGCGTCTCTGTGTATGGAAAGCAGGAAATAAACAGAACCTGCAGGGTAAATGGGTCAGTTGCAAGAGGTCAGTTTTCAAGCAATCTTAAATAGATCTAACGATTCTGATTGTCTTATTAGCAAGGGCAAAGCGTTCCGAAGCTTGACAGCACAGACTGGACAGACAAAACAAGTCACTGTGATGCCCAGAAATACTTTATTGTCTGACCGAAGCACAGAGTAATGACTGATGGCCGAGTAAAGAGATGCGGCGCAATTTCGATGTAGTATTTATAAAGGGCGACCGCATCTCAAGACGGTGTGTGGAGAAACGGCGGCGATATGCAGAGGAAGACAGTGCGCTCTGTGACCTGGAAAACATCGCGTGCACGGCATGGAGTGGGTGAACTTTGAATTGTGCACATGGAGCAGAGTAAACACAGGTTGAAGGCAATTTACTGCCCAATGATGTAATAACACAACACACACAACGTCGACTTATGCAACGCATTTAGATACGTGACGTTTGCATCAAATTATTCAATACAAAGTTTGCACATTGCCGTATGTATAGTTACTTCATATGAACTGTTGAGTAACAACACACCCTTCAACATCCATTTAGTGATACGAAATAAACTCATTTACATTAAAAAAGTTAAATCATGAAATGTTTCTGATTAAAAACGCTCTTCGTCAGGCACGTTGCTACATTGATTTCTCATCCCTGCCAACCCATTATCAGGAGTACACTCACCACTAGTACACTCACCACTAGTACACTCACCACTACATACCTGCTCACCCCTTATCAGTGCCCTACAGACCAATTCAGACCTTAGTGGTCACCCCGTGCCCCTTATAAATGGCAACGTTCATCCTACAAAGCAGGGACGTGCAGTCAGGGGAGGCAGGGGAGGCAAAGCCTCACCTGTCATACTCCAATGAAAATAGCTGTTACGAAAAGTAAAAAAGAGAATACTAAAATAAATATTAAGATTTTCCCACTGATCTGTGTTATAAATGTAATTTCTGTACGATTCTAATAATTTTTATAGTAAAAATCGCCAAATTTGTGGAGCTCCGCTGCAAATACAGGAAGAGACGAGAGGTGAGGCAGCGACGAGTTCAGCCTCCCCTCTGATTGCGCAACCCCTCAGTAACTGGATGGAGCGCGGGCAATAAGCGCGTGCCTGTTACTATCTCAGTATGTCACCAATGTGATGTTTGTAGACCCCTTCATTTCATGTCCTCGCCTTCCATACTCCAGGTAACTTATTTCACGTATGTGTATAAAGATATTTAGGCTCGCTGGTCTCGTCATGAAACTGCAATGAAAAAGCACCAGGGGAGGCAGCCATCACATCTGCCTCACTGAGTGGGACGTGTCTAACACGCCCCCCTCAGTGAGGCCACGCCCCCTCAGTGTGTGAATCTGGCTCTGACACTAGCCAGTGCCTCCCCAGTCATTGACCTCACCGCACGTCACTGCTACAAAGTCCCCTCACAAGGGAGAAACACCATACCATTGACGACGGTCAATGGTATGGTTTATAGCATGTTGTATAATAATAAATAGTATAACAGTGTAATGTTTAGCATAATTCATAAGGCAATATATAGTATCGTAATTGTATAGTGATTATACAGCAGTGTGGTATACAGTAGGGTTGGTAGAATAATACATAGTGTAATATTACAAGTCTAATATTTTATAGTCTAAAGTATAGGGCAGTGTATAGTAACGCATTGTATAATTCAAAGGTGGGGTTTGTCTATGGCAGTGTATATTACGGTGTATAGTCGTGTAATGTAGAAAAAAGTTTAGTTGGAGACATATCAATATAATGCATGTTAGAGCTTACATTGGGCTGTGTATACGATATTATACAATGTCGTTTAGATTGGAAGGTATAACATTACAATGTATAGTAGTCTAGTTTATAGCATCGTTGTAACGTAACACAGGACAGAGCAGCGCATCGTGGCTGTCTCTCTCTCCCCCCTCCTCCGTTCCGAGCATAGATGGACTCGTCCGTCTGAACAAAGCTCGTCGCTTTCCGTGGTGCTAACGTTGAAAAGAAAAAAATAAACTGCCACTTTTTTCGACATAGAATTGTAATGTATAACGACTTATTGTTAGTAGCTCAGCTGATTGGAGAGTATATTGAGTTTATGGATAACATTGATGCAGTTTATATTTTAGTTTTTTATCAGTTTACTATATGGTATTCATTATATAGTGTAGTGTATACCCAGTTACTTTATGTTAATAGCTCAACTTATTGAAGAATATATTGAGTACATTTATTATATTGATGTAGTTTATACTTAGTTCTTTCACATCGGCTTATTGTATGATAGTTGGGTAGTTGCAGTTCTTTAGCGTCAAGATACTAAATGCCTCTGTTGATATGTAAACTATGACTTTATCACAGCTACTTCCGTGACCAGTTACATGCTAATCCCTCACACTAACATCATGCTAATCTCCCAGTTACATGATAATTTCTGACTTTAACACCCTTTCTAATCCAACACATTAACACAGCTACTTCAATGCTCAATTCTTCTGTTGATATGTAAACTCCTTTGTCAAGGCGCTCTGCTCCTCCCACCCAGCTTAAAAGACGCTGGCAAGCTTAGCAGTGTTCACTGAAGCGCTGTCGTCCCGACAGTTCTGTTCCTTCACCTGAAGAAGGCTATTTGTGTTGTGGCCGAAACATCGTGATCATTTAATTGTTTTATTTTTATTATTTTATTATTTCCCTTCTACGTGACTTTACCGAAAGAACCAATAAGATGAATCCCTGCAATCACGAAAGCTTGAAATCGAAATTTAGACACGTTTTGTTGTTGCCGTATGGACCTGAAAACTCAATTTCCCTGCAACAAGAATACGGGGTTAAACCGTCTGCGTCGACAAAAGCTTTGATTTCTCATCACCAAACTTCAACTCTTCCACTCGTTCTCGCCGCTTCGATCCCGAAACCCGCCGTCAATAACGACAGTCGAGACGCCATCGCGAACCACGTGCGCCACCTGCCGGCCCACGCCGAGACCGATCCATCGCCCTGCGCGAGAGAGAGCGAGAGAGGACACCACGAGTTCCCAACACCTTGCACTGAAACAGACACGGCGTTCATCATCAACACCACCACCACCACCGCCATCGACCGTGATGATCAGGACTCGACAACTATAACAGCAAGAAGAGCCAGCTTTTGCTGCGAAGACGTCTACGGTACTTAATGAATAATGTAAACAAACAAACAAAACTTGTCATCACTATTTTAAGAGTGGCACACGCGGCGTGATTTGTAATTGCCGCATTACAAATCACTGTTGGACTTTAAGACCTTCACCGTTTATCGAACATATATATTGTTTTTACTTTGCAATAATAGTGTCTGGTGCTACGAAGCGGCCCTTAAAAAGCCGCAGGTTGCCCACCCCTGACCATGATCAATTCACCGCTGGATTTTTTAAAAGATTATCACGACGTTCACATGGACGCGAGTTGGTTTCATCGCCGCACAATCCGTCTCCGCGGCGGTCAAACCCCGCCTCTTGGGTGCGATTCCCCATCCTTTGGGGCCGTCCATAAATGACGTCACGCGATTTTGGACGAATTTTTACCCCCCCCCCCAACTCGTCACACGGCGTCACAAAAAGTCAGACACCCGTAAAATATGACGTCACAAAGCTCTGCCACCCCCCCCCCCCAAAACCAATTTTTCAATTTTGAAAATAAAACGTGCTTCAAATCGCTTTAAACTATTGTCATTGTAGTGCGTATTTAATGTGGCGCTGCACTCTGATTTTGTAGAAGTGTTGTTATAACAATTAGTGTTGTTATAACAATTCTATATTTATTTAAAGTTGCGCATTTTGATGTGACGTCACATTTCTCAAACCCCCCCTCCCCCGTCACAAATGTCTGACCCCCCCCCGCCCCCAGGTGCGTGACGTCATTTATGGGCGACCCCTTTGGCTGCCGTTCCACCGTTAGGCTCGGCCAGCGTCGTTCTAGCCATGGACGTGTCCTGTCGAAGCCACACTTCGCTTTAACAGTCACTGTGATTGGTTGAACACGTAGTAGGAGGCTTTCGCGACCAATGTCATCCATAATACAGGTTTTTTTGGGGTTAGATCGCGTAAATGTGTGCGTCGTTGAAACCCGCCACCACCCGACACACCAACAAATCTGGCTGTCGCCTGATAAAGCTAGTTGTAATTACTGGCGAAACGTCGTACTCTGATTGTAAATGTTGCGGCTTGGCTCTTTAACACACCGATTAGTGCTGTACTAGTGACGAATTGGCCACGTTCCGTTTACGTGACAAGCTTTCCTAATTAGCTGTGTCGGGTGGTGGCGGGTTTAACGACACATTTATATATTTACGCGATCTAACCCCCCAAAAAAACCCTTGTATTATGGAGCTAATGTGATTGATGATGGTGTCTCGAACTTGCGTGCGTTCTCGAAACAAAGACCTCACAATATCTAAACAAAAGACTAAACTTTTTGTTTGCTATTACCAGAAACGTCCAGGCTATCACAAATGATGGCCCAACGAAGTGGCTTATCATCATCATGTGGAACTGTATAGCAGCCAAATACTCTAAACGCGTGATGTTGATTCTAAATGTGGAGGGGAAAACCAGTGGACCAGGAGCAAAAATCCACGCGACCACGGGGAGAGAGAGAGACGCGCAAACTCCAAATATACAGCAGCAGCAGCAGGCGTCAGAGTAGGAATTGAACCCACGACCTCCTGCACACCTGGCGAGGTAGTTAACATCCCGTCACCGCGTGCGCGCACATCTCACGTGATGGCCACGTGTTCCTTAGCTGTGCATCGATAGATCGATGAATCGATTCTTAATTCCCGTGGTACATGCATCCAATCGGCAGTGGACGAATCGTTTATTTCGATTCGCATGTTGTACCGTATGCGGTATAGCTTCACTTGTTATATTCATTTACCGTACAGTATTCGACACGTACACTGCACTTCAATAACTCTATAGCCCTTTGTCAATCCACTGCTGGATGAAGGCCTTCCCCATCTCGCACGATTCCAACAAACACGCGCTCATTGAATCGCTCCATCTCCTCGGCGGAGGTGCTCACTCCTACCACCACGTCCCACGCCGTTCCTGCCGCTCCAGTAACAATTGTCGCCCATTCCATTAAAGCGTCTCAACGCGGCACCAACCTTCCACGTGTATTGGATAAGAAGTGAAAGAATCAGGGGGGGGGGAACCGATGACGTCCCCCCCCCCAGGAGGCCCCGACTTTACAATCCCGAGCGCAGGGTGTCACCGATCAACTCTTTAACTCACGTGCCACAATGCCCGCGATTGCGCAATCGGCCAGCCCGAGCACAAATAGACACCGGCCGCGGTCATGAGTCCATACGGCTCCGTGGCGCAATGGATAGCGCATTGGACTTCTAGGTTTGGAAGGCAGACATTCAAAGGTTGCGGGTTCGAGTCCCGCCGGAGTCGTTGCTTGTATTTTATTATTTTAATTCTCAACGCTTCGCGATAAAAAAAAACACAAACGCGCTTCCAAGCGCTCTGAGACGCCCGCAGCGTTTGGGATACGCCCCGCGTGGGGAGGCGAGGCTCAGGCGTTCGTGTGTCGTCTCCGTTCTTAATCGCTCCACTTTGGTGGACTCTGACCGGGCGCCCGGCGGGGCCTTGCCGCCTGTGTTTTTGTTCCCCGTGCTGTAAAAGAGAGGGCGAGAGAGGGCCGGCCCACGTGTTCGGCAAAGGGGCACCCCGCCCAGAGAGTTATTCTCGGCTGGGTTGTTGCCGTTACGCACGCACGCCGATAGTCGGCGCCACGTGGTCTCGGGGTAAGAGTCATGCCGATCCTCCTGCTGCTGCTGCTGCTGCTTGGTCGATATTAATCAATGTTTTTTTGGGGGGGAGGGTTTAGATCGCGTAAATGTGTCTCGTTAAACCCGCCACCACCCGACACATCACAATTAGTAAGGTTCGTCGCGTAAACGAAACGTGCCAATTAGTGTGTTCACACTAATTGGCACGTTTTGTAGTGTGTTTACTTCAGCACACCGGTTGTGTGTTGGAGAGTAAAACCCACGAGCCATTTACAATTCGAGTGCTACGACGTTTCGCTGATTATTACGACTGATTTCATCGGGCGATTAGCCAGACTACGCGTCAAACTGCTGCTTGGTCTGTTTGAGTGATTCCCCAAATCGCGACGGGTGAGTGTGATCGGGTTTTGAGTGGGCTGTGTGCTGCAAGCTTGAGGACGAGAGGCACCATAGTATTATACTCTTTGGTTCTTTCGGTAAAGTCACGTAGGTATAAAATAAAATAATCCACGACGTTTCGATCGCAGCAGTGGAACTGCTGAACACGCCTGAGGACGACCGCTTGTGTTGCGATCGAAACGTCGTGATTTATTTTATTTTCTACCTACGTGACTTTACCGAAAGAACCAAAGAGTATGGATTCCTGCAGTCACGAAAGCTTCAAATCAACACCATAGTAAATTTGGTGGAGTCGGCAGCAGTTATTAGTCCCGAGTCAGAATCAATAATCGTCCCCCATCTTAGTTATTATTAATTCAGCTTGTTTACCCAGGAGGGTCTTGCAAAGTTTTCGCAGTATAGTGCCACGTCTAATCCCAATTTAGTCATTTGCAGATACAGTATTTTATCATTAGGATATTTTGTCAATATAGTTCCAGTTACGTTGTATGTTCATTTAGAATTTTTTTTGGCTTACGAAAGGAAACCAGAGAACTCGGAGGAGATCTGATTGCCCGGAAGAAACCCCAAGTTGAATTGGGCCAGAACATACAAAGGGGAGAACATTCAAATTACGCACGGAAAGACGTCAGTCGAGAATCCAATCCAGGACACTCCTGCTCTGAGGCACAAGCGTTGCCACTGCACCACCATGCCACCCAAAAAATAAGTTTACTAATGCTCTCATCATCATAACTATTTTATAGATCCAAATTGTATCATCGTCATCCGTGACCAATGGTACCACTATGAAAAACAATCTGTCATTACCGTAGTCCTCCAATGTCACCGTTTGGTAGATCTAAATAGTTTTTGTATCATCACGCACCAATGTCAACACTCTCATCACTCCATCATCATCACTCCGTTGACATCCACGTTTGATAAATCCAAGATGCATTATCGTGAATCCGGCATTGTTTATTTCCCACCAATACCACCGCTAAATCATCTTCATGGTCATCATCCATTCCATTCATCAGTCATTCTATTTTTCACTTAAGTACCAAATTGTATCGTTATCATAAAACCCTCATCAACATCGTCATAAAACGCCACCACTATCATCATCAGCAGCAGCAGTTACTCGCCAGCTCATCATCATGGATAAAAAAAACCCTCACCATGTCACCAGCATCTCGCGACCCTGCGTTGCAAATAATTCACTAAGCACCTTCGCCCGAGATGGTTTCATCTTTCCATTTCCTCGACGGAATCGTTCAGTACTTTGGCTGCCACGCAGTACTTATTCTTGGCAATCGGCCAGCGTGCCTTCCAGCCACGTACCCTGCCCAAGCACACTCTTCAGTCTGAGTTGACTCACAGATGCACCACCTGTGCCCCTTACTGTGCCAAGCTTGCTACGTTTTAGCCTCCGTGCGCTCCGCTCGCTGTTGTGAGCGTCGCTCCTCTGCTTTCCGTTGTTGTTGTTGGAGGGCGACTGCCTCCAACTGCCCAGTAGCGTCCTTTACGAGCCTCCTCCACAGAGGCCGATCTTGACACCGCTGGTCATCGGCAAGTCCAATCAGCTTCACATCCTGTACCACATCAGTCCTTTCCTTGTCTTTACTGGTACAGCTATATCACACACAGGTATTGCAACTACCACTGAGCCGACAGTCGTATGGCTTTTACGCAGATGCAAAGCGCCCCAGAGGTCGCCCGCCGAACGAGAAGAGACGGAGCGATGGAATCAGCTGGCATTAGACACGAGGTGCGTTATTTACATCGCAGGGTCGTGATACATGGCGAAAGTTTGGGGGAAGTCTTCATATATCAGCGGATTATATCATGATGACGCAAGATATATTAACCACACAGCTGTGTAACTCACCTTCATCAACCAAACTCACCTGGGTCACTCACCTGGCCAAACGCAGGCACCTCCTTCTCCACTTGCTGTGACCGAGTCATCCACATCGAGAGCACACCCCATCGCAATTAAGCAATCGACGAACCAACCAACCGATCGATAGATCGATACGTGTGCCGGTTGCGCAGATAACTAATTGCTGGCCACCTCCACCTGCCGTGATCTCACTTCACACTTCACATTGCCCCGGGGGTGTTCACAGCGAATGCAGCGACAGCAAGCTGCTCGGCACGTTGCCCAACGCTCAGGTATTCCTGTGACTCTCTCCCTGAACACCAACGTGCAGAGAGAGGTGGCGCTGCGGTTAACGCATCAAGACGTGAACCCGGTAGATCTGAGTTCGAATCCCGGCCACGGCTTACATCGGTGACGAGTGATATCTGAACCGGACCTGACCACCACCACCACCCTCCGTTCACCAACCCGCACTGACCAGCGTGGTGAAGTATGGTCAAATACCACCATCTCCCTGACCAGCGACACTTGGGTGGAGAGTCCTTCATCCAGCAGTGGATTTACTGACTGTGAATGAATTGATTAACGACCCTGGTATTACGGTCAATGTGAAGCAAGCAATGAGACTGCGGTTTGTAAGAACCAAGAGGTGTAAATGCGCCACGGAACCATTATTAGTTTTATCACGTGTACAGATGGCTGCTTCTGCTGGGCGCAAGGGGGCACTATGTTTTTTTGCCGCAGTACCGCAGCCTGATGACACTGGCGGAGGGATCTTTGCGGAGATTGTGCCATTGTGATTGGCCGGCCGTTAATTGCATCGTTGATTTATTGATTAACTGCCGCACGTCATTCTGCACGCGCATCCCTGGCCATCACACACCATTGCGGCAATGCAATGCGCTCCTGTCGATCAGCTGTCACGCATATCTGCTGGCCTATATGGACGTTTGCCTTTCAACCAACCGGCACTGGACCGGCGTGGCGATGTATGGCTACATAACCCCCATGACCAGCGCAGCGTGGGGAGGGCACTCATCCAGCAGTGGATTGACAAAAGACTATATTCTTGTGACACAATAACAAGTATATAATATGCAAACATACAATGTTAAATGAGAGGACTGTGCGTGTGCATTTGAATGGTCTAATTCGGACAGTCTCTGTCCACTGCTGGATCAATTACAATGCATTTATGTTCCAACGAACAATGGGCTATACAGTATATATACAGCACACATATGAATAGTTTGAACTCGGGTAAATTTTATTCTACTCCAAAGTATGTGATATGAGCATTTCAAGAATGCAATTGCATGATAAGCTTTTCCCCTTTTATCGTGTCTGCATTAACCATAATACTTGTGGTGAAAATGCAAACAAAAAACACTGATAATATATGCATTGTCTTTGAAACTGATTGGTCCACACCAGAGACAGCTTTCTTTTGAGCCTCGTCTCAAACGGTGTTAGACCAGAGGACGACAAAAGGCGTACAGCAATAGAATCTTCATGAATTAAAGTCCATACCAAGATATCCGTGTTAAAGCCTTATCCATTTGATACAGTCCATGGGTTAAACTTAATTTCGAAAGAACGGGTCCCAATACGGCTCTCACTCGCTTACATTTGAATTGACAGTCCTCTATCAATCCACTGCTGGATGAAGGTCTCGGCACGCCGTGGCCGGGCATGGAACGCGAGCGACCATACCTCACCACCCAGGTTGATGAAGGGGGCCACCTCGGACCCGTTCTGATGTCAATCGCCACTGATGTTTGTCATGACCGGGATCTAAACTCGGGTAGCCGATCGTGATGTCATGCGAGGCCAGGTTATGAGGGTTTGGTTCCGGCTCAGCATAGCAAATATCCAGTGGAAATTTTTTTCACCATAACCATGTGGATCCCATGCTAGCTTGGCTCGGATGCGCCAGTGGGAAAGGGTACGTGCTATGAAGCGAACCGAGCAAGACCTCTCCACGAATGCTGGAAACCAGAGATTTCAGTCGAGAACAATATTGTCGTTAGTCCTGCTATCGCCTGATGATGCTGGTTGTAATCATCAGCGAAACGTCGTAAATGTTGTGGGTTTACTCTCAAACACATCGGTGTGCAGAACGAATAACTAATTGGCATGTTATGTTTACGTGACAAACCTTACTAACTGGCTATTAGGCGGTGGCGGATTTTACGACAAATGTATATTCACGCGATCTGGTCGCGAGAGACTACGTGTTAAACGGAACAAGTGGAGTCCTCATATGCTGTACAGCCTTCTCTTGGCAAGCCAGGCGATGGCATCTCGACACTCGAGTTTCACAGCATTTGTGCAATTACCAAGCACTGCCTCCAGCGCTGGATTAAAGGCATGCCATTGCCACCGCGGCGTGTCACTTTCCGAAAAAATGTGTACGCCTCTCATACCTTTCCAAATAATAGGCACGGATCTATCGCGAACGAAGATGCACGTGGTTTCACAACAGCAAAGAGCGATGCGTGTGCTCTTGCGGTTAAGGTCGTGTAACCGATGGATTGGCACCTGTGACCAAACCAATGGCAATGCTCTCGATCGTGTCAGATCTCAAATGCTAAGCGGGGTTTTTGATCATGGATAGTGTTTGGTTGGTTGACCACCATGCACAAAACACGCAGTGCTCCCCACCTTCACAAACCCGCACTGACCAGAATGGTGAAGTACGGTAAAATAACCCCCGCGGAAGCGCACGGTGTGGGGAAACCTTGATCCAGCAGTGGATTAACAAATAGGCTGCACGTGTAGCAGGTGGCTGGCCCAGCTGAAACATGTGGCATCCTTCATGTTGCAGCCAGTCCACTGCTTAAAAGTTAAGGGGCAGATGGCTAAATCCAATAGCGACCAATGCACTGTCACAGTATTACAGCGTTTATTGTTGGGTTCCAACTGCCGCTCAATAACGCTACCGAGCACCAATTGCCAAAGCGATTCCATCCGTTTGCGAAGTGTCTTTTTTAAGATCTTGTGATAGCTTTCACGAAAAGATATATAATTTGGCGCAGGTGTCGCAGCCCCCCAACCACATACCAAAGCCCGAAAATTATCTGTGAAATATATATTGCTAACAAAAATCCATTCCGGTTACTGATGACAATAAAGAATGACTTGCACTGGAATCTCACATGATTAAATAACAATGATTTAATCACAGGAGGGCAGCAAAGGGTGCAGTTAAAAATGCAATACAAAGTTATTTGGTAGAAAAAAGTGTAAATAATGGGAAGAAGATTTTAAAAAAATATTTGTATAGTTTAAAATAATGAGAAACTCATTTTATTAATTTATCCAGCAGTGATCGTTCATTGTAGAGGGCTGGTGACAGCAGCAGCTAAAGCAGGCATGGGGAACATTTTATGCATGTTTTTATTTTTTCGTAAATCTTCGTACGCAATGACCCCAAACAGCGAATGGTTACGGCAAGGTTTGCTGGCGCCGTTTTGGCGAAGCTTGCCGGAGTTGGAGTTGCGGTTTCACTGCTCCTCACTCAGGCGTCCCTCCGTGCCTGCAGGAAATAACCCTTGGACTTGAGGACCCCGCGACACTTGATTATGACCGAGTAGCGCAGGACCCATAGAGGCGTCCACACCTCTGCCTGTTCAGGCGCCACAGTAGCCACCATGTCCTGGAAAGACTTTGTCGGTAGAATTTCTGGAATATGTTTAACGCGCACACACACACACAAGCGTATAAATAAAGTTTTTTTTAATATGATGCATCAATAATACTATTAAAATTGATTGCCACCCTCACAATACACACATAGAACATGCAGGCGATAATACATTCTGTACAATTTATACAAAAGTAGAAAACAAAAAGACATTCTCTTACATTTAGCATGATTGAGAAAACGAAACTCAAGAAGAACGCCGATTGATAATAGCAACAAAACACCAAAGTGATCATCATCATCATCATCAATTATTCACACAGCGCCTCCCTCGCAGTATACATGGAGGCGAAAAATTTGGACAACCGATAAATCCTCAAATCGATGCACGACCCCGAATCGAATCGCAACGATTCACTGGCCGCTCAGGTTGGTGCGCGCCGGCGGCGAGAGAGAGCGACGAGGCACCTGTGGGGTCGTTGTGCGTCAGCAGCTGGATGTCGTACTCCTTGGCGAAGGCCGTCAGCTCGGGCGGCATGACGCAGCAGGAGGCCAGGTTCACCTGGTTGCTCGCGGGCTTCACCTGCGCGCGGCGCAGGGCAGGTGCACCAAGGAAACGCGTTAACGAAGCGGTGTGCAACGGCAGGATACCAAACGGAAATAATTTCAACAGACGCTCAAAGGAATGCCGCCACGCCCGTGGTCGCCCCCGTATCCGTGGATCAAACAAATTACTCGAGACAATGGTGTATGGCAGCTAGAGCAGTTCATGCGAATGCTGTCGCAAGAGGTAACAAGTTTGGCGCAACAGTCCTTCGCTAACTATGCGCGATGAATGAATGAGACTTGTTGAGCATTAGGGAATGACGACGGGCTAGCTGCTGTGCGTTAATGTCACGTGAGGTGTCAAAAGCTCACTGGCAGGGGGTCATGGGGCAAGCCCAGGTGTTATGAGTTAACTGACTGAGATGACTAGCAGATGCTCCACTGTGCCAACTTGCTGCGTTTTATCCACCCGTTGCTCTGGTTTTTGTTGTGAGCGCCGCTCGCCAGGCCTCTGTTGTTGAGGTCGACCGCCTCAAACTGCCCAATAGCGCCACCCACCCACCCAGCCAGCCACCCACCTGTGCCCAGTGGTAGAGCTCCTCCAGAAGTTGGCTGTCCAGGTCGGAGGTGCCGATGGTCGCCACCTTGTGTGCTGCGATGAGGCTCTCCAGCTCGGCCCAGTAGGGGGACAGCCGGTCCGCCGTCAGCTTCTCCTCCTCGGGCAGTGGCGGCGGCGCCAGGACGACGGCGTCCAGCAGCGACACGCCCAGAGCCATGCACGCTGCGGACCATCGCACACATCATCCTCCTCACAATCGTCGTCATCGCCGTCGACATCCTCGTCATCGTTTGTGCATGTAAATGTGTAACATTTATCTGTCCAATCCACTGCTGGATGAGGGCCTCCCCACGCCGTGCAGGTCGTGAAGGTTGTTTTGATCGTATGTCATGACGCTGGGGAGTGCGGGCTACCGAAGGCGGAGAACAAAGACGTGGGCGCACGGAAGGGAAGTACAACCATGGAATTTGCCGCACTGCTCTCTGCGGCCCAACGCGCCACTACACGGAAGCCTCCAACAACCAGAAATGCGTGTTCGGTCGACCCATCCATGCACTCTCCAGGCTCAAATCAGCTTAGCTTCCGAGATCTAACGAGATCAGGCAAATTATTTGGTCATAGGCAAAGACCACTTAGAGGTCGATACATTTTATAAACATTTATTTACGAGCGTGAAAGCCATACATTATGGGGGAAGGCTGTGAAGCACAATGTGCACCTTGTATACGTGCCAGAATTGTAATAAAATCATTTATCCTCCAAGAATCGACAAATTAATGTTCCGCAATTTTTTCGTGATTCGCTGTACTGCTCTCCGATGCGTTTTCCGGTTGTGCCGCGTGTTATTCGTAACGATGTCCGACGTTTCACCGTGCGTGCTGGGAGCTTCTTCAGGAACTGGAGTCATGCCGAACGTACAATGCGAGAACACGGGAGGGAGGAAAAAAAACACGGGGTAGGTCGGACGTGAAAAACACTACATTGTGCCCATGACATCACCAAAAATAGAATTCCCGGTGACTGCCCATTGCGGCCTGATCTTCTGCCTCTTGAGATTTTAGCCACCGAGATTGAACAGAGACAGTTAAGGTTGTGTAGATTTCCTTTGTTGATGCGTTTTCGATTTGCATACAATAAAAAAAATTTGCGTGCAGGTTCTGGGTGGACTATTACAGCACAGTACTGCGAGAGGCGGTTGTGGCTCAGGGTGGCCTTTGTCCAGCCGTAGATGGACCACAGCTAATTACCTACTATAATCACCCAGAAATGTCTGTCCGTCCCGCGCGTGCCGTCACTCCACACGAGACCACCCCCTCATTAATATTCATGAGCGGGTGGATTTTTACACTAATGCAGAGGAAGGTCGAGCTGAATTTAATAATTTATTGCGCAAAGTCGTTTGAAATATGACGTTTCTTTACAGAAAGTGACGGTAAATAAATCTACGCAGCACAGTGCTACATCCGTGCATGACATCACTGCAAAAGAGCCCCCCCCCCCTTCATTAATATTCATGCCCACGTGGAAATTTACACGAACGCACAAGAAGCTCGCGCACTGCACATGCCGCACCCCTCCCCTCATTAATAATCATGAGCGGGTGACGCCACTCCACATGCTGCACCCCTGCCCAATAACCATTAGCGGGTGACATCACTCCACATGGGGCAACCCCCCCCCCCTCCTTATTAATAATCATGAGCTGAACAATTTTTCTATTGAATATTTCAGATTTACTGCAATATAAACCCATCCTTGGACGGGCAAACAATATAGTGATGATGAATATTTGGCAAATGATGACAGTGTCGACGAGTTACACTTTCAAGGCATGCCAAGCACATTAACCCACACGGAGACCTGCGCCGCACTGGGCGATGGATGGTGGTGGGTGGCGGGGGAGTACTGTGCCCGAGGAAACTGTGGTTTGGGAATGGCCAAGGCTGTAGATTGCTGCGATTATTCAACAATTATCGAAAATTATAGAACTAAAAACCCAAGTGTGCAAAGAAGCATAGTGGACGTGCATGCTTGTAAGTGCACCGAGAGACAGGAAGAGACATGCATGGATTCGAGTAGGTAAGGCAGGATAATGACACAAGTAGGGACATTGGCTAGTGGTCTAGTGTAATGACGGAGTGTCGGCCAACGAATGGAACACTTTAACACGTAGGCTGTCGCGACCAATATTATCCACAAAAGGTTTTTGGGTTAGATCACGTAAATATTAGTTACTAGTTCAGCACACCGGTGCGTTGGAGAGTAAACCAACAATATTTACAAATCCAAGTCATTTGCTGTGTCAGGTGGTGGCGGGCTTAACGATACATTTACATTTTTTGATTTAAAGCTTTCGTGACTGCAGTAATTCATATTCTTAGTTTTTTCGGTAAAGTCACGTTGAAGAGAAACAACAAAATAATAAAATATATATAAAAAATAAAAAAATTCTCACGACGTTTCGACCATAACTCAAACGGTCGTCTTCAGGTGTGTTGGTTTGCAAACCAACACACCTGAAGACGACCGTTTGAGTTTGCAAACCAACACACCTGAAGACGACTGTTTGAGTTATGGTCGAAACGTCGTGAGAATTTTTTTTATTGTTTTATATATATATTTTATTATTTTGTTGTTTCCCTTCAACGTGACTTTACCGAAAAAACTAAGAATAAGATACATTTACATTTACGCGATCTTCCCAAAAAACCTCTATTACGGATCCGAGAACACGTCCACCGAGGTGATGGAGCAGTGAAACAAGCTCACGTCTAGGTGCTTGGTGGCTTAACACACCACAGGATAACGAGGTGGTGGGAACTTTGGCGTGGCCTCAATCCAGCCGTGGATTGACCACGGCCGATGATGATGATACCACTCAGGCTCACTTTACAGTATGAAGAAGGAATTAGCTCCTCTGGTCTGCTCCAGGATATACACCAGCAACAAATGTGTTTTTCACATCAATGGGTTTTAACCAACATCTCTGGATGCCTCACTTGTTACTAATTTTTCTGTTAAAGCGATAAAAGCATCTGGAACTAAGGCACAGGATGGAATTTTGTCTTGTGGAAAAATACTAGGCACAGATGTAATTAAAGTTGAATGGATTACGCCACTCCCATGACACTCTTCAGATGCCATTGTCTTCCACCAGGCTTGATTTGATAGACAAGCAAATTAAATCCCGGAATCTTGACCGATAAGTGAGAAAAGCCTCTGGGTTATATCAACACAAGTCAAATTCCTGGTCAGCGGTAATTATGGCCTAAAACGCCGTCTCCTGATCGCCTGTCTCTGAGATTGAAGCCACCAAGATTGAACAAGTGGATGACTGTGGTTGTGTAGATTTCCTGTGCTGATGTACTTTGATTTCCATACAATTTACATTTTCATGTGCAGGCACCAGGTGAATTATTACATCCCAGAACCGTGGTAGTGGCTTAAGGAGGCTTTCGCCAAACTGTGGATGAAGCCATGGCTGATAATAATGAAGAACAAATACTGATCACGCCTTTTGTAAATCCACTGCTGGATAAAGGGCTCTCACCATGCCAGTTGCAGGTGTTGCTTGACCATACTTCACCACGCTGGTCAGTGTGGGATGGTGAAGTGATGGAACATGACCGGCTGAGATGTCACTCGCCACTGATGTTAGCCAATGGCTGGGAATCAGATTCAAAGCGCAGTGTGCCAACCACTGCGCCACGGCTCCGCAATGACCCACATAATTTGTATTATTCAGCCGCAGGTGGCTGGCGAGCTGTACGAGAGCACATAAGTTTGAATGGATGGGAAGAGATGGATTTTGCGCTGTACCTTTCTCCACGGCCGGCTTAATGACTTGCGCATCGCCTCCCAGCAAAAATATCTTGGCTGCCAGAGAGAGAATGAACAGGGGAGTCAGCGGAAACAAAAGTAACTGGAGGTTTACCAAGATAAATGAATTCAGACAGTCCAGGACACATAAGCGCTCGCCAAAAGAATTTGAAGTTACCACTTGTCAGCCTCCAAATACAGCTGGACGAAAAATGTCCCTGGTGCCAACACAAACCTTGTGCACGGGGTCAGGAATGCATTCAATAAAAATTCCCTTCCGCTCATCATGCCCCACCCAATTCGTCGGTCCAAAAATGCCTTATTCTACTTAGCAACAAAACAAATAAAGAATTCCATGTTAAATTCGTATTGTAACTCTCTTTTTTTTATTCCGCTGCTAGTGTTGGAGAATAACCCGTGGAAGAAGCTATCACAGAACATGTTTCCTAGATGATCGGTGACTGACATTTTTTTCCCTTCTTCACACACGGTAGTGGACAGATTTTTCACACGCTCTGCTACAGAGAAATGCTCATTGCATAACAGTTATAACAATAAATTTAAATTCTTAGAGCTGGGATTGAGCCAAGTTAATTGAAAAATCAAACAAATGAATCATGCAATGATTAGTTGGAAAATGAGCTGAGCTGAGCACACCAATTTATTACACCCGATGAGCAGGTTTAAAAACGGGAGGTTAACTACTCAATGCCGAGTCAACTAGAAACCAGGCTTGACAAGTGACTGTAAGCCAAAAAAACCCAATATTTTAAAAACGTTAAACGATTCCCTGGAAATAATGAGTCTGACCAGGTGGACTCAGCGGTACGGCAAGCGGCGAGCAATCGGAAGGTTGCGAGTTGCAATCCTCGCTAGGGGTTGACTCAGTCTATCATCCCTCTGGGTCGATAAAATTAGTACTATAAAGTGGGGCCAGTCAACAGCGGTTGTCCTATGGATCGCCTTGCTCCCAGAAAAGGAATTTGTAATTCCCACCACTGGCTCAAGACTCCAAATAGGAGATGAACTAGAACAGAGTACATGATAACAAATGCACTCCACTTTATAAATTTAGGAAGGGGGGGCTGAACCTTCAGCAGTGGGGGGCTCAGCACCACCCCCGCCCCGCCTCGACACTCCTGGGCTGATAGCCCCTAAAGGAGGGTCCCTACCCCCCCCCCCCCCCATTAACACCGACGTGGCCGTACCGGTTATTTTCAAATCGTCACGATCCTCCGCACTGATCTTCTCCGTGCCCGGGCATACGCACACGTCCTGGGCCAGGCACGAAGGCGACTGATCGCGAGCGAAATTATAAAGAGACACGTGCACATGCGTCGGGGGTCGCAAAACAAAACATCGAGCGGAATAGGGGCAGGGTGCATCAAGAGAACTGACGAGAGACGATAGACAAAATGTCACAGATTTAAAACGTGCGCACGTGCCATGAATGTGCTTGCTAGGCATGTGTCGGCTGACACCCTGAGCAACCCTTGTAAATGAGAGGATTCTGTCTGAATGGAAACTCCAGGTGAAACACTGGAATTAGTAAATAAGCACAACTAACTACGGACTGGAGACCGTGTCGTGAAGGATGTCTTGGGGTGCTTACCTCTCCCCCGTCGAGCTTTGAAGCCCAGTCGGATAACGTGCTCCTCACACAGTCCACCAACTGCAGAAGGAGAGGGGGAGGATATCGTTAATGCAAAAATTTACACAAAAGGAGGACACGAGTCTGGGATTTGTAAAAAGGGTTTCCATTGCTGGCCTTGGGGACTCCGATACATCCTTGCTTTATGAATCAGCCAATCCCTTGCATTCATTCATTTATTCAGGCGGAGACCAGCTGCATTCATTCAATACTACTAGGCATTCAGGCGTGCGTCTGATAATTCGGTTTATCGCAAGGTTGGGAGAAAGCTGGGCGTAAGTTGAGGGCCGTTATGTTTTCCGACATCAGAAGCCAATTTCACATTTTAACAAAAATATGGTTCTTTTGCCGATGGTGTAATGGTAGGGCAGGATATTAACATGCTGCTCAAAGGGTTGCATTGATGCAATCACTTCATCGATTACATTGGATCTTCACGCTCACATCACATGCAGCGAATCACGCATGGGAATGGATAATTTACAAGTCCTATATGTTGTAAGCTATGGGTTTACTTGATCTATCCACTGCTGGATGAAGGTCTCAGGAAGCCATTGCCCCTCCATCAGGGTTCCGCAGTGCGACAATCCATCCGACTCCATCTCATCCCTTTGTCTCCACAGCGGATGCCCTCTCGGGTGTCTTCGCTTCGTTGGCTGCAACTCTGTCATTAGTCTCGACCACCGGCCCATCGTCCCTTCTAGTGATGACGCGTCCTGCCAAAAGCCCACTCACTTTTCTTAACTTTTAATAAAAAAACCTTGACTTAAAGCTTTCGTTACTGCAGGAATTCATACTCCTCAGCAGTCCGCCTGCTGTATTTCTTCACCTGAAAACGATTGCTTGTGTTGCGATCGAAACGTCGCGATTTATTAAATTATTTTTCTATCTACGTGACTTTACCGAAAGCCCCAAAGAGTATAAGTTTAAATATAAACCCAAAAAAATCCACACATCCGTCAATACTGCTTTAAAAGGGTACATTAATGTGCCATCTCCCTCACCTTGCATGCAGGAGGTCGTGGCTTCGATCCAAAACGTGACGCCTGCTGTATATTTGGAGTTTGCGTGTCTCTCTCCCCATAGTCATGTGGATATTTCTCCGGGTCCTCCGGTTTTTCCCTCCACATTTAGAAACATGTTCTTAGATTATTTGGCTACGACTATACGTTCCGACATACACTGCCGATTGGATGCACGTATCACAGGAATTAAGAATCGATTAATCAATTGATCCATCATTGCACGGCTTGAGGAGACGTGAACATCATGTGAGATGGGCGCCACGATGGTGAGATGTTAACTACCTCGCCTGGTGTACAGGAAGTCATGGGTTCGATGCCGACCCCGATGCCTGCTGTATATTTGGAGTTTGCTTGTCTCTCCCTCCCCATGGTCACGTGTTTTTTTTTGTATCCAGGTCTTCCGATGATTTTGACCTCCACATTTAGAAAGACGTTTTGAGATTATTTGGCTACTACTATAAATCCCGACGTACGATATAAGTCACTTCTATGAGCTATCATGTGTGGCCAGGTCGCCTCTGAAAAAGAGCGAATAGCTCAGTGGGATTTACCTGTTCAGCTGTCAATATGTCTATAACTTTACCTGTTCAGCTGTTAACATGATGTCTATAACTTGCATTTGTTCTCCGATCCCTGCCTCCCGCTTTTTGTCTCTCGGTGTAATTCCAAGGAAGCACCTCTCCATACTTCTTAACACACATTTCAGTTTTTGTTCCACGAAAGCAACGTACCGATGTGCCCAATGGCAAGTGTTCAATTGGTGCGTATAACCTTTTATGCCGTATGGGTGAGGAGCAGTGGTTAGTGGTTAGCACAATGGGCCGCAAATGTGGTCATCAGAGTTCGATCCGACTGCTACGGCTACCATCAGTGGCGGCTGGTATATGAACCGGTCATGGACTCACACTGACCAGTGTCGTGCAGCAGTATGCTCAAACAAATCCCATGATTTACACCGCTGTTTGGAGGCCTCTGTCCAGCGGTGGCTTGACAAAGGGATGAAAATTACTATCGTTATTATTGTGACATACGAATCAAAACCACGGACAATGACTCACTTCACTCATGACCATCAATATGCATTAGGTGTAGGGCAGACGTGTATGTATCTACGCATGTTGAACTTCTTTCGCCCCATACGTAGCCAACCGTGCTAAACGAGAGGTAAGGACAAGAAACTAAACACAAAAAGCAGCGTGTATGTCATGTATTTCTCTCTGTTCAATGCAGACAAGCGAAGGGAGCATATTACACACACAGTAATGTGGAGGAGTATTGATCACTGTGGTCGTTACAAGTATTTTTTTTATCAATTCGAAATTAATCTTGAGCTGCCCATGCTTGTAAACGCCACCCTTTAGCAGGGCGCTGCCCGTACTTGCCACTGTTGATTAAAATCCACAGGTCCGTCTTCCCTCGAAAGCGTTCCACCTGACCCACCCACCAAGCTGCATTGCGCACCATTGAGGTGACTCAGCATGACAAGAAGCGTTCAGTGAACCCACGCCTTCCATGACTAAGCAGTTTCCCAAGCTGACAGATGCAGAGGATGATGCATAAATGACCATGGCACAATCACTCACGAAAGAGTTCCCACGAGACCATTACATCTTTGCTATGGATGGGCAAGATTCACCGTAAATGAACCGGTTATAGTGGCCACATCGCCTGGCCACTATAACCACGAGCATGACCTGTACTCCATAAGCATCTCGGATTGAGACAATGTTTGCTGATAAGCCAACAAAAAAACGCAGACCAGATTGAGACCAACCCAGACTAGAGCTCTGACATGTTCCTGACACACTTGACCCACACACCAACTACCAATAGCAGACTCAATCTTAATCAGACTTAGACAGAGCCAAACGAAACCCAAACCAAGAAAAACACCAGACTTGACACGGATCCAAAAAGAAGACGTCTTAATTCGAACCACAATAAGACCCACGGATAAAACCAACTCCGTCTTTATACCACTCACATCGAAACCAGACCAATGCATATATCCAAACCTTACACAGACCACACACCTACACTCGGACCGGGATGAAGACCAACTCCAGTCCAGACTCTGACCCCCAACCCAGAACCAGCCTTATCAGACCAGACACATAGCCAGCGCACAAATAAACACCTGGTCACATTAAAAGGGACCCGATTGCGTGCAGACTCACCTCCTCGCTGGGGGAAGAGCCGTACTTGTTCCTGAGCGCGCCCCGGTTCACCACGTTGCCCGTGTGCACGGTGAGGGTGCGGGCAGCGGTCAGGGCAGACCCGTGGGAGCCCCGGCCACAGGCAGTGACAGCAGACATGATGACGATGCTGCTGCTGCTGGTGGTTGTGGGCAGCAGTCCAGGAGGTCGGTTGAGTGGATAAGGAGGAGCTGTTAAGTGGGCGGTGCAGCGGATAACCACAGTCGGGAGTCAACCTACAGACGTCGGGCAAAGGCAAGGAAGCGAAGGGGGCGAAAGCAAAGCAGGTGGAGGGCTCAGTGTCCACTGCACCCAACGCCGCCAGCAGCAGCAGCAGCAGCAAACGAGCAGCGGAGAGTGCACGACGTTGCTGATGGGGCAGAGTGAGGAATCGGCAGGGTCCCACCACGTGGGTCGCAAGGGGGAGTGGGGGGTACCGGATGTGCAGGAGAGTGCGGCGGAGGCTTGAGTCTGCGAGGTGCTTGCTTGGAGCAAGCCACTTCCTTGTCGTGCTTCTTCTCCGAGAGCCACCGCCGCGGTCCCTCGTTACCAATGGGCAAAGGGGGGTGGGGGTGCCGAGCATGGGCCAGGGCGGGGGCAAGGCAAGGGCAAGGCTGAAGGGCCGGGGAGAGGGAGGGGCTATAAGGGAGGCGTGGCCAACGGGCCCTGCGGGTTGGTCACGCCTCCCCCCCTTTCGCGAGCCAATCGGAGGGTGAGGAGCTCCCCCGAGGGGGGCGTGGTCGATGGCATATAAGGGTAAAGCTTCGCTGCTTCCGGCAAGTAGGTAACTGTTTACATGGGGGCGAGGGTCGCGAGCACGTGGGTGCAGCGAGCAGCAGGGCTGGCTTACTCCTAGGCATTGCTTCCCATGCCCATTCATCGTGTGACGTATCCCCCTGCCTCTGATTTACTGGATTATAAGAAGCACTTTCCACCCCCGTCCCTACCCCCCGTATTTTAAAGCAATAGGTGGGGTACTGCTCCTATGTCAATTCACCGTGTAACGTATCCCCTTGTGTCTGATTGACTCAGCGTATTCTCTGGATTATAGGAAGCACTTTCAACCCACCCCCCGTATTTTAAAGCAAGCAATAGTTGGGGGTACACACGGTAATTGTTGACGTTTCAGCAACCTTACACAGTCAAGTAAGTGCTGTATTGTACATGTTTGCTAAAATAAGATTCCTTGATATATGCCCTCGTTTCAGAGACAAAATAACCATACATTTGGCATGAGGATTCGATGAATGCGTTCATTATGTGGTAAATACATCAATTAAACGATTGTAAACCCGCTGCTGGATGAAGGCCCTCCCATGCTGTTAAGAATAGGGGTTGTTTGAGCATACTCTGTACTTTGTAAATAACGCAGGTCAAGTGAATGTGGCTGGATGGTTGTTTGATAGAGGCAATCTGCCAGAGCCGATTTGCTCTGCAGAGAATGTAATATTCAGCCTTGATTAAGCATTGGTTTGTTTGCATTTTTTTAGATTCCTCACGTGTTTTTGTTCTGATTTCTGTTTACATACTTAATTGCTCTACTTTTGTTTGTTGTTTTTACTTTTGTAATTTCGCTTACCCAGGTCACTCTTACAAAACGAGACTCATCCGGGTCTCTCTAAGTCTTACTTTGTGAAACAAATTTCATTTAGCGAGGCCGTGATGGCTATTTAAAAAAATAAAATAAATGCAGGACTCTACTGAAAGTCATTGGAATGAGTGTGGCTTTCTTGAATAAGTAATTATTATACTCTTAGCTCTTTCGGTAAAGTCACGTTGAAGGGAAACAATAATATATAAAACAATACAAATTCTCACGACGTTTCGACCATAACACAAACGGTCGTCATCAGGTGTGTCGGTTTGCATAAATTTCTTTATTTTTAAACGGTGTATTTATTTATTTAAAAAAGTCTTAACATAACCATCTTCATAAACGAATTGTAATGATAATTGCTTTACGCCCATTTCAAACTTGCGCTTTCACAGGACTTACACTCACACAGCCAATTCGCGCGCGGACTGCCCCTTGGTTGCGGCTCTGCGATTTCCCATTAACATGCTAATCTCTCATTAACATGCTAATTTTCACCTGACAGCCCTTTGATTGGTGGAAAACCAACCATTGGCTGCTGACATTTGGGCTACTACCATTTCAAACCCTTATAGTTTGCCTATGGAAGCTAACCCCCCCTTTTCCTGAAGACGACCGTTTGTGTTGCGATCGAAACGTCGTAGTTTTGTATTTTCTTTGAACCTATCTACGTGACTTTACCGAAAGACCCAAAGCATATAATTGCATGCTTTGACACGAAATTCACACCTCGCTTTCAAACCTGTTTCGAAATTCATCTCAATACTACGGTGAAAGTTTATGGAAAAATTGTGTAAAAGTTTATTTAACTTCCCCGTAACCGATGAATCGGCAATTTGCGCCAAAGTCTACGTTGAATAATGAAATACACGACACACGTTCCACTCAAACATGACTCGCAATGATTACATAACGGCAGCAGTGCGTTTACTCATTTACAGGCTCGAAATATACTGGCTTGCTCATACTTAGACATTCCCTGATTTTAATCACCCTGTTTATATTTTACCCACGATGTTATGTAAGACAGACAGGGGGTTGTAATGCATGATGTTTTAGCACAACGAACATAACTCTTAAACCTCACAGTAAACATTTCCTCCGGCCTTGGTAATGACGAAGAGGTGTGTGGTGATTCCGACTCCTCTGTACTTTGGAACGTGATGCAATTAGAGCCAACTTCCTTTTTACTACGTCAATGAAATGAGCCACAGATCTATCTCTAAACTGGCGACAATTCGCATTCTTAAATATCTTAAGTCATGGTCTTAAGCAAATTCACAACAAATTGCAGATCGTGAGTCAAATCTTAGCCAATGGATTTCTGTTAAAGATTATCTCAGGAATTCTAGTCTAGTCGACGAAATCAAATAATTAGTCCACTCTTAGTTATTAAATGTTGGCGAGGGGTGCGCAATCCTCTGCCACCTCGCAATATAATCAGGTCAGTTACGTTTATGATGTGTTGGCTATGAAAACCTACATTTTCTGTTTATATAATTAGTTGAAACCCATAAAAATAAACCAATAGATGTATCAACAAAGTGGTATTTGCAAGTCAAAACCCATTTCAGACGCACTTTCGCGATGTTGATCGGTACAACCACGCATTTTTTTTTCACATACGACGAATGGATAACCATAATTTTTGCACGTGAATTAAGTTCAATTCATGTGATAAAATTAGGTTTTTTTTATCAACAGAAAGGATCCATACTCATTGTATGAAAGGATATCAGATGCAAAAAAAGATTGAGGATTCTGTCTAGTTAAACGAAGCCTTTTGGTCTTGGCCATGCGTCGACTCCCTATTTTGATTGGCCAAAGCGTACATTCTCCACTCAGATTTCACCAAGGTCGTACAGCAGGTTAAAATCAAACACACTGCCAAGCAATGCATTGCTTCCTGAGATGACAAGACAGTTTAATGCGAATCAGGCAGGAATGCATGGGCAAAAGCTGCAAAACATCCAAACATGTGGTTTCAAAAATAAATAATTTTAAACATAAGGAAAGCTCTCAATTCATTTCATTTTCTTCCACTTTCAAATATATTATAAAAATCGACAAAAATATTGTCATATACATTAAACAAATTCAACAAATTACATAGTGCTAGCGATGTTGTATTGGTTTCAGCCACAAATGTTTCGAATAGTAAAAGTAACTTATAAGAACAAATTTACCTTCATGCATTAGATTGTAAAATGTAACAAAAGACAATATATATAACATTGTATCCTATATCTAAAAAGTTTGTTCAATTGATACTCTTGTAATGTACATGTGCAGCGCTTTTGTCAAACCACTGCTTACGAGGGCCACTTCTCCATGCTGTGTGGATCATGGGGATATTTAACCCAACTTCATCACACTGGTCAGAACAACTTGAAGGTGGAGCATGGTACATTATCACAATGGCTGTTTCTGCACTTCTCTCTGGTGGCAATATAGCCCCACAGCAGCCTTTGGTTTATGCATGGTGGCTGCCCATCCAAGCACATCCGGCCTTTAATCTGCTAGTTTCTAAGATCAAACTAAATCAGGTGCAATCTGGGTAATCTAGTAACCCATTTATTTATGTACGAGTTAAATCAGTTCTCTTATAAATTCCTCGAAAAATGTATATAAATACCTTAGTTTTAGGCAAATATAAAGTATAAGTAAGCTTCACTGAAAGATGGATGCTTGTTTAAAAATGTGACTCCCTTCACGTTTGTGATTACATAAGCTGCACACATTTGGAATCGTAATGGCACATCTTCACGCAACTGCTACAATTGGTCATACGGCCCAAGAAATCGATCCTCAACCTTTTCATAAGCTATTGTAAACTGAATTAATCCAATGTTCATACTTCAACTTTACAAAATACGAACACTTCTTAGCCACATCACAAAACAACTGCTTCCCGCCAGTCATTAATTTGTGCCAATATGCAGTCTTTGGCTGCCAACAATTACGCACTTGTCAAACACCGTTCAATACATGTACATTCGGGGATACTCCCATTCCTCCAGATTGTAATCCGAGGCAGAAAACGCGAGCTGGGGATGTGTGGGAACCTTTGCTGGCTCCGGGTAACGCAAATACTTCTGGTGAGTGTTAGCCCGATGGTCGAACCACTCCTTGTTATGGGCAGACTCCGGGTTAACGTGGTGCTGCGACAAACCGCGATGAAACTCACGCATACCGTGTTGTTCAAAGGCAAATTGACCATTCGAAGGAAACTGCTCACGTGGCCTAGCCTCGTCAGGCTGCCTGGCGACATGCGCTGGGAAGCTGTCTACAAAGGCACAGAAGTGGCCGTTGCTCGTGCAGGGTTGGTGATCACGCACAAACGCATCTTCTGGGCTATGAGCCGCTGCCCTTGACCGCCGTGAAAAATTCTCACACCTCACCACCTCCGACTGGTGCAGCATGTGAGGCTTCAGAGTACGTCGGTCGCATGCTTTTGGAGCGAAGCCAGCAACCCCAACTGGAGGCAGGAACTGGCGGATTTGAGAGACATTTTCAAAACAGCTACCTGCAGCGGCAACAGGAGCAGGTTGGAAGTTGGGACCAAATGAGAGGGCGAAGTTCGAGAGAGGGGTTGACATCACAGTGGGATCGCTGACAGCTGCTGGATAGAACATTGTGGGGAGTGGACACAGGGCTGCTGCATGGTCATGCAGAAAGGACTTGGCCTGCTGTTGCTTGTGAAGCCAGGTCTGGAAACACATATTCTGCTCAAAACAGTGAATATAAATTCGTCACAATTCGTCACTTTTCCCCCTTAAATCTTAATTACACATTTTCATTTACACGAAACGAAAAAAGGCTAATATAAAACATTTGACCAAAAGATGTCACGTTTTTAAAGTGGGTTGTATGCTATGGCATAGGATTCAAATGAACAATCTAGAATCAACAGTGATGGTGGAAGTTATAAAACAAGACAATCATTTGACTTCACTTACAGACATTTGGTAGCAAGCACTGGTTTCTCTCTCCCTTTCAAAGAACCCTGCAAAGGAGAGAATAAATGCTTGGATGGATGTCCAATATAATTGTTTACACAACCATAATGGCTCATCTCTGCAACAAGAGTTGGTTAACCAATCTGTTCCCGCATCAACATTTAAGGTGATTTTCACAGTTTTCAAGATCCCCCATGGACTTACCCCACCCAGCCTATTACCATCTCGCTCTACACTCCCCCATGCGCTCTTTCCTCTCCGCAGCTAAGGGGCCGTCCATAGATGACGTCACGCGATTTTGGACGATTTTTGACCGCCCCCCCCCCTCGTCACACGGCGTCACAAAAAGTCAGACCCCCCCTCAAATATGACGTCACAAAGCTCTGCACCCCCCCCCCCCCAAAAAAAAATAAAACCGCTTCAAATCGCTTTAAACTATTGTCATTGATTGTAGTGCGTATTTAATGTGGCGCTGCACTCTGATGTTGTAGGAGAAAACATTTATTAAAAAGTCTATTTCATTAAGTAGAACGTGTTGTCTATATTTATTTAAAGTTGCGCATTTTGATGTGACGTCACATTTCTCTAACCCCCCCCCCTCGTCACACATCGTCACAAATGTCTGACCCCCCCCCCCTCCTAGGTGCGTGACGTCATTTATGGACGGCCCCTAAGGACTCCACACAATGGGAAGTCACTCCTCCGTTGCAATTCCTCGCAGTCTGGAACTCCCTCGCCCCCCAAATGCATGGTTGACCCCATCCCTCTGTAGAAGTCCAGAATTAAAATATTCCTATTATTATTTGTCTAGGATACACCATTTAAATCTGATAATGCTCATACCCTCCACTCTCCCTAATTTCCCATTACACCTAAAACTAATAATCTCAAGTTTTCCTTTTTGAGTTCATAACAACATATTTGTCATCTCATTGTGTATTATTTGGCTGTGGGGTGGGGGGGGGTTCTTGATGACATTTAATAATTACGTGGCCTAACTTCAAAGTCAATTACTGTCAATCAGCTGTTAAGTATGACAATTTTAAAAGTTGGGTATCTAAGTCATGAACTAAACCATGGACCATATCACTTCCTATTACCCGAAATATACACCTGAAGGCAATCTATCTGCAATTCACCAATGCTGAAAAAGTAAGTGAATGGCTAAATTGCTAACAACTTCATCTCTATCGGTTGCTCTACATAAGCCACACATCGTTCTGTATACACCCCCACAGGGGTCTGTTACGTTACGTTGAACTTCTTTTGCACCGTACATAGCCAACCATGCTAAATGGAGGTGCGGGAAATAAAAACGAGCTAAACACAAAAAAGCAGTTCTAAATAGATGAGTTTTCAATCTCGAATTGAGTTTTCAAATCTAGAATGAGTTTTCAATCTCGTGTGCAAACTCACCTCTCTGCCACTGAACCACAGGCGGGGGTGCACCACCCAGAGCGTTGGGTCCCTCTATCACCTGAGTAGGTGGTGGCGCCACCCCGGGAAAGGACATCCGTCCAAGGCTTGGATCTTCAAGATGGTGCGATGAGTTTATACACGAAATGAGGAGGCGCCGGTGCTCTAACGCCAAGCGCCGACCTGAAAACGAGCGGCAATGCAAAGTGGACAGGCTTCATGCAACCGCTGATGACTATATTCAACTATCAAAAATAGATTTAAACAAGGAACAAAATTATGCATTCGCCATTCGAGTGTAATGCCTTGCACGTGCGTTTTGTTCCTCGGAAGTATTGATATGTTTATAATATTGAGAGCGCTCGTGCCAGGTGTGGAGCAAGCAGTGCGTCCACAGGTCACGACGGATCAGAATATTTATTTATACTGAAGGAATCTGAAGAGCTATAAAGCAGGTCAGAACGTTATAACAACAAATATAAAAACACAATAGGCGTGCATGAGACAATGGCGCGGGGATAGCGGCTCCACCCCAGGATGGCAAGCCTCGGTCGGCAGCGCTGGGGTGCCGAGGCGGGTGCTTTTCAGCACAGTTTTTTTGTCTTTGTCTTTTTGGCAAGCCACCAGTAGCAACACAACTTTAAAGGAGAGTCTCGTTCACATTGGATCCTCCGTATCATGATTATCATGCCACCCTCCCCTTCGTTAAGACAGCTTATGTGTGCGATAGTTTTGCTCGACATGTCGTTTAAAGTTGGTATGTGACATTAGCCCTTCATCGGCTATAATCAGAATTTTTATTTAAAAAATTATGGCCAAATTACCCAAACAGCGTGGAGAGGCCCTTATCCATCAGTGGACTGACAAAGGACTTATATGGACATGTACATACAACAAAAACATTACAGTAGCATGAAAGGCAATACTATGATGTATCTATATCATTAATTGGAGTGTGCGATGTAAATTACCTGGGAAGTAAGTGCGAGAATCCAAGAAGTGCTGCATGGTTTTTGCAGCTTTAAATGTCAAACTCACTGCATAGAAGCAAACACATCAAAGACAGTCGTTAGGCTTTGCATTTTGCAAACATATTTTGAAAACATGAATAGTGTGCCTTTGATTAAACCACGAGCAATGTGCCTTTTCTCATTAAAACCCGAAATCAAAGCAGGTTTGTGCTTTGATGAGTGACCACAGTATATGAAACAGGTGTTATAGCCTGCTCCAGGAACTACATTGTCAGCAGAGGCCTGTGCAGTAAAATACACTTATACTCTACTATGCCCCAACATATATGCTCCTGGCCTTCACCAACCTGCACTGACTAGTGTGGCAAAGTATGGCCAAATGACTTGTACGTTGTGAGATGGTCCTCAACCACCAGCGAATTGACAGTTGTACATCAAAGTGAACAGAATTTTCTTTTGTCCAACCTAAACCTCCCTGCTCTTCCTTCCTTTGCATCATCCTTGCCTGTATCTGCGTCCCAGTGTCCACCATCGATGCATTCGTTGTCAGCCCCGCCTGTCTCTTTTGGGCAACAACTCATTTTCTCTTTGTCTCTAGTTAACTCTGGCTTCCCCTGGTCTTTGTGCCTTTTATTCTTCTTTTTCTTTCTGCCCACACCAGTGTGCGACCTGAGGCTTTCTGCGGGGGAGCGGATCTTTGTAGCCCTTTCATCTGTGCCAGGCTCCTCGCAAGCTTTGGAATTTCTGTGAGCACGTTCCGCATGGCCGGCTGCGAGCTGTGAACCTTGCAGAGAAGAACACAAAGAGGCTCTGTCTCGTGCCAAGCTAAGAGGCGTGCTGTGGCTCACAGACTCCATTTGTGAAAATTCTGAAGGAGATTTGATTAATTCAACGATCACCTGCGTAAAAAAAAGTAAAATATAACGGTTATTGCAATCGCATAAAAATCACCATTATCAAATGAATTACAACATTCAACACTCTTACAAGGAATAAATATGGTAATACTCAAAAAAAGTGATACGTGTATCATCTGTATTTATTCTGGAGGAAGCTGATGACCTATGAAGCTATTTTTCACAGGGGTCGGTCAGCAAGTTATGACAATACAAAAAAACGATAGGAGTGCAAAATAGAGAACAGGTAAGTCACTAAAATAAATACGCAAATACAACCTTGGACTGAAGCGCAGTCGACCTGAGAGATTCATCCCGTTTCGCTTTCTGCATCTTTCTGTGGCACATATCACTCTTAGCACCTCTCGTCTTGGACGGTTTAACTGCCGCTTGGGCCAGTAAATTGTTGATATCTTCTGACTCCACCATCTGGCTGAAAAGTCCCAGGCGCTGCGTGAGCCGGTTCTGCGTGATCAGCTGGCACGTGTTCTGCACGTCACCCAGGACTGTCCTCTGCATTGGATTGACGACGATGGCCTCTGCCTGATTTCCCCTCTCATTGCACTCTTTCCTGCTGGGCTTGTGCAATGTTGCCTGGCAGCGTTTACTGTCGGTCTCCTCCCTGGCCACCATGCCCGTCACCTTGCTAGCACCGCGCTGAAGCAACGTGCAGGAGGAGTGGTTTCGTTCCCTGTGTGTCTTCCGCCATATATGCTTTAGCCGGTTACCCAAGCGCTTTCCGGAAGGCCCTGAGGTGCGTTTGCTGCCACTGTCGCTGCTGCTGGGGTCGTTGGCCTTTCTGTCTGGGCCATGTTTCTCTGAGCTGGGTACGCGGGTATCTTTATTGTTGACGTTCTGAGAATGGTCTGGCGATTTCGCGGGTGCCACCTGAGGCAGGGCCTCTGAGGGCACCGCTTTGCTACGTTTGCGAGTGCAGGCTTCCAGAGTTAACGACTGCACCTCCTTCGGTCGCTTGTGCTTTGTCTTCCCCATTTAAATCAGCTGCATGCAAGCAATGGTGCACACAAAAAAAACATAACAATCCAAAGTAAAATTTTGAGATAAGCATCACAACACATGTTTATGTACACTTCATCTGATCTCGTCAGATGTGAGAAGCTTTGCAGGGTTAAGCTTGGATAGTGTTAGGAGGGCTGACCACCTTGCATAAACAGATTATAGCTGCTGGAAGAATGCCTCCTCTTGCCGTTGATATTGTGGAATTTACTTCATTATACTTCACGTTGGTCACTGCGAGTTGAAGACGTGAGAGCATACAACTACATACAGTACAACAATTGACTGTGCTGCTCTGCCCTCTGTTGCCACACACAACGTAGCTTAAACATGCATATACTGTATTGGGGGCAACAATGAAAAGAGTTGTTTGTTGCTGAACAATCTACGTTTGGTGCACATTGGCTTGTACTCAGCAACTGTGTAAAAAACAAATATGCATCCCACAGTGAACCCTTTCATCAGCCATGGTCAATACACTGCTGAATGAAGGCCTCCCCAATCTTGCGATGTGACAATCCACCTAGCATCTACACACGAACTGATTTCATTGCTCCATCTCCAACCCGTAACAATCCCAAAATGAACCATACAAATCCCATAATACCCGATTATCCGGGTTATAAGACGCACTTCTCCGCATTTTAAAGAAAAGTTGGGAGGTGCGTCTAATGATCCGGCATGAGGCCAGATCTGGAATATCTTTGCCACTAATCTACAGCTTAGTTCCCTCCCTTCACTCCCCTTCTTAACTTCCCTATCAGACCAACACACAGAGGTTACCAGCACCTGTACCTAACTCTGTTTCTGCGACATCTTGCTCCCACGTTTGCAATTTGTTCAATTCGCGTGTTTCATTTATTCCTAAACGACCCTGAACTCCTTCTCTGCAATATTAATGGGGTTTTTTTGTCTTTTTGTTATTGCTGTGCTCACGCACCACATAGCCGGGAAACTGGTTAAATGGGATCACCCTTGGAACAAATCAAATATACCCCCAGATCTGTGGACATTTATTGAGACCTGACGATACTTACTTTCCAGAGCGTCTTATAAGCCGAACAATACGGTAACCGTGAAGGTATTTAACCCGAACCATCCCACGTTAAGTCAACCAACGCAACACATTTGTCAATAACACTGGGACTTTAAGTAGAAACGAGCGTGTAATAGGCGACGTTTCAGGCAATAGCCCTTCTTCACAACATATAAGGGAGGCCAGAGAGATAGCAGCTTTCTCTGGACTCTCTTTGTGCTATCAGGTAACAGGGCCGTCTTTGGTTGCTTGCGCACCACTGGCCAAGCGTTATCACAATACAAAAACTAAGTTGTCGATAACCTCCGATTCGTAGAGTGCGAGTTTAACATAATGTACATACAACGCATTTAGTAAACAAAGCATGCAAGCGCCGCCTGCAGTAAAACAATCGTTATATACACGCACCAGAAAGTTGTCGTTGCGTAATTAAAACAAAAATCTTACTTCATTATAACGACCGCTACGTTACCACAAACTACAATTGCACAATTAAAATAAACAGACTTTCAACAGAAATGGACACTTTAACCCTTGACCTCCCGACAGTTGTCAACGTCATCGCGTCCTCACGTGCCGACGTCCACGTGGCAATGTCATCGCGCACGCATCTGCGTGGTGACGTAATTATTTTCCACGAGCTTGACCCCGCGTGTAAACGTCCTGGCGCCCGCGTCTGCGTCTTGACGTCATCGCACACGTTTATGGTGTTCCTCGCTCACGTCCCTTACGTGATGACGGCATCACGTACCTTACGTGATGACGGCATCACGTACGGTACGTGATGCGTCATCACGTCAACGCTGGCCAACCAGCGTGGCGGTCACGTGAACGGTGACTTGGCGTGGGTGCACCTAGCCTGGCACAAGCGCCGTGGTGACGTCACCGCCACTCAGTGGCTGTTGATGTTGCAATAATAATTATACCGCTACTCTTGTTTAAAACTAGGCCAACGTTCCCAAAATGCTTTGTACTTCCAAACTATTATATATTGTTTATATATTGTTTATTGGATACTTCAGTATTCAACTTTATATAATTCAGACTTCTGGTCATACTCTTCGCACGCGGGGTACATAGATTAATCCTCTCGATTGCACTTAGATTGTAAATGTTGTGGATTTACTCTCCAACACACCGGTGTGCTGTACTCGTAACGATTTTGCATGTTCTGTTTACGCGACAAACCTTACTAATTGGCTGTGTCGGGTGGTGGCGGATTTAACGACACATTTATATTTACGCGACCTAACCCCTCCAAAACTATATTATGGATATCAATCGCGAAAGCCTACGTGTTAAACCAGTACAAATCCATTATATAAATACAGTTAACGTGAATCATCAATTAACATTGTATATAAATAAAGTGAACGTTAATAATTAAGTAATTTGGTATTTATAGTAAACGTTTATAATTCATATAGTATAAAAATATAGTCGACAATAATTAATATGGCATATAAATATAGTCGAAGTGAATTATTAATATAGTACATAAATATAAAATTTGATTTAAAGCTTTCGTGACTGCAGGGATTCATATTCTTGGTTCTTTCGGTAAAGTCACGTAGAAGGGAAACAATAAAATAATACAAATATAAAACAATAAAATTCTCACGTTTCGACTGCAACACAAGCAATCATCATCAGGTGTTGTGGTTTTCACACCTGATGATGATTGCTTGTGTTGCAGTCGAAACGTCGTGAGAAATGTATAGTTTTATATATTTTATTATTTTATTGATTCCCTTCAACGTGACTTTACCGAAAGAACTAAGAATATGAATTACTGCAGTCACGAAAGCTTTAAATCAAAATATACATAAACACAGGCTACGTTAATAATTAATTAAATAGCGGTGCGGTTGCGTGTTTCCGGTTCCGGTCTGTTGCCGGGGCAACCCCAACGGTCGCGGAATTTGAATTTGTGGCGGTGGAGGCTCCACGTGTGACGTCCTCACGCCCCTCACCGCACACAGCAGCGCCGCTCCCTTTAACCCGCAATCTAATCATACACAATAGAGCTCTCGGCAAACTAGCGAGTGTGTGCGTGGTTGTTTTTCCTTTGTTGTAAAACGCATCCGTTATCATTCACCAGCTTCTCCGTAGATCGTTTTCTCGTGTTCAATTCGGGGCCTTTTGACGTTTTTTTACGACCGGGTTTGTTTGTACGTGTTAAAATTACAAACCGCCATGCCCCGTAAGAGTACCTCGACGGGCGGCGCCTCCAAGCGTAAACCTCCGGCGCCAAAGCGGAGGCAGCCGCTGCCTGTCGCGGAGTCCCCCGAGCGGAGGGTGCGTGCCAGCCCCTCGTCTTCTGTCGCCCGGCGCCCTGCGAGAGGTAAGACCAAGGCGCAAGGCTCATGGGCAAAGCAATGGCTGCTTACGTTGTCAAAAGCAGCAGATACATGTATCTTGTCCTCAAAAGCAGATTCTAGGGTACGGTTAACACAGCGGTGGTAGCCAAAGGATCTGCTATGAAGAAGGGCCACTGCCCGAAACGTCGCCTACTATGTGCATTGTTCATTTAAAGGCCACGGTGTTATTGACGAATGCGTTGATGGTGTTTTTGTTTGTTAATCGTGCTCTAGCACCGCCGCCAATGCAGCATCGCTAAATAATTTGCTTGGAAACGCCATCGATCATTCGATCGATGATAATGGTGACATCAATATTAAAAATGATTATTCCTTATCCGGGTCTCAAGATTTTTTTCAGGCTGGTCCTGCAACATATGGATTGTTTAGCCGATTCCATTGATGAGTGTTTGGCTTTAAATTAGTATGAGAAAACTGGAGAAGCCGGTGAAAACCTCGCAGACGTCTACAGCACCGGGCAAACCCCGTTTGGTCACCCATCAAAGTGCTCGCCAGGCTCAACACTTCTTAGCTTTCGAGATCTGTTGAGAGCGTACGGCGATAGGCCTATTTGGTCGCTATATCCGTGAGTGGCAGAATAATATGAATACAGTAATCGTATTTATTGGCGGTCGGGTGTCTGCACTTACTTCTGGATCCGGCAGAAGGATGTACTGACGAGGTGCGGTGACACCGATGACAGCTACAGCAGAAAATTGCCTCTGAATTGCGACATGCTCTGCTGGTCTCTTGATGAGATCTTAATATTAATGATGTACAATTGGTGGTCAGTCCACTGCTGGATGAAGGTCTCCCCGTATTGTGTCGGTCATGATTGATTTTTTTTTACCATACTTCACGCTATGCTCAAATTTTACCGCCGGTCTAATTCACGACCCGGAATTCAACTCAGGCGACCAGATTTGTAGGGCTATGTTTTGACCACTGTGTTTAGCTGATTATAAATGAGGACCACGGCTGTTCAATGGGGGGACTTGGGCCACCATAAGGATCCCTTATAAGGAATCACCCGGTCAATAGTCTGGCCAAGATGTGCTTGTTTTCCTTTGGAGATGAGGAATTGTGTATGACGACTTGCTGCTTTGTGGTGCAATATATGTATGGGTCTGGTGACCACCACGTTCAGTTATTGGATGAATTATGCTTAAAGGAGAGATGTGGTTTTACTCATCACATGGGTGTATTTTTTATCATAGTTGGTGAGCACAGGCTCAAAGGGTCAGGTCAGTAAACAAACATTACTATGGAAGGTCTAATAGACAAGAGTTGATGTTTCTTGAAATGAGCAATCCTGTAAGAATTTGGGAAAAGAGATGATGGGAGTGAATTCCAAAGTGGAGCAGTGTGATGCAAGCAGAAAGAGAAGTATCTTGACCTGCATTGCAGAAGTTGAACATAGTGTGGATCAGACGAAACAGTCTGTTTAGTTAACCGAGTCCTCAGTATGGGTGGATAAAATACTGTAATGAGTGAAGCTGATACGAATTGTAACCATGGTAGAAACGATAGAAGAGTAGGTGACTGACTGCCTGTGAGCAAACGGCTGGACCGAATCAGGGAGTGCTGGATCAATCAACCCGACTGCTTTAAGTTGAAACCGATCCAGTACGGTGAGGTAGGAACTAGGTGCATCACCCCAACTTTGGCAAGATTTGTGCTGTGCATACTCGTCTGACGCATTTAAAGCAGTGCGGGTGTGTGCGAATACATTGGACTCCAGATATGTGGTTGAATTGTTTGGCTGTGTAGAACACTCTCCAACGAAAAGGAAGCATCGTTTTCGGCCAGGCTCCAGGGCACTACTCGAGATCCGCAAGTATCAGAAATCCACAGACCTGCTCCTCCGCAAGCTTCCATTTTCACGTCTGGTTCGTTACGCATCTACTAATGGAATGGGATCAATATGGGTAATGTATCTTTCCCTCAAAAGCAGTATCCTGCCCTCCGAAAGCATGTGAATCTTGACCTGAGACAGAGGACTTTTGCCTGCATAATTTCCTTTCACCAGGATTACAAACCCAGCTCCAGTCTTCTTTTCAACAACAACACAACCAAGGATAATGGATGACCTATAGCAATATATAAACTGTTGGTAATTTATAGCACTTAAGTCATAATTTACATACCTTTGTCATTTGGCTGCTGAATGAAGGCCTCCCATCACCATGCCAGTCATGGAGGTTGTTTGACCATACACCGCCACGCTGGTCATTGCAGGTTAGTGAAGTTGGTTGGGGGGTAGAACCATTCCAGATATTACTTGCCACTGACATTTACTGCTACTATTACCCGAGCTAAACTTGCCATATGTATAGCTCAATGTGCTAACCTCTACACCAAGACACCACTTAATAGCATTTAAAGCAATGTGTGAGAATTGTGAACACGGGAGGGCTAGACGTTGAACAAGTTGGGCCTCAACTTTTATAGCTGCAGATTTCCACGTTCAATTAACTGCTATTTTGTTACATCTTTACAGCTACATTCTGGATTTAAATTAGAGTTGTCTGGCCGTTGTGCTTTGTGTTACGTGCATTGTGCGCAGGTGAGGGAACTGACTAGTCATCTTACGGTGCATCCGTTGAATTGGCAATCGGTTGCATTATTGGCTCTGCAGGAGGTAAGTGACTCATCCTGTATCATCTTACATACACATATTGATACATTGAACTTTTTCAAACATATCTGAGTGGGGCTCTCCTGCCAGTCACTGCTCTAAGGTTCATAATACACACGATCTATCAAAATACAAAACCCATAAAGGGGCCTGTGGCTAAATCACCCTAAATGCAGCTGATCCCATTAGATCTCAAGTTATGAGGGATTGAGCCTAGTTAGTACTTGGATAGGTGACTATCAAGGCTTTCCAAGTGTTGTAGGAACGGTGTTGCACAGTGTGATCAGATGGCAACTGTCACTCCCTTGGTTTCCTCCCGCATGAGGTCAAGTACTCTAATGAATGGTATTGACCAAATATTCTCCTGCAGGAACCCTCCTGAAAAGAAGTCTCAGCTCATCGAGGCTTTCCTGAGTAACGTTACAAACCTCGCGTTATATTTGAGCTGTGCCACTCAGTCATTTTGTCTCCCTTTTTTAACATCTGCCTTGCCCACTCATTAAGGCCACGGAGGCATTCCTCGTGAAGCTGTTTGAAGACTCCAACCTGTGCACCATCCACGGCAAGCGGGTGACACTCTTCCCACGCGACATGCAGCTCGCACGACGGATACGTGGCATAGAACACTTCTGAGCGGCTGCACTTTTGACAAGGACCTGCATTTGTTTTGCGTGGCATGCATAACACGAACCAGGAAGCAACATCAGATGGCAGAGCCGAGCTTTCGAGAACGACAGGGCCAATCCCATCATTGGTGGACGCTGCCTACTCACACAGCAGAACAAGGTTAAGTTTGCTCACCGTTTATAAATCGTTCACGGACAGGCGCAGAGGCAGCGTGTGCCGAGGCCCTTCGTTATAAGCTAAGCAAAAGTGTGGGGAGTTTCCAATTTAATCGTGTAGGTCTGGTATAGAATATCGGCATTTTAAAAGGATAATTACATCCTCAGGTCGTTTTAACCTGTGAAGTGTGTTTTAACTTGTTAATTTTCAACACTTGGTCCAGAGTGGTTAACTTATACAAGTCTTTGTATTATGAAACATTTTTATGTCTTGATAAATTGTCGACCCTGTATAATTTGTATTTGTAACCCTGCTAGCAATGAATGTATATAAAACAATTCTGCCACGTAATAAGGACCGTAGGGATTTTTTTATGTTATTGTGACAGATGGTAGGTATTTTAAGAAGTTTATCTGGCTATAAGCACACTATATTTGCAACACATTCTTGCATTTCACTTGTGGGAAATTTTAGGGAAACAGCCGCTACAAGAACGTTGCATGAGCACATTTGGACTTTCTCCCAAGCAGGCAGTGTGCTTATATCAAACTTGGACTGCATTCGTGCCTGCAGACCTGGTAGTAGACTGAACACATTCATCCATAAGCCCACTTGTCAGAACCACGCGAGGTAGCGCATAACTTGTGGTTCCAATTTCTGTGGCCAATAAAATGCGGATTGTGATAACCATCCGAAATGAGTGGATTATCAAATGACTATTAGCCATATTCATACATGGGTACGACTAAAGTTTTATGACGAGTTTAAACAGAATTAATTCATAGGTTTGGTTACCACACTAAGTTGGTTGTGTCCCTGTGTAGTTTTAATCTAAGGCAGTTTAGGACAGTATTTGCCTCCTGGAAACACCAAATAAAATACAAATGTTGGATACAGCTCCTAAACTAACAAAAAGCCTGGTCAAAGTCTGGCGACATATAAAAATGGTTGTGCAAAAGGTGGGGAAGAGCATTTTAAACTACACAATTTAGTTTTAACAGCATTCTCAAAACATTGTTTGCAGGAGTTACAAAATGTTTATGTAAATGTGGCATTTGGGATAATTAACTTCATCTTTTAAAGTACTTGGTTTTTTCAGTCAAGTCACGTAGGTAAAATAATGAAAACTAAATTAAATCACGTTTCGGAGGCAACACAAGCTTCCGTCTTCAGGTGGAACAGTCACAGCAGAATAGCTGTATCACTTGATAGTGTGCTTATATCAAACTTGGACTTGATACAGCTATTCTGCTGTGACCGTTCCACCAGAAGACGGAAGCTTGTGTTGCCTCTGAAACGTCGTGATTTAATTTAGTTGTTTTTATTTATTTTAATTTTACCTACGTGACTTTACCGAAAAAACCAAAGACTGAATCTTAGCTTTTAAAGTGTTTATACAAGTTAAATGTTGCATCTTGCTTGGCATGCCTCAACTGTTTGTGCCTTACATTGTTTTAAAGTTTTCTATATAATAAAGTTTTCCTTACACACTGCAACATCTATGTAATGACAACTGCTGTGCCACAATGGCTACACTTCATACAAAAGCATGCTTGACTAAGCATCTTGTTGAGTGGTTTGTCTTGGTGCACTCACAGCATAGCCTATGATGTAGACTGAAATGTGAATGCCTCAATTTCTATACTCTTAATTGTCATGCATTTCAGTGTTCGTTTTTAGTTAAGACAAGGTCGTTTGAAATAAATATAAGTGTAGAAAAATGCCATTCGGAAATGTATTGTAAAGTGTTACATTGTGTAAAGCAATTTAAATTGGTGACAAAAACGACTATACAGACCTTTACAAAACAGACACCTTTATTTAAGTGTAACCGTTGTAATGGTACACTTAAGCCTAGCTTCAATTCTAACTGGAAATAGCATTCAAAAGAAAGTCAATTTGACCAGAAGCACATTCCCATTCCTGCAAATACATACACATGCAATTCTGTTGAGTAATTTTTATTTGAGTTTCAAAACTAACATTTTAGACAGGTAGTCCCAAGCTACAATAGCCAAACTGGATGCCCCATACTAAAAAAAACCTACAGTGTGCAACTGTTATAGTTGCTATGGTTAGATGAAGTGCTATTATCGCAAGGTGTGGTAAGCTGTAATGCACAGTCGTGGGCCATGCGGTGGTGGTGATGTTGCTCACTGTAGGCCCATTTTACATACTCCCCCATTGATCACGGAAAATATTACTTCAGTCAGGACATCAGTGATTTATGTAGCGTCACCGCCAATTTAGAATGTGTCCTCTCCCCTGGTAAATAAGCTCAAAGTAAAAATGGACAACGCTCAATTGGACATAGAATCGCATGGAAAAACACTTTCTTGTTGCTATCTTCTCAGCTGGCATGAGCATTAAGAGGTATCCATGGTCTGAACCACTTCCTCCACCACATCAAACTTGATGGGGGTGATTTTCTCCGAGATCACTGCTGTTGTGCCGCGCTTGTAGCGGTAACTGTTTTGCCTGCGGGAACAACATTACGAATTAGAGTCGAGTCAAAACTAGGGCTGTTTGATTTTTTTTTAGATCCAATCACAGAATTGATTAGTCAATTCCAAAAGTCACGAAATCGGTAATCAAATCCAGATAAATGTTATTAACGGTCGAACCGATTGGCATGTGATAATATTCAAACCGCACAACACATTAATAGTTACATGAAATATCATTACATACATAATATACATAAAAACACTCGACAGTCCTTTATTAAGCCACTGTTCTTGAAAGCCTCACCACACCATGTCAATGATGGGGGTTTTACCATAACTTCACGCTGGTCAGTGCGGGTTGGTAAACCAATCAGTTTTTAATAGTTCATTTTGTACGCAATTATAAAGTGACAACGCAACCTGAGGCACCTGCACTTAAATTACCAACAAGCAAATGCAGTGCTCACCGGACTCCTTTCTTGTTGGCCACCTCATAGGGTCTCAGGTAGTCCACCTTCTCCTTTGTGATTACACACAGGTCAATGTTGCTGCCAGAGCCCAAGTCATTGAAGATCCCAGCAGCAATGGCATCCCTCACCAATTGCTTGGCTTCCTCCTCCTGTAGGGCAGAAACTTGTTATATAGTGGAGCTTTTATTATAACACTGGCGGGGAAGAATTAAGAATTACCGCACGACAAATAGTATTTTGGCACCAAAGTTGTGAAACCGTTTCCCAAGAAAACATTGATGCACCTGTTTATTAATTTAAAACTAAATTAAAGACATTTTCAGATTGTGCATGAGTAGCTCAAATGCAGTGGACAAGAGTGTGGTCTCAAGCACTTCTAAAATGCTTAGTCTCATTCTGTATATTACATATACTATTAAAATTTTGTAATAGGTTTGAAGTTACTTTCTCAGTAAAGAGCTCAAATTAACCTTTGTTCTGGAGCTCAGGTGTACAGAATGGGAGGTGTGGTAATAATAAAATATTGTGATATATAACAATGATAAATAAATGTACATGGAGCCAACATTACATGATGTAGTTTATGCTTTAATTTCAAACCTCCATATTGGGCTTGAATCTATCCTCAAAAACAGCCATAGCAGCCAGGGATCCAGATCCTGTGAAAGGAAAACAAAATATGCATTTATATTTATTATTTTAACTACGAGAATACGGTCTTAAGAATATTGTAATCCACGATCAGACAGTGCACAATATTTATTTACCAACGTAAAACAGAGGTGCCCTGACAACACCCCATCTCTCCTTCCCCATTCACACCTCAAGAGTAAATGACATCTACTGCAGCCAGGAGTCCTGTGTCTGTCCCTTGAACTCTCCACCCACCAGACACTTCACTAAGGCAGTGAACGATAAAAGTGTACAAGTGGGTGGAACAGTGCTTACTGGCCATGTAAAATTTCACCCCCGCAGCAATTCAATGAAATGTGGGATTATCAGTTGCTGTGTCGAGGGTGTGATTTTATTCCACAAACCGTTTGTCTCATTTTAACCATCTCGTGTGCATAATTGGTTCCGTCTAGTTTATGTTTAGTTGCTCCATTAGCCTAAATGCATCATGTTTGAATAAAAATAAATTTGAACACAAGTCATTCAATGAATGTATCCGCGCCCGACTTACGTTAGCGACTCGTTGCACGACTTTTGTGCGCGTTATAAATCAGACATTATTACTATTAATCGTGATCAACGCTAACTATATTAATCGACTCATTGGTACACGACGAGCATTTACCCATTGTCACGTAGGGTAGCTTGTCTGTGGAGCCGTGTGGGTGGATGCTGTACAGCTGAGGGCCAGTGATGTCCACTCCGCCCAGCACCAGCGAAGCACCAATATGTCCCTGGTACCTATGCACACAAATTAATTACCGATTCATGCCTCCCACCATCAGAACCATTTTGCACCTCTGATTAGCAGTTGGCTACGTACGGTGCAAAAGAAGTTCAACATACATGCATTGACACCAGGACATGCTAATGAATTAACCTAAAAGCTAGGGTAATCATCACTGCAATACCAGTTTTCTACACGTTAATTGTATTTTGAATGTTGAGTGTATTCTGTGCTTTCCTTTACTTCCAGTATGAAAATATTACTTAAAACTTATTCAACTGCAGTTCCCTCCACAAAATAAGTGAATCATTGCAGCTTTATCAAATATTATACTTATAATGCACGTGCTGTCAACTATAACCTAAATAATCAAATACACTTCTACAATAGTCTATGGCTTTTATTGAGTGTTTAATAGCAAATATGGGAGAACTTCCATTATTTTTTCCATTACTTAACAAACCTGGTCAGGAAATAAGATATCTAAAAATAATATTTTTCAAAACAGATGACAGATTGTGGTTCTTATATTATACGACATCGTTGAGGTAATACAACTGCATAGGTAATTTTGTTATCCTGCTCTCAAATGTGTGTTGTAACTGCATGCTCTTCGCATGTCTGACATTTCACTGTACGTGGGTGGAGCTCCAGAAGCCTTTTCAGAACACGTAACCCAATTATCCATTGCGGAGTGGGGATTTATCATGTTGCAATATCGTGGTAACTATGCTCAAAGTCAATGGCTCTAAACTAAAACTAAACTTTGTATATTACCAGGTAAGGCCCACAGAGCTATGTAGCTCTTTTTCAGAAGTGACCTGGCCACAAATGATAAGCTCAACGAAGTGGATTATCACGTGGAGATTTATAGCAGCCAAATACTCTAAATGCACGTTTCTAAATGTGAAAGGAAAAACCGGAGAACCTGGAGAAAAATCCACGCGACCAAGTGGAGAGAGACATGCAAACTCCAAATCTACAGGTGTCAGGGTTGGGATCGAACCCACGACCTCCTGCAAGCAGGCGAGGTAGTTAACATCTTGCTACCATGCTCACCGGAACAGCATCTGCTTGAGCATGCGGTTGGCGGTGACGACACGTCCCTGCCGCCCCGTGGAGAGCGAGTGCAGCTCCAGGTTGGACGAGATGAGCTGCGTTGTCATCTCGGTGTCGGCAGCGGTGCCTGCCCCACAGCAGCTGGTGGTGGTGGTAACAAACAGCAGGTACAGTAAAACCTTGGATTGCGAGTAACTTGGTCTGCGAGTGTTATGCAAGACGAGCAAAAATTTTAAATAAATATTAATTTGATAAACGAGCGAGGTCTTGCAATACGAGTAGTACGTATACGCTTTGTCTGCTGAGCTTTCACGTGATCACAACTGATATACGAGTGCTTTGATATACGAGTGCTTTGGATTACAAACACGTTTTCGGAACGAATTATGCTCGCAATCCAAGGTTTTACTGTATTTAAAATTGCACTCCTGCCTCTATTTAAAAACGCACGCGTCTAGTTTGTGAGTTGAGTGAAATTTGCGCGTCAAACTAGTCAGTTGTGTAAGAACATTTTGTAAACAACAGCCCAAATTATGCCAAAATATGGGATTATCAGGTGCTGTGCCCCATGCTGGA